GACCAAACCAAAACAAACACGGGTAACCAAGGACCAGCTCAAGTTCTACAGAGGAGCCACAATGGAGAACCATAAGTAGAACCATGAGTCGAGAGACTCCAGGTCAGCTGAACTGTGTGAGAAGAGAAACTCCTCCAATGTTTGTGTTTGTTTCACTTCGTCCACACACGAGTTCACAATCTACAACCGCGAGCCCAGAAGGGATTTAGGGGATTTGTGGTGACAACAACAACAACAGGAAGTGTTTAACAGCTCTCGCCCACAGGGCAACCTGATGACATAACTGCTCCTTCCTGCTGGAGGACGGCTCCTCCGATGAACTTTGACCTTCGGAATCCACGAGGGGTGGAAACACTCAACGTGTCGTGGGGGGGGCGAGTAAATGGTCAGAGGCTTTGAGGCTCATCTGGTGCCATAATCTGTTCAATTATTTGATCGATTCAGGATGGGCATCCAGCGGAGTGTGATCCCTCAGGGAAGACGCCACAGCACAGATTGCCTTGCGCTCACTTATCCCTCATTAGCTCGTTAGGTCTTAACAAGATGACGCCGCAGCAACAACACAGCAGGGGTTCCTCCTGAGGATTAACGAAGCGCCTCAGGATACACTTCACTTTGGTCCGTGAGGCTCACAGAACTCCGAGAGTAGGATGCGTTACACTTACAACGAAAACATTTAAGGCAAACATGTATGAAGTAAGGACGAGAGGATGAAGATGTGTCCTCTTCAACTGCATCAAAGGACACACTGCAATCACCACATCAGTGAGGATGTTTGCTGCGTAGTGAAGCTCTCGGCTCTGAAGAGTCTGCAGTGACTTTGTGATGGAAGCAGGTGATCAACCCGCCAATAAAAGCAATGTTTCCTGCTGCACAGCCTGTAAGCGCGTTAGCCGTTAGCTGGGTAGTTAGCGGATGAGCTTCTTTGTGAAAAGACTAGCCGGGACTGGGCCTCCAGTCCTCATCGTGCTTGTCTTTGTAGGAACATACAAACACAAAGTCACATCTGAGTTTTTCTGAGCTTAAATCAATCAGTAGTTTGGGCCTGTAAACATCAGCAGAACTCATTACGGTGCCTGAAACATGAGAGCGTGAGTGTGAGCACGGGCTCCTGGTCTGATCCGGGATCAGCAGGACGCGGGTTCACATGTTGTTCATTGTGATATTATTTATTGTTCGTGTTGTTTACCATCATCGAAGCGGGTCTGTGTCCTCGCAGGAGGTGCTCGTGTCACGCCATCCTCTAATGAGACCCAAAACACGACTGACCCGGAGCAGACCGCCCCCCCGTTCACACGTTCACCCAAATTATGTCCAAAACCAGGTCAGAGTGTTCACATCCAGACCGGTGTCCTCCTCTCCTCAAACTCCCGGCCCGCTGATGGTGAGTTTATCATGAGGCCATTTCACATTAAAAGTATTATTTGACAGAAGGGCTTTTAATTTGATGGGGTTCACTTGACACATTTAATAACAGAATTGTTTCATTTATTTGTGTTTTTTTTATTGTATTATATTGTATAGTTTCCTAATCTTAAATTATGTATTTTTATCACCAAAAACCTAAATTCTTTGGCCGAGTCAAAAGAACCCGATTCTGATTGTTTTCTGCTCCAATGATTTTTATTTGAGGAGCAGTAAAAGTATAAAATACCGTTTAACAACAAAGACAAAAACAAAACGTTCTTATTGTTTGTCTCAAGTCTTCCTGTCTCTTCGATGTTGACAGACCTGTCCTCCATCTGTCTCTGGGGAACTGTTGGATTAGAGGTCTTTCTTCTCAGGAAGGTTCCTCACTGAGTGAAGTGATAAGAGCTCTTCTATTCTCTAATGCTTCAATGCTTCCTTACTCAGCTCCTTTACTAAAGGAAAGGAGATCATTCGGTCCATTAGCATCATTTTTGTTAATAAAGTTTTCCTTTGAACCTGGTCGTTTGTGTGTCTGCACGACTCACACTGTAACAACACATAAGACGCTTCTCTGCAGACGGACGTCCCCAACAAGCGTCTCCGTCCATCACAAGGACGCAGCTCAGTGGAAGAGGAGTCCATTCACTAAACACCACCTTGTCCTTTCCTAACTCCTCATCAACTCTCCTAACCACCTCCTCTTGACCCCATGACCTTCCCCACAGAGGTCAAAGAATAGTGGTTAGGAATAAAAAACATTAGGGGGTGATTTTTTGGACAATTTGAATGCAGCCCTGGACTCTGTCCTCGGGGACTTCGACTCACGATCAGGAGTTGGACAGCAGCTGGAAAGGCAGGTGATGTGTTCAGGTACCAGCAGGAGGTACGTTGACCTTTAAATCTAATCGTTGTGTTTATTGACGCCATTGTGTTTTAATCACTTCTTCTCCTCCTCCGTTAAACATGAGTGAGGTCAGAGGTTACTGTTGATAAAAAGGACCAGGTCAAAGTTCATCTGCTCTCTCCATCCAGCCTGATCTCCAAAACCTGTTCGTAAAAATGTCTACGAAAATCTTGAACATACAAATTTGTACTGATACAAATAAATACGGACTGCAACCGATGAGGTCACCATATTCACAGTGAACGGGGACCTGCGCCCCGTAAACAAGTCTAACCATGTAGAATAAACGTGTTATGATGCATCTATAACGAGAAATCAATGTTAACTTGTAAGAATAGAATACTAACCCCAACCCCCTCAAAACATCCAACATGGCGGAGAGACGTTCACTCAAGAATCCAACATGGCGGAGAGACGTTCACTCAAGAATCCGACATGGCGGAGAGACGTTCACTCAAGAATCCAACATGGCGGAGAGACGTTCACTCAAGAATCCGACATGGCGTTGCTCCATCAGAACCCTAAGGAACACTATTATAGCATTAACTGTCAGAATTAAAACTACAACTACCACAAGTATGATAATAATAACAATAAAGCTGACAACACACCAACATGTGAGCAGGAACACGTCAGAGACAACTAGAGATGTGGAGACGTCAGCGTCTCTCAGGTTAGCATCACGCTAACCGATCTGCCCGTTGGGGTCGTGGCCCCCAGTCCACAGCAGAGGAGGAGTTTGTGTGTGTCTGTGTGTGCGTCTGTGTGTGCGTCTGTTCTTCACGACCATGAATGCTGTGTTTGTGTTTGACTTCGGCGACAGATTTTCCCTCCGAGGTAGAAAACAGATACAGATTCTCGTGCTTCGACCGCGTGACGAACAAATCGGACTGAAACTGAGACTCTGTTGTTTCATCTGAAGACACCTCCACCCTGCAGGAGACCAGTTACCCTACATGTGGGTCCCACATGTCCACACAAGACAACCATCTCCACAGGGGACATGAGACAGAGATTAGAGAGCAATCGAACAGCTTCAGGACCCACTGAGGAGGAAGATGAGGAACATAAGGAGGAAGGAAGATGAGGAGGAAGAGGAGTAGGAGGAGGAACATACGGAGAACGAGGAGAACCTGTCAGCACTGACTGCACTCAGGCAGCGATGCCTTGCTCATGAGCGGCAAACACCTGCACTCGTTTCAGGTGGATGTTTGGAGGTGAACCACAAACTCTGCCTCAGCCGTCTCCTCTTCCTCCTCTTCATCTAGATTCTACATGTCGGAGCTGCACAGTCTTTACGCTCAGCTGCCGAACGCAACCTGACGCTGGGGACTCCTTCCAGCGGCGGAAGCGTCCTCATCCTGGATGTGAGTGATCAGGCCTTAACGAGCCACACGGCGTCCTGCGAGCTGTCGCGTGCGACCATGAAATCGTCTCTATCTGATGTCCTCGCAGCGGACCTCTGAGTCCAGGAGGGCTCGCCTGGTGCCCGAGGCCGAACTCATCAATCACGGTCCTCCTTCATCAGAGATCTGGTGTGGACGCTGCTTCATTTATTATGCAATAAATAAGTCTTTCATTCTTTAATGTCTGTTCACGTACGTGTTGCAGAGGTTCTGTCATTGGTGTGTGTCCGTGTGACTGTATGTGTGTGTGTGTGTGTGTTTACATGTGTGTGTTGAACTAGAGACTGAGACCATAAACTCATGTTTACAATGTTTACTGAGGGAATAAATCAAGAGAGAAGTAGAGTAATTTTCTCATAGACGTCTATGGGAGCAGAGGAGTCGCCCCCTGCTGGTCACTACAGAGAAGTAGAGTCATTTCCTCATAGACGTCTATGGGAGCAGAGGAGTCGCCCCCTGCTGGTCACTACAGAGAAGTAGAGTCATTTCCTCATAGACGTCTATGGGAGCAGAGGAGTCGCCCCCTGCTGGTCACTGCACAGAAGTAGAGTCATTATACATCACATGTCATTTATGTGACGCTTTTATCCAAAGCGACTTACAATAAGAACATTTCAACCATAAGGACACAAACTCAGAAGAACAAGAAAGTGCGATTTCCTCAAATGAGCTGATTTACAACTTGCTGCAGATAAGAGACGTTATAAGTACAGTGTGAGTGGTACAGTTAGTTAGTGGTTTAGTGGAGGCAGAGTCTGAAGACGTCTGAAGAGTCTCTGCGGTTCTGATGAAGACAGAAGACGTCTATGGGACAGGAGGAGTTGCCCTCTGCCCCCCTTAACAAAAGAAGCTTTGACTTCACGCTGAAGAACTGGAGGTTGAAGAAGGAAGCAGCAGAGGGAAACTCAGCGGCTGTCCCGGGGAGACGGGGTTAAAGAGCATTTCCTTGACGGAGACACGCAGCAGCTCGAGGTTACAGAAGAACAGATCTAATCTTTTATTGGGCATCAACCTCACGGTCAGACAGATCTACAGCCCAAAGGAGTCCTTCTGACAGGCCGATCAGCAGCAACCATCTCTGGCTCCGCTCGGCGTGCCGAGGACTCGCTCCTTTGATAACTTTAACTGTGTGTGTGTGTTGGGGGGGGAGGGGGATTAGATGCAGGGCTGCAGCCTGTAGTCCCTCCCCCCCTGCAGCTCTCCTCTATATATACACCGAGAGAGACGGAGAGGACAAGGCTCCCAGAGCCATTTCTCCCTCCTGTGTTGCAATCTGAGGACGCAGACAGGAAGAAAGACGGACAGAGAGAGAGAGGCAGAAAGACAGACAGAGAGACAGGCAGAGACAGGCAGAGACAGGCAGAGACAGACAGAATCAGACAGAGACAGGCAGAGACAGGCAGAGACAGAGAGAGACGGACAGGTAACCCAGGTGCTTTGTATCTCCTCCATGATGGACGACTACACCTTCCCCTCCTGGATATACCTGGGCGTCCTGGCTGTGTTTGTGGGCGGCGCCATGAAGCGGCTCCTGGCGTCCCACCTGGGCCCCGCCCCCCCCCTGGTGGCGTGGCTGGGCGCCACGGTGCTGGCGGAGCGTCTGTGGTCCTTCTGCCTGCCGGCCGCTCTGCTGCTGGCGCTGCTGGGTCTCGCCTGCTGCCTCTACTCCGCCGCCAGGACCGGCCTGGCGCGGCCCGGCGCCGCCTTGCCGGCCCGCGGAAAGGCCGTCCTTGTCACAGGTAGGAGGAGGCCCCGCCCACTCTGCTTAGGTTAGTTGGTGTTGTCTTCTGATGGCGTGAAAGAGGAGAGAGAAGAATGTCCTCTCGTGTCTCTCATGGCTTTAAACCTCCGTGAGGAGACGAAAGGTTCCGTCAATTCATGTGAGACATCAGAGTTGTGTCAACAAGACGAGGTCACACTCGCTGTGTGTGTGTGTGTGTGTGTCTGCTGTCAGTGTGTGTGTGTGTGAAAACAACAGCCCAGCTTCACTACAGGGGGGGGGGTCGCAGCTCAGTTACCTGCGTGTGTGCATGTGTGTGTCTGCTGTCAGTGTGTGTGTCTGACAGTCACTGTCTGTGTGCGAAACAACAGCCCAGCTTCACTACAGGGGGAGATCGCAGGTCAGTGACCGACTTTCTGTTGTGCGAGTGCGTGATGGCCTCAGGGACTGCGTCCGTGCGTGTGTGTGTATCTGCTGTCACTATATGTGTGCATGTGTGTGTTGTGCATGTGTGTGTCTGCGGTCTGTGTGTGTGTGTGTGTGTGTGCGTGCGTGTGTGTGTGTGTCTGCTGTCACTCTATGTGTGCGTGTGTGTGTGTCTGCTGTCTGTGTGTGTGTGTGTGTGTGTGAGTGCGTGTGTGTGTGTGTCTGCTGTCACTCTATGTGTGCATGTGTGTGTCTGCTGTCAGTGTGTGTGTGTGTGCGTGTGTGTGTGTGTGTGTGCTGTCAGTGTGTGTCTGTCTCTGTCACCACGGAGACGTCGTTGTTCTTTTACCTCGTTGTTCGGTTTAAATCATGAATGCAGATATTTGGCGTTTTGCTTGACGTCCAAACAGCCGACTCTTTTATTTGGGCTTCCTGAGGCCAAACGGAGAAGGTGGGTTCGATCACTCGGTGTTGGGGGGTGTGTGGCGTCTTTCGTGACCAAAACGCTTCCCCTCATCTTCAATGTGGAACAAAGTTGAGGAGTTCCGCTCGTTTGCAGCATGCGGAGCCCGTCTGCCAAACGCACACATTTCAGAATAAAGGTCCACAGAAAGACGCCTGAGGAACTTTCCTTTTGAACTTTAACCATGTCTCAGCGTGGCCGACGTGGTGTGGGAGGACCTTTGCGGGCCAGAGTCCAAGATGGACTCATGGTAGAGGCTCCGTCCCCTTGTGGCCCCAAAGGTGAACAGCACCCCAGCCCTCCTTCAAAGACCTGGAGCTGGATCAGACTTGTATAGTAACTAAAAGTCAAATTCAACAATGATCATATATAGCAAATAACTACTAGCTCAGCATCGAACGACTACGGTTCCCATGAGCCTTTGCAGGACGAGCTCCTCTCGGGGGCATGTGAGGGAACACTGAGGGACTTTGGACGAAGGTGTGGTTCAGCGAGGAGATCTGGGTCACACAAACACCGATAGACACACTGCTGAGTGAAGATTAGCGAATGAAGTCCTGTAACACTGTAATAAACGCTGAGTCACGTTTGACCAACTCACTCACATGAAACTGCACTTTCTCGTGTCTTGTTCTTCTGAGTTTGTGTCCTGATGGTTGAAATGAACTTATTGTAAGTCGCTTTGGATAAAAGCGTCAGATAAAAGACACGTGATGTGACGTGTTATAATACGGGTAGATGAAATCCAGCATTGTGATTGGTTGAGAGTGAGTGGGCGGGGGGCGTTGTTGGGCGATAATGTACCGTACCCGTTCACGTTGACCCGAGCGTTCCGTAGATTCAGTTTGCAGCTCGGTGGCGATCGCTGGAAAACCACCAGAAACAAATGTTCAGTTTCGGGCAACGCGAGCTTTCACCAGCGGGCCGCCGAGGTGGACGTCAGCGACGTGGATGAAGGAGACGGAGCGAGGGGACCCCATGCTGTTTCCTCTAGGCTACTAAAATGCGATACACAACGTGGCTGATGCCATTTTGTGGTGAAGCTCTTTATTTACTATTTACTATAATTTCGCTGGTCACCGTATTATAAAATCAATAAGGTACTTGAGGCAGTACTTTGTCTTCAATAATCTAACAGTTCGAGGGGTTCGGGCTGTTCGGGAGGACTGAACAACACCCCCGAACTATCACATTACCGGAGGATGAAATACAGCCTCTCGTACCTCATTGCTTCAGTGAACTGCAGCCCCACTTTGATCATCGATCACGCTCCTGATTATCTTGATTAATTCAGAGGTGGGCGGGACCTTTGGGAATAAACCCCCCAGACAAAGAGGCCAGATCTTCCCTCGCATTGTTCCGGTTATTTTCTGTCAAGCTTCGGTCTCAGGAGACGTCTCTGGTCCAAAGGTTTAGTTACACAGCTGCATTGAAAGAAAAGCAGCAGAACACAAATTGCACTAAGTTCATTCCTCTTCACGTTCCTTTCTTCCCTCCTCATTTTATAAATATACATCGTCTTACTTTGCGGCGTTTCTGTTTCTCTTTTTCTTAACTTGTCTCCCCACACTGCTCCTCTCTGTACTTAATTACTCCATGTCTCTGTATTTAAATACATTTTTGTATTTAAATACATTTTTGTATTTAAATACTTCTTGCTCGCTGTATTTTAGTACTTCTTCGCTTCATTTCAACAGAAGATTCTCTTTATGTGAATTCAGACATCACACCTCAGCGTATTGTAGCAGCTACACACACTCTGACTATAGCCAGCATTGCGTAACAGATCGCTCCTTGTTAACTCCTCCTCCCGGTCACATGACCTCTGCTCATGGCACAAGTTTCCAAGCGATGAAGCAATGAGCACCGTCTCTCCAAGAATATGATTCTACTGCCTCAGGACCAAGAGCCAGAGAAGTTTACATGTTGAATATTTGGAGACACAGCAGATTTCATGAGAAAGACATCAGGAGAACTAGATCATGAGAACAACATCACGAGAATGAGATCTCAAGAACAAGAACATGAGAAGAAGTTCATCAGAACTCCACCATGAGAACTCATACGCCTTCCACATCCAAGCAGAGAAGAACTCGATTGGGGTCAGAAAAGGAGAGTATGCTGGCGAGAGTGGTGGAGTCATGCTGCATCCTGAGAACACCATCGTGAGAACAAGATTATGAGAACGGCATCATGAGAACAAGATTATGAGAACTCCATCGTGAGAACAAGATTATGAGAACGCCATCATGAGAACAAGATTATGAGAACGCCATCGTGAGAACAAGATTATGAGAACTCCATCATGAGAACAAGATTATGAGAACGCCATCATGAGAACAAGATTATGAGAACTCCATCGTGAGAACAAGATTATGAGAACGCCATCATGAGAACAAGATTATGAGAACGCCATCGTGAGAACAAGATTATGAGAACTCCATCATGAGAACAAGATTATGAGAACGCCATCATGAGAACAAGATTATGAGAACTCCATCGTGAGAACAAGATTATGAGAACGCCATCATGAGAACAAGATTATGAGAACGCCATCGTGAGAACAAGATTATGAGAACTCCATCATGAGAACAAGATTATGAGAACTCCATCATGAGAACAAGATTATGAAAATGGCATTATGACAGTGTGTACCCTCATTGACTCACCACCTCATCCCCAAATCACCTCATCCCCTCATTAACTCATCCTCTCATCCCCTCATCTCCTAATCACCTCATCCCCTCATTAACTCATCCTCTCATCCCCTCATCTCCTAATCACCTCATCCCCTCATTAACTCATCCCCTCATCTCCTAATCCCCTCATCCCCTCATTAACTCATCCCCTCATCTCCTAATCCCCTCATCCCCTCATTAACTCATCCTCTCATCCCCTCATCTCCTAATCACCTCATCCCCTCATTAACTCATCCCCTCATCTCCTAATCCCCTCATCCCCTCATTAACTCATCCCCTCATCTCCTAATCACCTCATCCCCTCATTAACTCATCCTCTCATCCCCTCATCTCCTAATCACCTCATCCCCTCATTAACTCATCCCCTCATCCCCTCATTAACTCATCCCCTCATCCCCTGTGGAAGTGATGTCGTTGGAGCTGTGAAGACCTCCAGCTGGACTGCAGCACATGGCTCTGCTTGAGGCTTCTTAACGCACATCTTTTCACACGCAGCTGCAGAGCATCTCAGGATTTAAAGTAAATATTTGCTTTACTTATTGTCTGCAGAAGCCTGTCAGGTCCTAAATAGATGAGAAGTTAGACACCACGGGGTCACAAAGACACACTGAGGAGGGTTAAGAAAAGAAGCAGCTGTCGGCTCGTAACCCCTCGTGTCACCCGATGGGGCCTCTTTTGCAGATGCACTTGTTCAAATCACTCATCCGGAGTCCTAATGAGACTCTGGCTCTGGTGAAGATGGAGCTGAAGTGCAGATGTGGAGGCCTCCGCCCAGAGACAGATGTGTTCTGACCTCTCCTACGCCTACAATCCACGTTTGTTTCTCCATCCGAGGGGGCCAGATGGAGCCCTCAGCGTCGTTGCGTAACACCGCGTCTCCCGTGGCAACAGCAGCCCCCCCAACTTGCCTGTTTTGGTGGAGAAGAACCCCCGTCTCCGAGGTCCAGAAGAGGCTGACGGAGGCCCCTTCTCTCTCTCCCGGTCTCTCCCTCACCCCCTCCCTCCCCCTCTCCCTGGGATATGGAGTGAGACGTCTCTCCCTGGCGCGTCTCTCTCGGACACAAAAGGAACAAACAGAGTGAGTTACTGCCTGGGACCTTAACCCCGTCTTTGAGCTCCACGCAGCTTTAAAAAGGTCCTGGTGTCGTGGTTCTGATCTGCTCAGGATCTCACATGCAACCCACCTCACGAAGACACGTAAACACAAAGCTGCAGCACGTGTTGCACAATCAACTGTAGAGTCTTTTATCCAATGTAGCACAGCAGCGATGGGATTGGGGAACATCTTGCCTCCTGACATTCACTTCATCATTTCATACAACGTGACGCCGGATCATGTCCAAACCTGCCGCCTATCCAAACAACTCGGAGCGTCCGCAGCAGCAGGCTGACGTCACCAAGCAGGTGAAAGGTGATCGCTGTAACCTGACATGCTGGCCCGCTTCCAACCAAAAACAGCAAAACACCCTTCAAAGTACCTCATCCTCATCATAAAGTGTTCAAATCAGAGAGTGAAAGTATGAAGTTAATAAATGTATTTACCAGAGCTGTCAATAAATAAAAAAACTAATTAATTGCACGTTTTGAAATTCATTCATCTCGATTAATGGCGATTAATGAATGTTATGTTGTTGTTGTCACAATGTTGTTTTTAACGAATATTTTTCTTCTAAAGACTAAATCTTGATAGTAATGAGTAATCACTTTACAAAGCGTGTATTCAGACCCTGGTGTTTAATTGTTATGTTATTTTAAAGACAAAGCGACACACATTTGAGCATCACGGAGGCGCGTTGAACTGACTGTCGATCTCCCCACATTCAGCAGGACGTTTTCAAACCGGCGTCTTTTAAGCCTTTACCTGGCGGTGGTCCTCTGCAGACTGTGTGCCGCGCAGGGTAACGTGAGATGTTGAGGTGGAAGTAGCCTAGCAGCTAGCTTAGCATATGTTGACACGTGGAGTGACTTCCGATGCAAGAAGCTCCATCTTGATGTAACTGACTGCAGATTGCTGCTGTTTCCTTTCCGCTGTCCAAGTAAACAAACGTTAACAAACGTTAACTGCGTTACAATATTTAGTTGCATTAATCTCGGCCACATTCTATCGCTTAGGTTCAGCCCAAATATTTGCCTATTAGTACACTGATGATCATCTGCTGTATTGTGATACTTAAGCAGCTGCTGATGAGCAGGTCCTCGTGTCCCTGCAGGATGTGACTCTGGTTTTGGGACCGCAACGGCAAAACATCTGGACAATCTCGGCTTCGAGGTGTTCGCCACGGTGTTGGACCTCTCGGGAGAGGGAGCTCGAGAACTGGAGAGGAGCTGCTCCCCCCGCCTCACCCTCCTTCAGGTGGACATCACCCAGCAACAGCAGGTCCACCAGGCCCTGCTGGACACCAAGGCCAAGGTGGGCCTCAAAGGTAACCAGCGTCTGCTGGCGCCAAGCAGCCGGGTCCAGATGTGTGTTTGTTGGTTCGGCTCACTGTGTTTCCACTGTTCACACCAGCCAACGAGGACTTTCCAAGAAACCACTGAGGCAGGAATGGAAACAACTCAATAACTGTTGAATTGATTTAAGAGAAGAACCCGAGGAGCGACTGAGGAAGTGTGAGAGGGGGAAATGACTGAGGGTGATTGAGGATTAAATGAGGAGTAATTAAGATATTTTGAGTCCAAATCGCCTTTTCTGAATCGTCTGATCCGTTGGATCCGACTACATCCTTCGACAGCCCTCCTGACCACTCAGAAGCAAACACGCTGGAGAGCAAAGACGGCTTGTTTGTGTGGCTGGTTTCCCCCCCGACCCTCATTCAAAAGCAAAAAGAAGCTCCGTGTCATGTGGCCGTAAGGTAACAGGACACCTCAATGAATAAAAACACTAAATAAGATAACAAATTCATTGTAGCACAACGAAAAGAAACATTATTGAAATAAGAATGCAAAAGTGTTTTTTATCAATGGCAGGTAGATCCAATTTTGAAATAAATTCAACATGACTCAGTTGTTTTTTGTAATACATCAATGAATCAGTCTTATTTCATTCCCATGTAGTCTTTTTTCAGTGGACAGGTTTGACTCGTTTCACCTGGGCGTCTCCTCCAGGTGTCTCACTGCCCGGTTCCTTGTTATGTCTCCTCGGCTCTGGAACACTTCACACCAAAGCAAAAGTTCCCTCAGTAGCTCGTAACCACAACACAGCAAAGCATTGTGGGTCGGAGGCTCCGATAAGGCTCATTGACAATGGCAGCAAGACAAACAGAAAGACATACGGTCCAACAGACAGACGGACAGACAGGCAGAGAGACAGTTGAGTTTAAAACAATACTTCCCATCAACAAACGTTATATAATAAATAATATGATAATCAATTGATCGGTAGTCGATCTGGAATCCGGCTCCGCCCACCCGCTCAGGATCCTCCATTCGGTCCCGGTAGTCCTCCCCCCTTCTTCCTCAGTCTGAAGACCTCCTGCTGGGTGACGTGTCCATGTCGAGCAACGCGTCGGAGAAGAAGTCCTCCAGGCCCTCACCTGGCCCGCCCCGTACCTGCTGAGGACTCGGACTCCCCTGTCCTCCCCTCTGCTCGCCGCCCCCCTCTTTGCCTGATGTCTTCCTCTTCAGGTGGGGGACCTTAGAGCTCACCCTCCATATCCTCCCCGGACCCCCCCCCAACGCGCAGAGGGTTCTTCTCCAGACAAACACACATAACAAACATCAAACCCCTCGATTCTCAGCTTGATCACCAGGTGAGGACCATCTGTCTCCTGTGAGACACCACATGTCTCAGCGGAGGAGACCTGCACCCTGAAGACACCTTCCTTATCTGGGACACAACTTTGCCCTCCTTCACCAGCTCTCCGAGCACCACCTCGTCCCGAATGGACGGCGGAAGAGACAGACAGACAGACAGTGAGACAGACAGACAGACAAAGAGACGGACAGACAGACAGACAGACAGACGGACAGAGAGACTGTCTCAGAAACACAAAGTCAGTAGTACCGTGTTTCCTTCAGTAAACCAGACAACAAACCAAGTACCTTCAGGACGTGTTCCTCACCCCCTCGTCTTGTGTGTCCTCAGGTCTGTGGGGTTTGGTGAACAACGCCGGCGTGTGTGTGAACTTTGGAGACATTGAGCTCTCTCTGATGTCTAACTTCCGTGGCTGCATGGAAGTCAACTTCTTCGGCACGCTGAGCATCACCAAGAGCTTCTTGCCGCTACTGCGTCAGGCCAAAGGTCGCATCATCACCATCTCCAGCCCAGCGGGTGTGTTACCGCCGCACGCACACACGTTCAGACTGTTGTGACGTGAGAATCGGACGTTGTCTTTGGGTTTAAGGACTGCCAAAATAAAGCCTTCAGTTCATCGATTTGGCCGTCGCCATCTTGTTTTTTTGACACCAGCGAACAGGATATGACCATATATGGACTGAGGTTTTGTGGTATATTAGTAACCTGTCAATCAGTGTGTGGCCCCGCCCTGCAGCTTCTCCTGCTAACGGTCTATTTGTCTTTGAACCCGTAACTCATGTTTACAATGTTTAGGAGTAAACATCTCCCGAGTGGAAGCTCATTGGTCAGTGTGCGTGATGTCATGGTGATGTCATGGTGATGTCATACCCGTGTTTCAGGTGACCAGCCGTTTCCCTGCCTAGCAGCGTACGGGGCGTCCAAGGCAGCTCTGAATCTCCTGGTCAACACACTGAGACACGAGCTGGAGCCCTGGGGGGTCAAAGTGTGCACCATCCTGCCCTCCTCCTTCAAGACCGGTAACACCACCCACTTCTACACCACCTGTATCTACACCACCTCTACACCTCCTCTACCCCACCTCACTGTGTCAACTAACTGTGTCCTCGTCATGAGATCACATGATCTCTGCTGGTCACGTGTTATCATCCATGGTCATTGATCCACAGTAAGAGCCCCCCCTCACAGTCCTCGGGTTCTGGTTCAGGTGCTGGATGTGAGTGTAGACACGACCATAACGCCATAACTACCAACACGCCAAAAAACGCTTCCTTCCTTCCGTCGGGGGAAACTGGAGGCACTCGTTCGTAAAGTTCTGGTCCCAGCTCGGACTCTGAGACCTGCTCACTCGTGCATGCTGGGAAGTCCCGTTGCCGCGGTAACCACATTGCTCTGTGTCCCCCCGCAGGTCAGTCCAGTAACCACGCCTACTGGGAGCAGCAGCACAAGCAGCTGCTGCGGACTCTGCCGCCGGCGTTGCTGGAGGAGTACGGCGAGGACTACCTGACGGAGACAAAGGAGCTGTTCCACCTGTACGCCAGCCAGGCCAACACCGACCTCAGCCCCGTCACCGACACCATCGCCCGGGCGCTGCTGGCGCCGAGGCCGCGGGCACGCTACTTCGCCGGGCCCGGCGTGGGCCTCATGTACTTCATCCACAGCTACTGCCCCCTCAGCCTCAGCAGCCGCTTCCTCCAGAAGCTCTTCCTGAAGAAGAGGCTAGCGCCGCGCGCCCTGAGGGACCCGCCGGGCTTTGACCCAGACCTTGGCCTCGGCCTAAACAACAACAACAACAACAACAACAAGTAAGAGGAAGAGGTGGAGGAGGAGAAGCTGAAATAGCTGGTCTGCAGGAGGACCAGAGCTGTCTTTCTGTACATGAGCTGCTCACGGGGTCAAGGGGTTTCTGCCCCCTCCCCCCAACCTCCCTGGAGGTCAAAGGTCAGCCGGAAAAGTCTTCCCCTTCAGTCAGCAAGATCAGCTGACTTTACGTGCCTTCATTACACACAGAGGAAAGATGGCGGATCTCTGCACATAATTACGTCCTCACATCTCAGTCACATGACAAACATTTGGTCCAATGAGCTTTAGAGATGTCATCATTATTAATATTTGGGACCCTCTGAGTGTATTGTTTATTGTCTGCTGCGAAGTGACAGGAACAAGAATCCTTTCAAAACAAAAGTGTATTTAATTCATTTTATCGTCACAACCAAAATATTTTCAATATTGTTTCATTTTGATTTTCAGACTTTTGACTGTTACAATAAAAGCACAGAAAATAAATGTAGATGAATCAGATGGTTTACGTTTGGTTTGACTTCTATTCATCCTCGTTAAATATCTCCTGGTTTCCTGTTTGGTTATGATCCAATATTTGAACCTAATTACGGTTTCAGTCACACCATAAAGCTCCAAATCAATACGCTCTATTTGTTGTAGTTCAGAGTCGGAAACAACGATGTTAGAAAGTCAATCTTTTTCAAATAGGTTTGCACTTTTATGAACTTTTTTATGTTCTGTTTTTATTCTGCCCATGTTTTATTTTAATCTCTCTCAAACTGTGAATTTTGTATTAAATGAATATAATTTTTTTAAACAATGCCACAATTATGATGTTGATGGTTACTTGTTTTGTCTTTGATCGAAATAAAGTTGCTTTTCTGACTTCTGAAGTTTGAGTGCAGATATTTTTCAACGTAAATAAAACACATCGTTTTTATTATTTGGGTTTTTTTGTTAAAAAAAGTCAGCGTGTGCTTTTTTTCACTGAGATGAAAATATAAACCAAATTGAAAGATACATCTAACTAAGGTCTAACTAAGGTCTTAAGGACCATGCCGTTTAAGCACCTTGCTCAAAAATTGCATTCCCATGATGAAAAGGTCATATGTCTATTGGAATGATCTGCGTGTTATAATATATGACCTTTATTATTTTGAATTATTCTCATACATACATAGTAATTGTACTGTAGTACTGCCTCACAATGTGTGTCCGTCCCTCTGGTCCGTCTATCGTCTTCCTGGTCTGCCTGTCTGGACCGTCTCTCTGGTCCGAATCTCTAGTGCGTATCCCCGGTCCGTCTAGCCACCCTCTTCCTGGTCTGTCTCTTTGGAACGGTCTCTCCGGTCCGTCTAGCCACCCTCTTCCTGGTCTGTCTCTTTGGAACCAGTCTCTCCGGTCCGTCTAGCCACCCTCTTCCTGGTCTGTCTCTTTGGAACAGTCTCTCCGGTCCGTCTCTCTGGTCCGAATGTCTAGTCCGTATCTCCGGTTTGTCTCACCACCCTCGTCCTGGTCCGTCTCTTTGGAACAGTTTCTCCGGTCCGTCTCTCTGGTCTCTAGGAGCCCGTCTCTTCAGGGCCAGCTGTGTGTCCTCAGACGCTCTGTGTTGGATCTGATCCAGGGTCAGTGTGCCTCCACTGTGTGAGTGCTTCACCTCCAGCCCCGGTAGGGGTCGATGGGGGCAGTCCAAATGTTCTCCTCCATTAAAATATATGGTCTGTGTAAAAGCCTGGACCCCCCTGGCAGCAGCAGCAGCAGCTCTGGACCCAGTGGTGGAAATAACTTACATTGTTCAAAGCTCAGTGGGACTCCAGCTGGGAGTCGCAGAGTTCAACTGTAACACACACACGCACAAACCATTACACCATCCAACTGGAATGGGCTAATATACTATTAAATATAGGTGCTTCCAGTTGTCTTTATTAACATATTGTATATCTGAAGTGGGTGTTTTTTTGTCTGCTTGTTCTTCCTTCATTGGTATATTAATTTAAATTTGTACTAAATAATGATGGCCAGAAAGTCCCACCTCCCGCCGCCAGGTGTCACTGTAGTATAAATGTGTTTCCTGTCTCCTTCTGTGGTCTTTAGATTCCTGCTAACTTAGTATTTCTTTAAAGATTAAAGTTAAATTGAGATTCTGTTTCCTGCGGTAAGGAAAAATATTGTGGCAATAAACCCAGTATCTGTATCAGAATTATTATTATCATCATTAACGGCACGGTGGTGTGGTGGTTAGCACTGTTGCCTCACAGCAAGAAGGTCCTGGGTTCAATTCCGCCCAGTGGCCTTTCTGTGTGGAGTCTGCATGTTCTCCCCGTGTCTGCGTGGGTTCTCTCCAGGTTCTCCGGCTTCCTCCCACAGTCCAAAGACATGCTCTGGGGATCAGGTTAATTGGGGACTTTAAATTGCCCGTAGATGTGTGAATGTGAGTGTGAATGGTTGTGTGTCTCTGTGTAGCCCTGCGATTGGCTGGCGACCAATCCAGGATGTACCCTGTCTATCGCCCGAGGTTGGCTGGGATGGACTCCAGCCCCCCGCGACCCTGTGTGCAGGATAAGCGGTTTGATGATGGATGGATCATTAACAGTAATGAAAAATGTTCCAAATGAAATAGAAGTTATGTGACAAAATAATACTGTAGATACCTCATTAATTAATACATGTATGATTAAGTCTTCTTATATTTTAAGAACATTCAAATGTTTAGTTGTCTTCCTTCGAGAGTTTATTATATTAATAAATAAATAAAAATTATACAAGAGGTTTTAAGAGGGAAAAACTTCTTCAAAGGCTCTCAGATGGAATGTATTTGGTAAAAAGCTAACAGATAAAACATGACATATGTTCCTCTGTGCTACATGGACACAGAGGGACAAAGTTATACTTTAGATCAGTCCTCGTGGAATTCCTTTAGGAGCTCAAACCACCAAACCATCCAACCATTGACCCATCCATCAAATCATCAATCCATTCAGACATCCAACTATCGACCCATCCGACCATCCAAACCTCAAACCATCCATCCGATCATCAAACCACCAAACCATCCAACCATCAACCCATCCATCAAATCATCAATCCATTCAGACATCCAACTATCGACCCATCCGACCATCCAAACCTCAAACCATCCATCCGATCATCAAACCACCAAACCATCCAACCATCAACCCATCCATCAAATCATCAATCCATTCAGACATCCAACTATCGACCATCCGACCATCCAAACCTCAAACCATCCATCCGAGCATCAAACCACCAAACCATCCAACCATCGACCCATCCATCAAATCATCGATCCATTCAGACATCCAACTATCGAACATCCGACCATCCAAACCTCAAACCATCCATCCGAGCATGAAACCACCAAACCATCCAACCATTGACCCGTCCCTCAAATCATCAATCCATTCGGACAATAACTATCGACCATCCGACCATCAAAACCTCAAACCATCCGTCCGAGTCTCAAACCACCGGACCATCCAGACGATGAGTGTCTGTCGGGGCGTCAGATAGAGTCATGAAACCACTCAATCAGCTATTCGGCCATCAACCCCATATGTTAGAGATGAACCTGGATCAGTTTCTAGAGAAGAGGTTTCGCAAAGAAACAGAAGCATCTTTATTTATTTATTCCTCTCGTGAGTGAACAAAGCTTTGGGGAAAGAGATTTATCAAAGCCAAGGAGTACAGGTGAGGTGACAGAGAGCCCTTCCATCAACTGAACAACAGTTTACTTTGATTGTCACTGAGCACCAGAACGACGAAGCGAACATCTGTAATGACCACCTCACAGAGACCCGCTGCCGAGCTCGTCGCCGTGTTGCCCTTTAAAACTGTGCTTTTGATAATCAATCCCTTCGATGGATCCGACCTTTCTGCAAAGCACGGAAGTCAGAAAAGCCACATTGGCTGAGAGGTTCTCAGAGGAGGTCCTCAGGAGACATAGATTCCTCTCTTGGTATAAAATGATCCCTGTTCAAACCTCTTCAAAGGAAAAGGGTTTTTAATGCTGGTCCTCTGTGACCCTCCCAAAGGACAGGCATTGAGCCCGGGGGGGAGGGTTCTCAGGAGGACGCCTGAAGACAAGGTGGGACGTCCATCCTCTGCTGCCGGAGAGTCTTATATCCGTACATGGAAGTTACTGCGGACATAAACAGAAACATGATGACCTTCAGCTGATAGACCAAAGGTCCTCCAGAGGAACGGATTTCTCACTGTGAGACACCCTACAGGTTCACATCCGGCATTAGTACCTGAGGAAGTCCGGAGCCTTTGAGACCATATTCTCGAAGTCGGAGAAGGAAAGCTTGCTGTCCCCATCAAGGTCGGCCTCTTCCATGGATTTGTTACAGACCAGTGTGACTTCCTCTGGCGTCAGCTCTCCTTTGGTAAGCTTGTTCAGGGTCTTCTTCAGGTCCTCCTTACAGATGAAGTTGTCCCTGTTAAAGTCTGGAGCACAAGATCACGCTGAGGACCAACATACCGGTCTGTCTGCCTGTCTAATAGTTTGTCTACTTATTACCTCTCTGCTCATCTGTCTCTCTACCTAACTACCCGTCTCCCTACCTCCTGCCTGTTCACTTATCACCGGTTAACCTCCGTCTTACCGTAGATCTCGAAGGCTACCTACCTACATGTCAACCTATCAACCTACATACCTGTCTACCTCCTGCCTCGTCAGCTGTTGATCTGTCTTACCGTAGATCTTGAAGGCTACCTACTGTGATGTCTCGAGAGGTCGGGACCATGAGGTGAGGCGTAGGTGCAAAAAAATAAGGACAAATAATGATTCAAATACTTTTTAAAATCTTGTCTTGATCCAAAAAAAGGACCAGCCCTCTCAGGACACCACACTAACTACCCGTCTACCTGTCTGCTAGCCGTCCTGTCTAGCTTCTACCTGTCTACCAGTCTACCTGTGTACCTCCTGCCTGGACACACATAACCTGTTGGTCTTGGTCTCACCGTAGATCTTGAAGGCGTAGATGGTCTTGAGTTCTCTGGGCGAGGTTTCACAGAGAGCGGAAAACATGTCAACAAAGTCGTTGAAACTCAGGTTCCCGTTTCCATCCTCAGAGAATGTTTCCACTATTCTGTCTCTGAACGGGTTCTCCTGCCACAGGTCAATCACAGGGACAGTCTTTACTGACTGAGTAAAATGATTGAAAGTAATGGATACAAGTGATTACACAGGTGAAAGGTCACAGGTGAAGGGTCACAGGTGTACAGAGGACTACCTACCTTGAACTCCGGCATAGTGACAATGAGCGTGGGAGGAACCCTGATGTCGGGGTTGTTGGTGTAATCCAGAGGCACAAGGTGAGGAGCGAGTTCACGATATCGTCCGTGTAACCTTAAGGTCGATCATGTTACAATAAAGCAGCCGCACAATGTTCCTCTCAGGATGAACGCTGAGAACTTTATCATCCATCAGGACAACAACATACGTTTCTTAATATATACACACAATATCATGTAACGTAATAATGTTTTTATGTTTCAATTCATCACATTAGAGATGTATGTTTTTCTATTTTGGTCTTTGGTTCTCTTGCTGCCCTAAAATGGGCGGGGCTTCGGCATAAAAAGGTGATGTCAATAATTTGATCATTAGTCATTTAATTATACATTTTTATTGATCAGAAAAGAGCTTTTTCAGAACCTTTAAGTTTCTCTCTAAAGCACGAGTGTCAAACTCAAGGCCGAATCCGGCCCGCCGGATGACTTGTGAGATTTACCCCTGCGTTAGACCTTTTCGACCACGGCGTTTCTCCAGGCAGCAGCGTCCACTTGAAAATTACCATTCACGCCATCCGCCCCCCCATCATTTTTAATGGTCTGGCCCACCTGGGCTCAATGTGGGCAGTAGTTTGACACCCCTGCTTAAAGCACCAAATGTCTGATTCTGGTTTAAAATGTGAAATTTCTAATTTATAGCTGACCCGTAGCCCCGCCCCCTCCCTCTCAATGGATGAAGGTGCCTCGTCATGGTGACCTCACCTCAGGATCTCCTTCCTGGTGAAGAAGGTGCAGTCCTGTAAACAAACACAGACGTCACAGATGTGCCGCTGCTCCTCTGGGAGGATCTGCTTTCACAGCATCACTCAGCATCACATGCAGCGGGAGGCGTTTCGGCCAATCACCGGCCGGCACCTCCTCCTACTTTCAATTAGGGTGATGGATGTGGAGAGGAAGCTGCTCATGCCATGACGTCATCACAGTATAATAGTAATCATTACTAGTGTGAATGCTGATGCATGCTAATGTTCCACCTGAAAGGCCTCCAGCTGCTCGTCGGTGAAGGTTGTCTGCTTGTTGCCCATCCTGCTCGGCTGCCTCTCCCATCACACAGGACGGTACCGCTGATCTCAGGTCGGCTTCTGCCCATTCAGGACCACATCCGGTCGAGCAGTACGCGTCCACGAGGTTCTGCTCCTTTGTGTCCTTCGGGTCCCAGCCTTCCGATTCAGCGCAGTGGGAGGAAGGTGATTTATAGAGGGGAGGGGGGGGCAGTGTGGTGCCTTCAGGGGCTCCTCGGATTAAAGGCCATCTGTGTTAAAATGTTACAAATCACGGAGAAAAGTTCACATGATAATGATTATAATGATATAATGAAGATGATAGAATAATTATGATGATATAATACAAATAAAATAGTATGTTTATGATTATTATAATCATAATTATAAACATACTATTTTTACAATTATTAGATTGTTAATTGAAGAAAACGCAAGGAGAACGTCAGGGGAGGATCCGTCCCCTGATGGACAGACTACAATGGATGTCATGTGTACAGAATGAACAATGTAAAAGATGAACAATTCATTCAATTCCAAATGATACAAAGAAAGTTTAAACTGCACTTCTGGGGGTGAAAGGACTTTTATTTGTAATCTGACTTTTCCGGGTCGTGGCATCACTGAGTGCTGCCCTGCACATCCTGGCCAATCACATCTCCAGAGTTATGATCATTTACATTTACATTACATCACATGTCATTTAGCTGACGCTTTTATCCAAAGCGACGTACAATAAGTGCATTCAACCATAGGGTACAAACTCAGGAGAACGAGAAACAAGAAAGTGCAATTTCCTCAAATAAGCCAATTTACAATTTGCTATAGATGAGTGACGTTACAAGTACAATTTAAGTGCTACAATTTGTTAGTCTTTAGTCGAGGTAGAGTCTGAAGAGGTGTGTCTTTAGTTTGCGGCGGAATGTGAATTTACAATTTATAAAATGCAGAAGCACGTGAACAGGGGGGGGTGTTGATCAGTGTTGGCTTGGGAGGGGTGTAATCATGTATCTCAAGCAGTTCGAGCATTGGGGGCGGGCCTAAGCTGCAGCAAACAGGCGGAGAAGAGTAGCCATATATGTTTAAATTTAAAATCTTTTCCAGAGAGAGTTGATAGAACCAGTAGTAAATAAGTAAATATTAACCATAGTTATAAGACGTGAGAACAGGCTGCTCTTAATTGTAACTCTTTATTCAGGTAACCGAGCCACGCTTTCTCCCCCAGGTTGTTCCCCTCACATGAGTCCCCCGGGTCCTAGCTCCCTCCCCTACTGCGTCTTATAAACATCAATGAGCATTGTGAACGTCCTGGTACCAACATACATTTATAACAAATACCACAACTCCTGAACCGAGATGCTTTATGTCACCTGATGAAAGTAAAATGTTTCTGCCGGTAATTTTTTTTTATAAATGTTAACTACTGTGTAAATGGAATACTGATAAAGCACCTTATTTTCATTGTTTGCATAAATACAAGTGAACAATACACTACTTTTTTAATTAATGATATACTCTTAGGAATAATCACGATTAGAAATGGTCATTCTTACCCACATACGCTAACAACTAATATAAACAGTACACACACTGTATATTCACGCACAGTGTGTGTCCTCTTATTTTAAATAGAGGATCTTTGTCTTGGTTCGTCCTCAGCTCAGAGTGAGCCCTCCTCTTGCTGGTACTCTGGTCGGAGGATCTTTGAACGCATTGAAAGGCATGATGGCCGGCAGCGCGTGGAGGTCAATGGTGAGAGGAGATTAAACCGCACAGAATCCGCGAGGGACCCGAGTGTCTTTGACTCACGCGTCACATCGGAGGGTATCGGTGTCTTTCCGGTGACACCGGGACTTTCTCCTGTATTACCGGGAGTCACGCGACCTTCCTTCCGTTAGCATGTTAGCTAGTTGTGTGCCCTTCAGTGGAATGAGTGTAGCTAAGCTAGCTGGATGAGTGTAGCTAAGCTAGCTGGGCTAACAGATCTTTACTTAAAATACCCGTTTCCCATGTAGGAGCGAGCGATCCATCGGCACCGGTTTAAACCAGTGCCGAGAAACGGAAGCTTTCCGTGACGTGAGTTCGCCCCTAAAACACTACGTTTTAAAACATCCTCATATTTAAGGTCAACTTGTAAGTTGGGAAAAAATCATTAAATATTTCCGAAGAAGAGTTCTTGTTTTTTAATTCGGCATATTACAAGAAATCCGCCGTGCAGGTTTGAAATAAAGTGAATTTTAAGCCAAAACAAAACTTTCGAAAGAAAACAAACCGTGAGCCAAAATTCATCTTCTTCATTTTATCCTCCAAATGTCTTAAAATGGTAAAATGATATATTGAATTGATTGGAAATAACCCCAAATCCCCCAAAGAGATGCGTTTTAATATTAATGATATTGCTATTGGTGATTGATATTCAGATTCCGTGTGTGTTGATCAGGTCCGTATTGATCAATGAGCATCGCCTTGTTTGTGTGAGCGTTAAAATGACCTTCATGTGACTCCAGCTGTCCCAAGTGGTGGCGAGATCCAGGAGAACCAGCCTGTCCTCCGCTTCCTTCTCCAGAGGGGTGAGTAGGTCCCCAACAAGACACCTGCTGACACATCAACACCCGCACAGCGACAGACGCACACAGTAACACAAACCGCCGCCGGCACACAGACATTAGTCGAGGTCATCCACGACCGGTTGTAAGAAATGGTTGACGCAGCTTTTTTTCGTCGACTCGTCGTATATAATAAAAAGATTGACTGGTAATTTTCACTCGGCGGTGCAACGCGCGACGTGCTGGTCACGTCTCTCCCTACGGACAATGAGAACGAAGAGTCTGTTGGACTCCGAGATTCTCCGTTAACGCTGAACGAAAGCCGGCTGAGAAGCAGAAGGACCGACAGGAGGATGTGAGGATGCTGTGAGGATGCTGTGAGGAGGCTGTGAGGAGGATGTGAGGATGCTGTGAGGATGCTGTGGACACTTTAAACCCGTGGCTTTTTCACATTTTGCCCAGGGAGCAATTAGGGGTCAGGTGTCTTGCTCAGGGACACTTCGACATGGAACATGGGGCAGCCTGGACTCGAACCACCAACCTTGTGCTTCCCAGCACACCTTCTCTAACCCCTGCGCCACGACGACCCCTAGTTATCTATAACAGTAATAAATAAAAGATTCTTTTTAGAATGAACCCACAGCAGCATATTAAAGCCGCATGGAGCAGCATAGCATTTGTTTTGCACCACTATGTAAGGGAGCAACGGTGCTTTCACGTTTGATCTCGTGCACGTGAGGCTGTGATGGCGTGCTGGTAGCCCCGCCTCCTGTCAGTCGATGCGTGCATGACGGAGCGGAGCAGTGAGCGCGCTCTGATTTCACGCTACTTGAAATCGTATTAACGTACAGGTATAGCATTACATTCCGTGTCAACATCTGTAATAGAACACACGGTTTATGTTGCTTCCTGATGTTAACGCTCCGCTGCCTTAATGTAACTTGTTTTATTTATAATGAACTATAATTAACCTTTTATCAGTGTCAATTGAACATGACTGCCTATGTGTAAAGGGAATCGTATATTGATGGTATATTTCGTCTAGTCCACATGGATAAGAGACATTTCTCAGTACAATTGAAGTGCTACAGTTTGTTTCAGTGGAGTATGAAGACGTCCTGATGTCTTCATATCAGGGACTTCAGCAGCAACACTAATAGAATTATTATCTTCATTTTATTTTCACTGTTCAATGTTTTATCATTTTCATTAATATTGATTTTAGTTTCACTGTTGTATTTATATTCTTTAATTAATGATGTCATTAAAACAGATCCAGACCGTCACACTGATTCCCGGGGACGGGATCGGACCGGAGATCTCTACCGCCGTCATGCAGATCTTTGAGGCGGCGAAGGTGAGTGAGGTCACACACGTCATCCAGATGTGACGAGCAGCAGGATCCCAACCTGCGCGTCTCTGCCTGCAGGCTCCCATCAGCTGGGAGGAGAGGAACGTGACGGCCATCAAAGGGCCAGGCGGCAGGTGGATGATTCCTCCTGATGCCAAAGAGTCCATGGACCGCAGCAAGATCGGGCTGAAGGGTGAGGACACGTTCTGTCGTCCAGCGAGGAGAAGAATCTCACAATGGAAGCGTGGTAGATCTAGCAAAGTTAACTTTCTTCCCGTGCACATCTGGCTCGATTCATTTGTGCTAAAACAACCTCAAAGTACATCCATAAATTCTAAGAAACATCCCTGTCATCGGCCCTGAACTCATCACGGACCAACATGAAAGAGTTTAAATATGAAACTGGAACTGTGACGTCATGTGACCATCGATCAGACATGATTCACGTGTCTTTTTTAATATCTAGATCTACATTTTGTTTTCTAATATTCACACCGATTTATAGATTTCATTGCTTCACTAAATAGATTTGACTTGTGTTTGAATGATTTCATACTAACCGAGTGATTCAGCTTCTGCTCCTCAGGGTTCTGTTTCCAAAGAGGAGACTGATTTTCATTTTACTGACGGGTCTGTTCTTCTCCAGGACCCTTGAAGACCCCCATCGCCGCCGGCCACCCCTCCATGAACCTGCTGCTCAGGAAGACCTTTGACCTCTACGCCAACGTGCGACCTTGCATCTCCATCGAGGGCTACAAGACGCCGTACACAGACGTCAACCTGGTCACCATCCGGGAGAACACGGAGGGCGAGTACAGCGGCATCGAACACGTGGTGAGCTGCACATAACAAATGTCAGAACCAGAACAGAGGACAACATGGTAGTGTTCTCACTTTCACTGAGCAGAGCCTGAACGCATCATAATGTAACTGAAGTGAACCTGTCACATGATCAGAGGCCCAACAGCTGTCTGTCTGAAGCTTGTGACAATACACAATCACATTTAAGATCCGGTCGGGATGGTGTACCTGCCCTCCTCACCTGTAGGTCCGCTACCTGCTGAGGACGAGAGCCTCCTCTTTGTCTTCAGGGTAAGCAGGAGGAACCGGTACGGTCCAGATGTGGAACCCTTTATACAAACTGTCAGCTTCAATCCAAATCAAAGTCGTGATGAGCGAACGTTCCATCTTTTCTAGAGCATCCAGGTGTGAGTGCAGGTTCTCAATGGCTGTCACATGACCAAATCGTCGGTACAGTTCTGTCCGCTGGCAGTAGGCGTCCCCGTGCATGTGTGATGTCACTTCCTGGCCAATCAAATGGCTCCATTCCCGTTCTTTCTCTCCCTTGTCTGGAATGACCACTTCCTTTCACCTATGACCACTTCCTGTCTCCTTTCACCTATGACCACTTCCTGTCTCCTTTCACCTATGACCACTTCCTGTCTCCTTTCACCTAGGACCACTTCCTGTCTCCTTTCACCTATGACCACTTCCCGTCTCCTTTCACCTATGACCACTTCCTGTCTCCTTTCACCTATGACCACTTCCGTCTCCTTTCACCTATGACCACTTCCCGTCTCCTTTCACCTATGACACTTCCTGTCTCCTTTCACCTATGACCACTTCCCGTCTCCTTTCACCTATGACCACTTTCCCGTCTCCTTTCACCTATGACCACTTCCTGTCTCCTTTCCCCTATGACCACTTCCTGTCTCCTTTCACCTATGACCACTTCCTGTCTCCTTTCACCTATGACCACTTCCTGTCTCCTTTCACCTATGACCACTTCCTGTCTCCTTTCACCTATGACCACTTCCCGTCTCCTTTCACCTATGACCACTTCCTGTCTCCTTTCACCTATGACCACTTCCCGTCTCCTTTCACCTATGACCACTTCCTGTCTCCTTTCACCTATGACCACTTCCTGTCTCCTTTCACCTATGACCACTTCCTGTCTCCTTTCACCTATGACCACTTCCTGTCTCCTTTCACCTATGACCACTTCCCTGTCTCCTTTCACCTATGACCACTTCCCGTCTCCTTTCACCTATGACCACTTCCCGTCTCCTTTCACCTATGACCACTTCCCGTCTCCTTTCACCTATGACCACTTCCCGTCTCCTTCACCTATGACCACTTCCCGTCTCCTTTCACCTATGACCACTTCCCGTCTCCTTTCACCTATGACCACTTCCCGTCTCCTTTCACCTATGACCACTTCCCGTCTCCGTAGATCGTTGAGGGCGTCGTCCAGAGCATCAAACTCATCACCGAGGACGCCAGCAGACGCATCGCTGAGTACGCCTTCGAGTACGCCAGAAACAACCAGAGGGCGAGCGTGACGGCCGTCCACAAGGCCAACATCATGTGAGGCATCGGGGGGACGGACAACTCAGTCTCTTTGTAATGGACCACAGCACTGAGACCTTCTCCCCCCCTCCTCCCCCCCTCATCCCTTCCCACAGGCGGATGTCAGACGGCCTTTTCCTGAGGAAGTGTCGCGAGGTGGCAGAAGGCTACAAAGACATAAAGTTCACAGAGATGTACCTGGACACCGTGTGTCTCAATGTGAGTCCCCTTGTCCTGTGTCTTCCTCACGGCCTCTCGTCCCTTCTCACCACATGCTGCTCTGTCTCCAGATGGTTCAGGACCCCACGCAGTTTGATGTCCTGGTGATGCCCAACCTGTACGGAGACATCCTCAGGTCTGTCTCTCTCTGTCCCTCCCTCTGTCCCTCTGTCCCTGCCTGTCTGTCAGTAACACCTCTCTGGGTTTCAGTGATCTGTGTGCCGGTCTCATCGGAGGACTCGGTGTGACTCCCAGCGGAAACATCGGCGCTAACGGAGTCGCCATCTTTGAATCGGTTCGTTTCTCTTTGTGGCTTCATTTGATGTCAAAGAGTCACATGACACTTTAATTCACTTCCTGTCTCCGTGCTGCAGGTCCACGGAACCGCCCCCGACATCGCCGGTCTGGATTTGGCCAACCCCACCGCCCTGCTGCTCAGCGCCGTGATGATGCTGCGTCACATGGGTCACCATGACTACGGCAACAAGATCCAGACGGCCTGCTTCGACACCATCAGGGACAAGAAGGTGAGTCGGGGGTCTGAGGATTAAATGTAACAGGAGGAGCGTGAGAAGAAGTAGCAGGTGAAGGTGGAAAGTGTCTGATGCAGATGTTTGTGTCTCAGGTTCTGACCGGAGATCTGGGAGGAAACTCAAAGTGTTCCGAGTTTACAGCCGAGATCTGCCGTCGTATCCAGGACCTGGACTGACGCAGCAGGAGCCTCTGTGGGGTCTCTGCCCCTCTGAATGGAGCCGTTTCCATGAAGAGCGGCTCTATGTATATTTTCTGAGGAGGCGACGAAACATTCACAGCTCAGACGCAAATGTCTCATGACCAAGAGCTCTCTGCTTCGCTTCTCACGTGTTTGGGTTTATTTTAACGGTGGTCGACCGTAATTTATTTATTGTTTCCTGTTGGTCTCCTGCCGCTCTTCAGATTCATAAACAATACACATTAAACATTTGTGTATATGTATGTACATATACACATTAAACATTTGTGTATATGTATGTACTTATGTGTGTGTGTGTATATAACATATATACACACACACAGGAATGAGTGTGTGTTTCGAGGAGGCTTCTGTTCACTCATTAAACAGCTGATTGGCGACATCACACTCTAGACCTCTTGTTTCATGAAGACTATCATACTTTAGTGGTATTCTATATTTCATCCATGAGCAGAAAATGGAAGTACTCGTCTTGAGAAATGTTAAATGTTATTATTGTATCATCAATTAATGATCTTAAACCGTAAGCTTGAATCCATGTTTACACTGATGACTGTATGTAAACTCAAACGCATGTGAACATGTAGAATAATGCAAAGTAAGTGCCTTGCGTATTGTAGTGGCCGTTTGTCCTTGGGACCAATAAATGATTACGTCAAAGGGCCACTGATGCACCGACTGTTTAGTTTCTTTTACGCAGCAAGAGAGCGGATTGTCGAGGCCGATCTATACTAACAATATATAACTCACCCGAGGCTCCTATTCGCTGTGCTGGTAAACCGTGTCACCCGGATACTGATCAGTCCTCAAATTAACCACAACTATGTATACTGAAGTATAAAAACAGAAAAGGGTCATTTTAATTAATGGGATCAAAACTAAAATAATAAAATAACAATTGCAACTTAATATCTCCCACACGTATTGTTCTTAAATATAATTGAATTTACTCGTACTACATTTCTAGTTTCTTTTAATCCTACAATATATTTCCGAGTAATTCATGTACTTTTACAGGTTTAGTAATTTTACAGATAATATAAACTAATGAAGTATTCTAAATGAAACCACCATCAGTACAGAAAGTGCATTTAAGTTCATCATATAATATCCTATTAACAGTTACAACAGCGGAGGAGTTTTTCACATTAAAGACATTCTGCTTTTGTGCCGAAACAAATATAGAAAATAAAAGGTTGTGTGATTGTCGAAAGGCGGAATAAAGAACAAACATGCATTATACTTCTATACTATCTATTCTATACTATACACCGCTATAAGAGTATTTGTACTTTTACTGAAGTAACCGCCCCTCGTGGTAACCAAAGTAGTTCTAGTTTTATTGTGAAAGGCTCGTACCGGATGCGTGGTGGTGTATTCACGCCCCCTGATGCTCCGCCTCGCCGGAACCAGAACCAGCGGGCCGGTCCCGTCAGACGATGGCGAAGACGTACGACTACCTGTTCAAGCTGCTGCTCATCGGGGACAGCGGCGTCGGGAAGACATGTCTCCTCTTCCGGTTCAGCGAGGACGCCTTCAACACCACCTTCATCTCCACCATCGGTGAGTCGCTGGTGACCTTTGACCCCTCCGATCAGTTACAGCGTGCTAATGATCATTAGTTGTAGTACGTTCAGAGTGGTATTTACTGTGTGGTATAAGTACTTTCAGAGGGGTATTTACCGTGTGGTATTAGTACTTTCAGAGTGGTATTTACCGTGTGGTATTAGTACTTTCAGAGTGGTATTTACCGTGTGGTATTAGTACTTTCACTGCAGTGATTGTGTGTATAAGTCTGTGACTTCATGAGAGGAAAGTGTGTATTATGAAGTATTTCAGAGAGTATAACGGAGCCGTGACCTTTGACCGTCAGCAGGTCAAAGGTCACGATGTCACACACACAGACGGGTTTTTCTGTGTTCTGGTCTGAACCGTACTGAGCCGTAGGTCCGGTGACCTCTGCTCCCCCTCTTCCTCCTCTGATGAGGACGTCGTCCTCCAGTGTAACTGCATATATGTTAAATGAGCTCCCACAATGCTTTGCTGCTTTGGACGGACAGAGGACGCTCTGTGGTCAGCTGGCGCGCGCGTTCTCTCAGCTTGAATGTCAGCAATGTGAAAGTAATTATTCCGGATGCTTTATGGTGACATAAGACGCATTTATAGGAACACAATGATACTTGTATACTGTTCAGTATAATACACAGTTGAATGGAATAATATCTAAGGATACACAGTAACACATTAATACAGCAGGATAAGGAGGAGGAGGTCATTGACCTGCTCTGCTCCATGTTTCCGTGACAACCAGTCACTTCCTGGTTGTCACTTCCTGATTCCAGAATGAGTTCTGATCACTCTTCAGTTGATCAGCTGAACCCAACATGAATCTGACTTTCATCGCTTTACATCCGTGCAGCATCTCGTGCTTCATGCTGCATTCTTTGCTGGTAGTGGGGGAGGAGCACAGGAAACAGCTGTCACACTTTGACACTCTGTATCCGGAGCTTCTTCAGAGGCAGGAAGCAACGTTTGTTTAAAATATCCCGACTTCCTGTCAGGAAAACACCCAGTCAGCCGGCAGCTACAGCGCACTAAAATGAAATGATCTCTATATTGATATTTCCATCAGATCAGTTATTACCCAGCATGCTTTGCGTCATGTCCGAGTGGCATTACTCCCGGTTGCCATGGTAACATCAGTGTTTTCTGTCATGATGACGATAACAATGTTTTTCATCATGCACACGTGAGGTCACAATATTTCACTTGTTTCTTTGTTGTGTTCAAGGAATCGACTTCAAAATCAGAACTATTGAACTGGACGGAAAGAAAATCAAGCTTCAGATCTGGTGAGTTTGATCCAAAACAGCCTGATCAATGACTATCAGAGAGGATCAGTACATGCTGATCAATACTATCAGAGAGGATCAGTACATGCTGATCAATGACTATCAGAGAGGATCAGTACATGCTGATCAATACTATCAGAGAGGATCAGTACATGCTGATCAATACTATCAGAGAGGATCAGTACATGCTGATCAATAACTATCAGAGAGGATCAATACATGCTGATCAATGATTATCAGAGAGGATCAGTACATGCTGATCAATACTATCAGAGAGGATCAGTACATGCTGATCAATGACTATCATAGAGGATCAGTACATGCTGATCAATGACTATCATAGAGGATCAGTACCTGCTGATCAATGACTATCATAGAGGATCAGTACCTGCTGATCAATACTATCAGAGAGGATCAGTACATGCTGATCAATGACTATCAGAGAGGATCAATACATGCTGATCAATGACTATCAGAGAGGATCAGTACATGCTGATCAATACTATCAGAGAGGATCAGTACATGCTGATCAATACTATCAGAGAGGATCAATACATGCTGATCAATGACTATCAGAGAGGATCAGTACCTGCTGATCAATGACTATCAGAGAGGATCAGTACATGCTGATCAATACTATCAGAGAGGATCAGTACCTGCTGATCAATGACTATCATAGAGGATCAGTACCTGCTGATCAATACTATCAGAGAGGATCAGTACATGCTGATCAATGACTATCAGAGAGGATCAATACATGCTGATCAATGACTATCAGAGAGGATCAGTACATGCTGATCAATGACTATCAGAGAGGATCAGTACATGCTGATCAATGACTATCATAGAGGATCAGTACATGCTGATCAATGACTATCATAGAGGATCAGTACCTGCTGATCAATACTATCAGAGAGGATCAGTACATGCTGATCAATGACTATCAGAGAGGATCAATACATGCTGATCAATGACTATCAGAGAGGATCAGTACATGCTGATCAATGACTATCAGAGAGGATCAGTACATGCTGATCAATGACTATCAGAGAGGATCAGTACATGCTGATCAATGACTATCAGAGAGGATCAATACATGCTGATCAATGACTATCAGAGAGGATCAATACATGCTGATCAATGACTATCAGAGAGGATCAATACATGCTGATCAATGACTATCAGAGAGGATCAGTACATGCTGATCAATGACTATCAGAGAGGATCAGTACATGCTGATCAATGACTATTAGAGAGGATCAGTACATGCTGATCAATGACTATCAGAGAGGATCAATACATGCTGATCAATGATTATCATAGAGGATCAGTACATGCTGATCAATGACTATCATAGAGGATCAGTACATGCTGATCAATGACTATCAGAGAGGATCAGTACATGCTGATCAATGACTATCATAGAGGATCAGTACATGCTGATCAATACTATCACCTGCAGGGACACAGCGGGCCAAGAGAGGTTCAGGACCATAACAACAGCCTACTACAGAGGAGCCATGGTAAGTCCTCCCACCCCTCTTGCTCTGCTATTGGCTAGTGAATCTGTCAATCACATCTCAAACATCGGTCAAGTCAGTGGTTCCCAAATGTTTCCTGTCACGTTGTAAGACCCCATTTTGAGAACCACTGGCTTAAGTCATGACTCCTCCCCTGGTCACATGACTTAGATAAAATGTTTACGCTACATACAGTATATTTATTCATCACATGACCCGTCCTTCATGACCTTAGGTGAGGGGAGGAACAGAGATTGACCGGTACATCGAGGGCTTTGCCTTCCGGCTCAGCTCTCTTTTTGTTACGATGGTGCGAGTGCCACACACTCACAGGCCACTTCATCAGGTCCACCTTGCTAGTAGAAGGTTGGACCCCTTCCTTCTTCAGAACGGCCTTAATTATTAGTGTTATACTTTCAACAAGGTGTTGGAAACATCCCTCACAGATGGTGGTCCATATGGAGGGTTTAAAGAGGCTCCTGATTGCCTGCTTGATTCACCTGTGAGGGACAACCAAAGACACCTGGGGGGAGATGCCATCAAGTCCACAAGAAGATCAAGACCACATCATGGTCACAGGGGGACCCGCTCATACGCCTTGTCCAGGTCCACAAAATACATGTAGACTGGATGAGCTCCCAGGCCTCCTCCATGATCCTTGGAGAGGAAAGAGCTGATCTGGACAAGAACCGCGTTGTTCCTCTCCAGTCCTTGGGTTGATCCTTTCCAGCACCTTGGAGTGGACTTTACCAGGGAGGAGTAGTGTGATACCCCCGTAATTGGCACACTCTCTTCGGTCCCTCTGAGGAGAGATACCAGAACCCCTTTCTGCCCTTTTGTCAATGTCACAGACACAACGCAGGGTTGAAGAGGCGTGTGATCCATAGACAGCCCCCCAGCACCTATTGGTTTCAGCATCTCCGGACGGATCTCATCACTCCCCGGGGCTTTGCCACTGCGATGTTGTTTGACTACCTCAGCGACCTCCACCAGGCCAATCGACGATGATCTCTCCTCCGCCTCCAGCTCCGCCTCTACCAAAGAGGGCGTAGTAGTGGGTTCAGGAGTTCCTCAAAGTGTTCCTTCCACCGCCCGATAAACTCCTCAGTCGCGGTCAACAGGGTCCCATCCTCACTGTACACAGCTTGGATGGTTCCCCGTTTCCCCCTCCTGAGGTGCCGGATGGTCTTCCAGAAGCACGTCGGTGCCGACCGAAAGTCCTTCTCCATAGTTACCCCAAACTCCTCCCATACTCGCTGCTTTGCCTCCATCACAGCAGAGGCTGCCGCCCTTCGAGCCTGTCGGTACACTGCAGTGCCGCCAATCACGCCTCTCCAGTTGTCTCTATCGTCGCCCACGTGCTGCAGTAGGACTACAGAGTCCCCTACTGGAGCCCCATGCAGGACCCCATTCAGGGTCTCTAGAAAGGCCGAATACTCCGGGCTGCTGTTTGGTGCATATGCACAGACAACAGTCAGAGTTTCCCCCCCACCACCCGAAGGCGTAGGGAGGCGACCCTTTTGTCCACCGGGATAAAAACTCCAATGCAGCAGCACTCAGCCGGGGACTAGTTGCTCCAGAGTAGAATCGAGTCCATCTTCTATCCAGGACTATAGTTCCAGAGCCGAGGCTGTGCGTAGAGGTCCCACCGGATCCTTCCCCCAGAGAGGTGACGTTCCCCGTCCCCAGAGCCAGCATCTGCCGCCCAGGTCAGGCCCGTCTAGACCCCCTACTGTCACTACCACCCTTGTGCACCCGGCCCCCTCAGGTGGTGGGCACACGGGATGGAGAGATCAGGGGTGCCGCGTCACTCCTTCGACACTCGCTGTTGAGCCCTCCATCTGGGCCTGGCTCCTTTTGAACCATTCTTAGTCTGGCCCCTCGCCTGAGACCACCTCGCCAAGGGTTCCCCTTCCAGAGGCGCCAGGCTCCAGACAACACAACCCTCATAGGGACACACAACCCTCCCCACCACGATAAGGTGATGGTTCCTGGAGAAGGAGTCTATATGTGTAATAATCGATTCAAACATAAATCAACATTCGTTAAAATGTGTGTTGAAATATTTTTCTCCTCACTGACTTATTGATCTGATCCTCAGAACATCTGATCAATATTCACCTTCCCTGTGTGTTTGTTCACCTGCGTATTGTGAGCTTTGTATCACTTCCTGTGCTGATGTCACTTCCTCTCTCCTTTTCCCTCCAGGGCATCATGCTGGTGTACGACATCACCAACGAGAAGTCCTTCGATAACATCAGGAACTGGATACGCAACATCCAGGAGGTATGTGACCACCTCACATGATACCCTGAGGTCACATGACATCAGGACGCGTCACTATAGTCACACACACTTGTACTCTGATCTTTACCGGCTTACATTTCTTATTACGTTGTGAGCTACAGTGTAAATCTAAGACCTGCTGTGAGGGAGCCGCCACATGCTGCCTGCTGCTCAACCAATCAGAAAAAACACATTTGGTTGCTTCCTGAGCTTCGATTGGGTAAAAAGGTTTGCGTGATCACACCAGGGGGCGGGGTTACCAGCATCCCACCAATCGACCTCCTGAGCAGAACATTTTACAAACAGATTTAAAGATGAAGATGTTAAAGTCAGTTAATGAAGAACAGCTGTTAATGAATCACATGACCCCATGAACCGAGCTCTGATTGGTCGGTGGGCGGAGCCGAGTTGATCTCTGATCTCCTTTTCCTGTTGTGTGAAATAAAAGAATGTGGTCCTCCATGTGACATGTGACATGGGGTCACGTGTCATGTGACCTTGACAGTAACGACCTCCATGTTTGTTGTCAGCATGCGTCTTCAGACGTGGAGAGAATGATCCTGGGAAACAAATGTGACATGAAGGACAGGAGACAAGTGTCCAAGGAGAGAGGAGAGAAGGTCTGTTCAGGTTGATTTATTATTATTCACATGAATATTATTCAGTCTCCACAACAAATTCCAATTCTATTAACTATATATCTGTATTATTATTCAGATGACTATATTATTTCATTATTACTTCATAATTATTGTTAATAATAATGTTATCATTCGTTTTAATATTTTATCATGTATTTATTTATTTTGACATGAAAGAATGATTATTCTGTTATTGTTGTTATTATGTATTTGAGACTTTATTAATTATTGCATTCCAGTATTATGCATTAATATGTGTAAGATCAAATATGATCCTTTATTATGAAAAAGAATTCTAAATGTTTATTTAGTGAACTTGAAAACGACCTCTTGTTGACCTTTTGTCTCATTGATCAGCTGGCGATCGATTACGGGATCAAGTTCTTGGAAACGAGCGCGAAGTCGAGCATCAACGTGGAAGAAGTGAGTCACGACTAATACATGTAAACATGTAAACAACATCAACGCGTCTTCATGTCAACCATGTGATTCTCTAGATAATAATCTGATCATCGATAATCAGGAAACATTTATTGCCATAATATGTCAGACAGTACGACAATGGACAGTGCAAATAAGATATAATCCTATGGGTTAGTTTAAAAATAAAGGAATAGGTGCAGCAGTAAGGATGGATCAGGACATAGACCATCAAATGTGCAGTAGAACTCGTTCAGCTCGTCTGCAGGCGGAGGTCATTCATGGAGTGGGGGGGTTTTGGGCTTGTAGTTGGTGAGGTGTTTGTCTCCAGACCGAAGCAGAGTCACTTGCTGAGACTGTTGTTGGAGTTTCTCAGAGTCGTTTAGCATCTCACCGCCTTATAAACCTGTATTTTGCCTCTGTGTACAAGTCTTTGTCCCCACTCCTAAATGCCTGATCCTTCTGCAGGCGTAGTGTTCTGAGTTCCGCTGTGAACCAGGGTTTGTCGTTGTTGTAACTCACCCTGGTGCATGATGGTACACAGCTGTCCTCACAGAAGCCGATGTAGGAAGTCACAGCCTCTGTGAACTCATCCAGACTGTCAGTAGCTGAAAACATCCCAGTCTGTGCAGTCAAAGCAGGACCCAAGATCCTCCAGCGCCTCACTGGTCCACTTCTTGGATTCCCTCACCACAGGTTTGCAGAGCTTTAGTTTCTGCCTGTATGCAGGAATCAGATGGACCATCAGGAATCAGATGGACCATCAGGAATCAGATGGACCATCAGGAATCAGACGGACCATCAGGAATCAGACGGACCATCAGGAATCAGATGGACCATTAGGAATCAGATGGACCATTAAGAATCAGATGGACCATTAGGAATCAGACGGACCATCGGGAATCAGATGGACCATCAGGAATCAGACGGACCATTAGGAATCAGACGGACCATCAGGAATCAGATGGACCATTAGGAATCAAATGGACCATCAGGAATCAGACGGACCATCAGGAATCAGACGGACCATCAGGAATCAGACGGACCATCAGGAATCAGATGGACCATTAGGAATCAGACGGACCATCAGGAATCAGACGGACCATCAAGAATCAGATGGACCATTAGGAATCAGATGGACCATCAGGAATCAGACGGACCATCAGGAATCAGCTGAGCAGCTGGAGTCCGGTATCGATCCGCAGAGCCACGTCTCCGTGAAGCACGAAACGGAGGATGTAGAAAGACGCCCGGCGGCGCTGTGCAGGAACCTCGCTGGCAGAGTTCGTTTTCCTCGCCTACGGCGTCTCACCGCGGGATGAAAGGTCCGCGCACCTTTGACTAGAATGTCCAGTAATTCCACAGAAGGAAGAAGAAAAGTTGGAGGTCACTCCGCTGGAGATGTTCCTCGGATGTTCATGAGCTCATCTGGTGAAAGAGCTCCGGGAATCACAACACAATTAACAACGAAAAGAACCAAAAACCAAGCGCACTGTGGCGCCATCGTCTGCGCCATCTTGGATCGAATTAATTATCGATTAATAATCTGATTTGATCTACAGGGCTTCCTCACGCTGGGCAGAGACATCATGACTCGACTGAACAGGAAGATGGTGAGTAGAGACAGACATGTGAGAGACATGGAAGCTTTTTACGAGACAATAAGTCTGAGAACCAATAACACTGAAAATAAGATTCTGACCTTTTATGACATAAAATACAGAAAAGTTCCTTTTGGTAGATTTTTTTAATGAAAAGTACTTAAAACAAAGTGGTCAATTTTCATGAAACGTTCTTAGTCAACGTTATAGTAAAATATCTTTTAAAGTCTAGAAGGTAAAGCGCATCCTGGGGGTCAATAGATCAGTTGCAGCTCCTCTGTTCCTGCAGAGCGACGTCGGCCCGTCAGCGGCAGGAAGCTCGGTGAAGATCACAGAGTCTCGCTCCAAGAAAACCTTCAGGTGTTCACTGCTGTAGCTCCGCCCTCCCTCCTCTGGCTCCTCCCCTCATCCTGCTGCAGAATACACCTGTAGAACCAGACAAAGACTTGTTTCTTCTTCTTCTGTTTTTCCTCGTCATTGTGATGAAGACGATGATGAAGATCACATGATGCCTCAGTTTTCATATTCATATAATCTCTTTAAATGTTTTAATACTAAAACCTTTTAGTGACAGTATTTCATGTTTGAATCTACGGAGCTGATTGTTACTGATATATATGTATAAATAATATATACTTACTGTGTATATTTAGAGACACTCGTATTGACACATTTAAACAAATCATTCTTGATATAAAACAGAAAAAAATGTATTCTGAAAAGTCAGGATTATAGTGTTTTAATTTATTTTGGACCAAAGTTTTCATAGTATTGTTTTATTCCGTTCTCTAATTGTGTCAATATAAAAAAAAATAAAGGGTCCATAAATTCTTTTCAACCGTTCAAACTGTGATTTCTCAATAAATCTTCAGAAGTCAAAGATAAAATCATTGAATCTTAGAATTCAAAAATACTCCTTTATCAAAATGTTTGAATTCTTATTTTTATATGAATCAAAGTATCTAAAATATGCAAAGTCTTAAATGGTTTTATTCAAATGACACTTTTGGTTTGTCTCTTGGATTTTTCATTTAATAAGAATTTTGAGTTTTTGGGGGCGTTGGGGCTCGGGGGTAATGGTGTGTGTTTTCACCGCTACCAAAAACGCACAACGAGATCACGAACCAAATGTAGATGCAGTTGTTTTATAAAGAATAATAAACGGGAACTTCACCCAAAGAAAACGAATGACCTCCCACCTCCAGCGTTTTTAGTATTTTAGGATTTCACTTTCACTTTCCAGATCAGTCTTTGTATCTGGGGGTCCAACAACACCATTTCCAGGTCACTTTTTGAATGTAATCTATAAAGGTCCTTTGCAGGTAACTGGGAAACGTAACATCATGACAATAAATGTCTGGCAGTTGATGCTGTGATGTGGAGGTTGATGGACCCTCCTCCTGTTGTGGAGATGAAGATCAGTAACATAGTGGTGATTATAATACGGGTGGATGGAGTCCAGCGTTCTGATTGGTTGAGTCACGGGGGGCATTATTCAGCGATAATGTACAGAACCTGTTCACATGGACCCGAGCGTTCCGTATCACTGCGCACTCACAGTAGCACGTTAGATTTTGCGCCACCGTTAGTTGACATTTTAGCTTTTAGCTCGGTGGCGATCGCCGAAAAACCCGTAGTGCTGATGGAGAACCCAAGGAAATGTTAGTTGGCCTTTAGTGAGACCAACTATTTAGGATGGGTCCTGGTGGAACCCCAGGAGGCCAAACTCTGTGCCATACAGGACTGGCCACAGACCTGGAGACTCTGAGGGCTTCTGACCATAACGCCGGGCGTCAGATGTGCCAAGACGGGACCAAAGCACTGGAGCAGGACAGCAAGGAGACGGGAAAGAACCACAACCATGGTTCCAGTAACACCAGTATGACAAACACACGTCCCGCCTGCTACAAGACCTGTGGACTGAGGACGGTAGGACCACACAGCCACCAGTGAAAGGCACGTGGACGCCATCATCGGCTTCCATGGACAAGCGTGTGTGTGTGTGTGTGTGTTAACTACTTAGAGGGGTTGGGCGGTAACAACCAACATGTTTAAAAACCTTCATATTATAGTGTCTCATTAAAAGTACATAATTAACGTATAATATAAACGGTTTTATTATGGTTTTTAAGTTAAAAGTAATATTTTTTTCATGGAAAGTACCAAAGAAGTTTGGTAATAAAATAGTTTCTTAAAATTACAAAACGAGAAACATCAACTAATGTTTGATACAAACAAGGGCGTAACAGGGTTTGGATGCTACGGCCGACCGATCCATTAACTGCTGTATGTTGGTGGGGACACGAAGCCCCCAAAGAATGCTTGAATACAAAAGGAAGAAATGTTCTCCTTGATATCAATGAAAATAATGAAATATTCACGTTCTTCTGGTTCTGTGTGATAGAGATAAAGGAGGACCTGGAAGAGAGGAAGTAGGAGAAGATGAGAAGGTGATAGTAGAGAAACACAAGAGTTCTGAAGATAAAGTTTATTACTGAAGTAAGAAAAGACCCCAAAAAACATTTTTTACACACAAGTTCAGTGAGTCCAGCTGGACCTGGATCAGCACAACAAACTAACAGCAGCTACAGAACATCTAACATCTCTAACAGACTAACATGAGTCCATAAGTCCTGCACATATGAAGACATGAACATCACGAGGGACATCTGACACAAACATCCGGAACATGTGAGGACTGGAAGAAGAAGAACCTGCACAGAGACACAGAGAGACCAATGTCATTAATGGAACTTTGTGAATATTACGTGTATTAGGGGTCGGGTGGTGGCCGGCGATCCCACACTTATTAGTACTGTTTACTTAATATCAAACTCACATTTAAGCCTATTTATTGTCAACATCTTCATTTTAAGTTAACTATACTAATATTTACTGCAGTTACATGAGTTGCCTGAACTCAGTTATTTTCAGCATTAACAACTTAAGGAGGAAAATGAATGAGCTTTGAAGTAAAGTCAAGTTATTGGATTTTACAGTGTACAGGAATGTGAGCGAAGCTCCGCCGGAGGTGTGAGTTGAAAATCTCGGGGCTTCTTCCAGACGTTCCTGGTTCACCTGCACCACTTGTTACCAGAACATGCGGCCTCAGATCAGACGATACGATCATCGATCTTTGGCCTCGGTGCTCTGGTACCACGTAGACTTATGAACATCCTCATGTTCCAACATGGTGTTTGTTATGGATCCGTGACCGGCCGGTCAGTAACAAACAGCCGCTCGGGTTCAGATCAGGGAGGCCGTTCCTCCCAATCACGCCTCTCCAGTTGTCTCCATCGTCGCCCACGTGCGCATTGAAGTCTCCCAGTAGGACTATGGAGTCCCCTACTGGAGCCACATGCAGGACTCCATTCAGGGTCTCTAAAAAGGCAGAAGACTCTGAGCTGCTGTTTGGTACATATGCACAGACAACAGTCAGAGTTTTACACCCCCACCACCCGAAGGAATAGGGCAGGCGACCCTTTTGTCCACCGGGGTAAACTTATGAGTATCCCCACACCCGCCTGGCGCCTGGCACTATGGCCCACTCCAGACTAGAGTAGAGTCCATCCCCTATCCAGGAGTGTGGTTCCGGAGCCGAGGCGGTGCGTAGAGGTACGCCCCACCAGGTCCAACTGATAACGCTCCACCTCCTTCCCCCCCAGAGAGGTGACCTCCACGTCCCCCACAGCCAGCATCTGCCGCCCAGGTCTGTTCCGTCTAGACCCCCCACTGTCACGGCACCCGACCCCACCGGTGAGCACATGGGCAGGAGGGACCAGTAGTGACGCATCACCGGAGCACCAGACGCTCGCCGTCCAGCCGCGGAGCTTCAGCTTTGATGTGGTTCATTATGAATGTTTTAGGAGGAAACTCATCTTGCATCTTTTCTAACACGAGTACAGTGTCAAGAAACTCTAAATGAACTATACGGTAATTATTGAAAGATTACTGATCAATAATGATAGTTCCACCTCGATTTCTATCAATCTGAATTATTACAGTCAGGTCGACTTCTTCACCTGAATTTCATTTTTAAAATGTGTTTAAACAATAAACTGAGGTCAAACTGGTGTCACTTACTGTCCATCTGGTCATCAGACGATGGTGGACGGACTGATGCCCAGCACTGCTTTCTGAGGACAGACAGGTAGAGACATGTAGAGACAAGAAGACAAAGAGACAGACCGGAAGATGTACTGAGGACTAAAGGTCTACACTGCCGAGGACTACTAGTCCTTTGATAACTACCAGTCCTTTGATAACTACTAGTCCTTTGATAACTACCAGTCCTTTGATAACTACCAGTCCTTTGATAACTACCAGTCCATACTCACAGGTACTCACCTGGCTGTTGGAGGGCAGGTTGGGGGCGTGGCTCTGCTCCTCCGGCATGTGGGAGGAGACGCAGCCGCTGTCCGAGCCGGTGGAGCCGGATCGACACCGAGAGGAGGAGCCAGAACTCTCTGTGGCTGAGAGACAAAACGTTGTAATAACACAGATATAACTAGTGTGTGTGCATGTGTATGCGTGCACATACTCATGGAGGGCTGGCTGCTGGTCTCCTGCTCCTCCTCCTCAACGCAGGAGGTGATGAAGGAGCCTTCAGCAGCAGGAGAGGGGGAGAGGTTCTGACTGCAGGAGGAGGCGACAGGCGGTTAGAAGATGTGTGTGTGAGCGTGTGCGTGTGCGTGTCGTACCTGTACATGTGCAGGTTGAGCGGTCCCAGCAGGCCGGATGATGAAGCCCCTGATGCTGAGAGGTCAGAGGTCACCACTCCTCCATTAAAGGGGTTAGAGTGGTCGAAGACAGAGACGGCGATGGACGCCCGCGTTCGGGCACCTGAACACCGATCGTTATCAATCCACCAGCTCAGATCCGTCACCACACGATCCACATCATCTGCATGATGCACCTTTATTGTGAAAGGGTTACCTCTGCTCTTCATGATGTAGTGAACCGCTCGGTCACTGATGGCTGCATCACTCGGCTGGATGTCCAGAAACGGTTTGTTGCCGACTCCCATCGACACCATCTCCTTTAGCCGGATCTCTGAAACACACAAGTCATTAAGAGGAGGAAGAAGCTGCTCTCTGCTCCACCTTCTTCTTCAGCCAGACCACTGGCAGGGGTGGTGGCTGTTTGCTCATTTTATCCAAATGGAGCTTTTCTCTTTACCCTCTTCCACCATCCACCCCACCGTCTTTCCAATTCCATGTTGTAACAGTTACTCACCCGGTGCAATTAACTATCATTGTCCTTTACCGTCCTCCAGGCTCCTTGGGTCATTTCTTGGAAGAACTGGACATTCTCCTGTCCAACTTCCCTCAAAATGTCCCTCCACTCGTCCTCCTGGGTGACTTCAACATCCAGACTGAAGTCATCTGACCTCTAACACCTACTTTCTTCTTTCGCTGTCACTCAGTCCCTCTCCTCCTACTCACAAAGCCGCCAATCACCTCGACTACATCTTTACTAGAAACTGCTGCCAAAAGCTCTTTCTACCAATCCAGAATCCAATCTTCATTTTCTGACCCCAAAAAACTCTTTTCGATCTTCCAACCTCCTCGAACCCCCTAGTCCTCCTCCCCCCTCCTCCCTTCTTCCAGAAGACTTTGTCAACTACTTTACCAAGAAAATAGCTGACATACGCTCCTCTTTCTCAAACCCACTGGCTTCACCTCTATCGCCCTCACTTCCCTCCTTCACCCCCTGTCTCCTAACCAAGTTCTTACCCTAGTAACCTCTGCCCGTCCACCACCTGCCCTCTTGACCCCATTCCATCACATCTTCTACAATCTATCGCTCCTGACCTTCTTCCTTTCCTCACCTGTCTCATCAACAACGCTCTGTTATCTGGCTGTTTACCCAATTCTCTGAAGGAGAAGAGTCAACCCTCTCCTGAAGAAACCCGATCTTTAACCAACTCTCCTCCTATCTCCACCCTAACAACCTCCTTGACCCCCACCAGTCAGGCTTCAAGGCCGTTCCACAGAGACTGCTCTCCTTGCTGTCTCAGAGCAACTCCACACTGCTAGAGCTCCTCTATCTCCTCTGTCCTCGTCCTTCTGGACGTCTCTGCTGCATTTGACACGGTCAACCACCAGATCCTTATTTCCTCCCTACAGGAACTTGGTGTCTCAGGCTCTGCTCTCTCCCTTCTCTCGTCCTACCTCGACGGACGCACCTACCGGGTAACCTGGAGAGGATCTGTGTCGGAACCTTGTCCTCTTACTACTAGAGTTCCTCAGGGTTCCGTCCTGGGTCCCCTCCTCTTCTCGCTCTACACCAACTCTCTCTGCGCTGTCATTCGCTCGCATGGCTTCTCCTACCACAGCGATGCCGATGACACCCAACTAATTCTCTCCTTCTCTCACTCGGATCTCTGCCTGTCTGACTGACATCTCTCAGTGGATCCGCCCACCATCTGAAAATAAACCCCGACAAGACTGAACTACTTCTCTTTCCAGGGAGATTCTCCTTCACAGGATGTTAACGCCCACTTTGACTGCAGGAACCTCGGCATGACACTTGACAGCCGACTCTCCCTGACTCCAACATCACTGACAACACCATCCTGTAGATACTCGCTCTACAACATCAGGAGAACACGTCCTCTTCTCACTCAGAAGGCAGCGCAGGTACTGATTCAGGCTCTTGTCGTCTCCCTCCTGGACTACTGTAACTCTCTCCTGCAGGTCTCCTGCTACCACCATTCCACCTCTGCAGCTCATCCAGAATGCAGCAGCTCCACTGGTCTTTAACCTTCCTAAGTTCTCCCACACTCCTCCACTCCTCCGCTCTCTTCACTGGTACCGGTGGCTCGGAAATTGCACTTTCTTGTTTCTTGTTCTTCTGAGTTTGTATTCTTATGGTTGAAATGTTCTTATTGTAAGTCGCTTTGGATAAAAGCGTCAGATAAATGACATGTAATGTGATGTAAAAGAAGACTCGGGTGATGACAAAGACCTCTGGTTCCTACCTTTGTTCCTGGTGGCCTGGGTCCATAGGATCCGGGCAATGCCGGTGGTCCAGGCGTGCTTCACCTCTGATGTGGTGGCCTGAAGGATGAAAGTCTGGTTCCTGGACGTCCTCCTTCTAAACCAGATCTCAAAGCGAAGCCCGTCGTCTCCTGCAGACTCCGTCAGACCCACATCTGCTGTCTGAAGGACACAGAAGAACATCTCAGTCTGACATCCACATTGGGCCCTCCATGGTGAGATCTCCACAGTGAGACCGCAACAGTGGTGTCTCCATAGTGGGGCCTCCACGGTGGGACCTGCATAGTCTGAGGAGGTGCCATTGGGGGTTCAAAGTGGCAGAAGCGGGCTCACTGGTTTTACCTTGAAGGAGTGTTTGTAGATGAACACGTCCAGGCCTCCCTCCATCTTCTTGGGTTTACTGAAGAGGACAAGCTCCTCAAAGAGGAAGATGTGACGTTGACATTTCCTCCTCCCGGTCCAGACAGTGAACTCATCCTGACGGATCAGCTGACCCTGCTCCTTCAGGTTCACCTGGAGACAAACAGAGACACTGAAGGCCACCCTTTGCTATTCATGAATGACATCACAGACAAGGGATCACGAGGCACTGAGGGAGGAAGAGGTGGTAGACGAGGAGTAAGAGATCGAGGTAGGAGATGGGAATGAGGAAGAGGAGGGGGAAAAGAGCAAGGCGATGAGAATGAAGAAGAAGAGGAAGGGGAGAGAGCCAGTAAACACGTTAGTAAACTTACATCACAGTCTCGGATGGCGTCCATTGCCAGCAGGTCGTTGCCGTGGCGGAGGTGGAACTTGACCATGTTGGTGGCGGCATGAAGCGTGGCAAGCTCCGCCTCCTGAGCCACACCCACCTCCTTGATGAGGTCAGTGAGCAGGAGAGCATATTTACTCATCCTCTGCACCGGCTTCAGCAGGTAGGACGACAGGTCCATCTTATCACCCAGCTCCACCTGCTTCCTCTGGGGGGTCAAAGGGCACTTTCCCGTGGGTTATGGAAACAATAGAAGGGCTGCAGTGTTTTCAGTGAAGGCTGGTAAACTCTTGTAGAAGAAGGGAGACGTTCTCACCCTGAAGAAGGAGTTCCCGTGGTGGGGCCAGCAGGGCGTCGGACTTGGGTTTGTTCTTGCTGTACAGAGCGTAAAGACTGAACTGGTCCTTCTGTCACACAACACACAACAATACTCAGTGTGGTTCCTACATGTCTGATGAAGCAGTGAGGGACTCAGTGTGGTTCCTACATGTCTGATGAAGCAGTGAGGGACTCAGTGTGGTTCCTACATGTCTGATGAAGCAGTGATGGACTCAGTGTGGTTCCTACATGTCTGATGAAGCAGTGATGGACTCAGTGTGGTTCCTACATGTCTGATGAAGCAGTGAGGGACTCAGTGTGGTTCCTACATGTCTGATGAAGCAGTGAGGGACTCAGTGTGGTTCCTACATGTCTGATGAAGCAGTGAGGGACTCAGTGTGGTTCCTACATGTCTGATGAAGCAGTGAGGGACTCAGTGTGGTTCCTACATGTCTGATGAAGCAGTGAGGGACTCAGTGTGGTTCCTACATGTCTGATGAAGCAGTGAGGGACTCAGTGTGGTTCCTACATGTCTGATGAAGCAGTGAGGGACTCAGTGTGGTTCCTACATGTCTGATGAAGCAGTGATGGACTCAGTGTGGTTCCTACATGTCTGATGAAGCAGTGAGGGACTCAGTGTGGTTCCTACATGTCTGATGAAGCAGTGAGGGACTCAGTGTGGTTCCTACATGTCTGATGAAGCAGTGAGGGACTCAGTGTGGTTCCTACATGTCTGATGAAGCAGTGATGGACTCAGTGTGGTTCCTACATGTCTGATGAAGCAGTGATGGACTCAGTGTGGTTCCTACATGTCTGATGAAGCAGTGAGGGACTCAGTGTGGTTCCTACATGTCTGATGAAGCAGTGAGGGACTCTCAGTGGGTGTCTCCAGCAGGCCTCCAGCTCTCTCAGGAAGAACTGACTGTGGAAGTCCAGGAGCTTCTCCAGGTTCCCAAAGACGACGGACCGCTTGCCCCTGAGGTCCTGAGGGAGGTCGGACCGGTCCATCTCAGGGAAGTAGTGATGGATGATGTAACGCAGGGAGCGCACATACTCCCTCTCTGTGGTCACCATCTCCTCCACCACGTGACGTAGCTTACTACAGAGACACCAGACCACAGTCATTCTGACACCGTGATGAATGAAGTAAACGTTTGATTACTCACCTCCCTCTGGGACGGGGGTCCGTTTCCGGGCCCCTGGTGGTCCCGGGGGTCCCAGGGCTGCGGGGAGCCGGTCCGGCCGCCCGGGGGCAGAGCGTGCGGTTGGCGGCCTCGGAGCTGCTGACCTCCAGCCCCCGGATGAACACGCCTGTGTTGCCGCTGCGACGCGGCTCGCTGAGGGCGCGAGTACACGGGCCGATCGGCGGCGCCTCGGGGGCGGGGGGGCAGTCGAAGCTCTGCGACTTCCTGAGCTGCTGCCGTCTGCCGGAGGAGAAGAAGGAGGACGAGGAGAAGGAGGAGGAGTGGCGGCGAAGGCTTGGACCTGAGGATGGGAGGGTCGCCTGGTCCGCCGACTCTTGTGTGGAGAGGCTGTGGAACAGTCGCTGGAGGAGAGGAGTGTGCTGGGGGGGGGCTGAGGAGGAGCTGTTCTTGTCCTCTTTAGAGGGGCAAGACGAGGTCTGGTGGACCCCCCAGAGTCCTGACAGCTTTCTCCTGGAGGAGACGGAGCCTCGGCTGTGGGTGGAGTCAGAGCGCCGCCTGGGGGCGGAGTCCCACTGCCTTTGGGCCAAATCTCGCGTCCTGAGCGCCGCCTCCATCTTCCTGTCAAACATCTTCTTGGTCTCCTGACACTTGGACCAGGCGAAGCTCCACTGACGGAGGCCTCGCTCCCCCCGCAGCTCCCTCGCCGCCGCCCTCATCTCCTGGAAACGCTGCTCTGGGATCAGCGGGTGCTGGAGGCGGAGCTCCTCCAGGCAGCCAATCACGGACTGGCATTTGTCCGGCAGCGTGCAGTCCTCCATGCTGACAGCAGCTAGGTGACGCATGCCCTCCGAGGCCCAGCCAGAGGCCTGCAGGGGGAACAATGGCGTTACCATGACAACACAGTAACACACACGAGTATGAGGATCCCTAATAATAAGGGTTACTTAGCAACAGACGACAATCAATGAAAGAAGTCAAATGAATTAAATTCAACATGAGATTAAACAATATTTAACATTGTTAAGAGTCATTTCCTCATAGACGTCTATGGGAGCAGAGGAGTCGCCCCCTGCTGGTCACTACAGAGAAGTAGAGTCATTTCCTCATAGACGTCTATGGGAGCAGAGGAGTCGCCCCCTGCTGGTCACTACAGAGAAGTAGAGTCATTTCCTCATAGACGTCTATGGGAGCAGAGGAGTCGCCCCCTGCTGGTCACTACAGAGAAGTAGAGTCATTTCCTCATAGACGTCTATGGGAGCAGAGGAGTCGCCCCCTGCTGGTCACTACAGAGAAGTAGAGTCATTTCCTCATAGACGTCTATGGGAGCAGAGGAGTCGCCCCCTGCTGGTCACTACAGAGAAGTAGAGTCATTTCCTCATAGACGTCTATGGGAGCAGAGGAGTCGCCCCCTGCTGGTCACTACAGAGAAGTAGAGTCATTTCCTCTCCCAAGGAGAGTGCTGCTAGTTTCACTGAGAGCTCCAAACACAACATACAGACTCAGACCAAACAAACAAGGCTGTGTTCACTTTGTAGCACTTACATTGTACTTATAGTGGCTCTTATCTATAGCGAGTTGTAAATCAGCTTTTGCCGAAATGCACTTATTGTAAGTCGCTTTGGATAAAAGCGTCAGCTAAATTACGTAATGTTCACTTTGCACTGCAGCAACACACACACACACAAATCTCTCCTGAAGCCCACTATACAACAAACAACTGAATAACTGATACACAAACACACACCTACACAGCTGTACACTGATAAAGCTGCATTCACAACTGTGTGTGTGTGTGTGTTTGTGTGTGTGTGTGTGTGTGTTTGTGTAGGAGTGTGTCGTACCTCGTGTGTTCTGTTGAAGCGCTGCAGAGTGACTGAGTGACTGAGCGGCAGTCCCACACGCACACAGACACACACACACTGATCCTCCCACCCCCTCATTCACTTACTGAATGGCAGATGGGTGGTCCCAGGAGAGGGGGGGGGGGGGGCATGCAACAAAGACTTTGTGAAAGGAGTGAAAAGAGGAAGGAGGGAAAACTTCACCGAAATGATACGCGGACACACAGATACACATTCTGTTTCTCACACACACACACACACACACTTCATGAGCTTCATGTTAGAACAGAAATCCTGATCAAAGAAGATACGAGGTTTCTAGAGGAAAGAGTTTGCGTGTTTGCTGTGTGTGTGTGTGTGTGTGTTTGCTGTGTGTGTGTGTGTGTTTGCTGTGTGTGTGTGTGTGTGTTTGCTGTGTGTGTGTGTGTGTGTGTGTGTGTGTGTGTGTGTCAGGTCAATAAATGAGCGGCTCAGTGTATCAGAGTGGAAACTTCACTATAATTTAGCGTCACAGCACTTTTGACCTTTTTAATAGAAACTATGCAAATACGAATATCATTATTTGCATTATTATAAATATTACATGATTATTTATAATTTATTATAATTTATATTTATTATGAATAATAACGTTAGCATTATCGTCATTGACATTGTTATTAATAATAATGTTACTGTTTTTATTATTAGTGATGAATATAATTATTTATATTAATTATAATTATTAGTGGTTGTCATTATTCATTAATAATATTATATAGTATTATTATCATTGATGTTATTATCATTACACAAATATTATTATTCTCATTATTATTAATAAGAACAATAGTGATTAGAAATGTTACTGTCAATATAATTATTAATTGTACTGTACATTATTAATTACATAATTAAGACAGAAGATTCAACTGAAAATGTCATATTGAGAATAAATTGATTATGATTTCTGATTTCAAAGAAAAAATATTTCATTCTTGTGATCAGTAGATGGTCACATGATCAAAGGAGGCAGTGAAGGACGAGGATGAGGATGAGGACAAGCAGGAAGAGCAGAGGAGGAGGAGGAGGAGGAGGAGGAGGAGGAGGAGGAGGGGGAGGAGGGGGAGGAGGAAGGGGAAGTGGACAGTTTAAATCGGTGGTCAGCCTCTGTCACCATGACGACATCACCCGTGTTTCAGTACTGACGGGACAGTGTAGATTTATTTTGATTTATAGTCTAATCTCAGTGATATTAATTATCAGTGTCAGTGGTGACCCTCATCAATAAATACACACGATGAACTGCTGACCATGATGTCATCACACAGTGACCTCATAGTGATGTCATCACACCGTACCTGGTCCAAGAAGCTGTAGAGCTCCAGGGACCGCTCCAGGTTCTGACCCGTGGTGTTGACCCGCTGGGAGAAGTCCTGCAGCTGAGCCCAGAAAGAGTGAACTTTGACCTCGTAGACACGAAGGTCAGCTGATGTCATGTGACCCCAAGGATCCAGGCGACTCAGCAACTCCTCCCCTTGTCTGCAGCGGTCCTGAGGAGAGGAGGAGAACAAGGAGAGAAGATCATTACCGAGTGTGTATATCAATGTGTACGTGGGTGTATATGTGTGTGTGTGTGTGTGCATGAATATATACACATATATATATATATCATATGAGTATATATATATATACACATATATATATATATATATATATATATATATATATATATATAATGTAATATATATACATGTGAGTGTGAGTCTTACATAAGCAGCAGTGTGAAACTCTCTGAAGTCTCCCTGTTTCTTGTTGAGGAGCTCCAGAGAATCATCTGCTTCATTCAGAGTCTTGAGAGCAGCTTCTCCAACATCCTGCAGCCAGGAGCTCACCTACAGGTATAAATATATATTAACAATGATCCAACACACACACACACAGACACACACACTGTGACCCCAGGGTAATTCTGTATGTGTATTCAGAGCCGTGAGCGGTGGACTTCACGGGAAGTAGATAAATATGAGTATACATACACTAGTATGTATACTCATATTTACTTATATATACACTGGTACTACGTCTGGTTGGGGAATCCGAACTCTCTCCTTCCTACCAGCTGATGAACAGAAACAAAGGAATTCCAGGAACTGTAGGAACGCAGCTCATTCAGCTGGGCACCAGCATCCCACCAGCAGACGGACCTCCTCGGCGGACTGTGAGCAGTTGTGTGCGTACTGAGCATGCTCAGACTGACCTCGGCAAAGCCCGCCTCCAGGCCCTTGAAGTACAGGATGAAGTTCAGCTCCTGCGTCCTGGCGTTGGAGAGAGTGACCAGACGATGCAGCAGCTCGTCCACCTGCTCGTACAGCGCGGACACCACCTCCAAAGCCACGCCGACACCGCCCTCTTCTCGGCGCAGGCGAGACAGCGAGGCCCCGCCCTCCTGCTGTAGCTGCACCAATCGGCTGTCTTCGAGGACGCTGCGCATCATGGTTTGGTACCTGGACAACAGCACCTCGGCCTCCTGAGAAGGAACGAGAGAACCTGGAGTGAGTCTGCGTGTCTGCGTGTCTGCGTGTGTGTGTCTGCGTGCGTGCGTGTGCGTGTGCGTGTGTGCGTGTGCGTGCGTGTGTGTGTGCGTGCGTGTGTTACCTCTGCTCCAGCAGGTAGAGGTGTGTTCTGCAGGATGTTGACGGTTTTCTGCAGCAGCTTGATGACGTCGTCACACTGAATTGTCAGCTGCTCCAATCGCTAAACAAACAACACAATAAGTTACTGTTGAACTTTGTGTGCGTCTGCAGGTGGAGAACCTACCGATCTGAAGCAGAGCCAGCTGCTCAGACTGAAGCTGGAGGAACCTCCGAACTCTGCAGGAAACTGCTGGAGAGCTACGTGCTTCTGAAGAGACTTCAGCGAAAACAACACCTCCACCTGCACACACACACACACACAGACACACTCTCTGAGAACCTCTGATTCATCTGCTGTGAGCACGAGTACATGGACCCTGCTGCAGGTCAATATTCAGGGTGATCATGTGACCAGGTGATCATGTGACGGGCTTTACCTGTGCTGCTCCATGTACGTCGAGACCCATAAAAGAATCCTTGTTGAGCAGCAGGAGGACGGAGTGGACAGAGCCAGGGACGTTCTCCTGAGGGGCCGAGGAGGCGACAGTTTAACATCACCCTGCTGGCCAGCGACCAATCAGAACATGATGGTGCGCTCAGGTGCGCACGTTGGGGCGTAGTTTCAGACTCACCTGCAGGGCCCTGAGGGCAGAGAACAGGACCGGGACTGGAGCAGCTCCGCGGGCGTCCACCAGAACCGTCAGGCCCAAGGCTGCCACCTCTTTTCTGTTTCACACAGGAAGTGATGTCAGAGGAGGAGGACCCGAGTGTGTGTGCGAGTACAGGTGTGGGGGAGGGGCTACCTGAGGGTGGAGCAGTAGTAGAGTAGGAGGCGCAGCAGCACGGCGCTGTCACAGTCGGGGTTGGACCACACGGAGTTCGTGGTGCAGACCGCCAGCAGAACTCGACCGCTCCGGTCTCTGGTCCCTGAACGGAGACAGTCTCCCCTCATGAGGCATTCAAGGACTAGTAGGAAACCCAAGAACTCACAGCTTCACCGCTCTAACATTTATAACAGAACCTGTATTTGCATTGGTTTTATTCACCTTTCACACCGGAGGATTTGGTTCTGGGTCTAACCCTTGATGTGGTTCTGATCTTGGTTCAGGTCTACAGTTTTACTCACCAGGTAAACAGAGAGCTCCAGAGCGTAGCAGCACTGTGTAGAAGCTGGCCTGGGAGGACTGGGAGAGCCGTACTGGTACCATTGAAGCAGCTGACTGGTGCAGCTGCGGTTCTGGTTCTGTTGGACTGGGACCGGTCGAAGGGGGGCCGTAAGACTGGAAAGGACGTCTGCTGAGGCCTGTCGAGAAAAGTTAACTAGTCACTGACCTTTCCTCGCACTAACTAGTTGTCTCAAATGTCCTCAGACTATTAGGTTGACATTAGTCTCTGACCAGTCCTCAGACTAACTGGTTAACGTTAGTCTCACACTAACTAGTTGACATTAGTCTCTGACCTGTCCTCACACCTAGTAAACAGAAGTTGACATCAGGACCACAGAGAGTCTTCACATCTTCAGACTAAAGACACACCTCTTCAGACTCCACCTCCACTAACACACTAACTGTAGCACTTACATTGGACTTATAATGGTTCTTATCTACAGCAAGTTGGACATCGGCTTATTTGATGAAATCGCACTTTCTTGTTTCTTGTTCTTCTGAGTTTGTGTCCTTATGGTTGAAATGTTCTTATTGTAAGTCGCTTTGGATAAAAGCGTCAGATAAATGACATGTGATGTGATGTAATGGGTTAAGTTCTCCGTCATATAATTCACTAACTCGTCCCCTGAGGAATCTACATCCAAACTGAGACAACAGATGTTTTTGAGGAGGTGGAGGACAATGATTCAGCCAATCAGATGATGATATCAACAGAAGGATGAAAAGCAGGAGGGAAGTATAACTGAGGAGAAGGTTTCTGTACCTTCAGTCTGAGGCTTTGCAGTTCTTCCTCCACCAACCTCTTCACTTTGCTCCTCCTCCTCCTTCTTCTTCTCTCGTTGGTTTTCCTGTCCAGCTCTGCACCAGAGTGATTCTGCATCCATCGGTGGTGAGTTGGTTTCAGAACAAGAGTCTTCAGAGGGTTTGTGTTTAGCAGAATAAAAGTCCCCATGGTGCCTGTGTTGGTTATGGTTTTCAGAATAAGAGTCCCCATGGTGCCTGTGTTGGTTATGGTTTTCAGAATAAGAGTCCCCATGGTGCCTGTGTTGGTTATGGTTTTCAGAATAAGAGTCCCCATTGTGCCTGTGTTGGTTATGGTTTTCAGAATAAGAGTCCTCAAAGAGTGTTTGAACCACTTTGTTTTCAGAAGGGTTGTCAGGGTGTCTTTGGTTGGTCTTATCTTCACAATAAGAGTTGTAAGAGTGCTTGGGTTGTCTATTACATTCAGAATAAGAGTCCACAGAGTGTGTATTTTCTTGTGTCTCCTCCTCTTCCTCGCCTTCTTTCATTATTTGCTCTTCCTCCCTCCTACCTCGATTCTGCTGCTGAACTGTCACCTGAACCTCTTCTTCCACTTCTATCTCCTCTAACTCATCCAACTCTCCCTCTGTGTCTTCACTTTCATTTAGTAAACCTTCATCCTGCCTATACTTTGCATCCTCCAGCTGTTTTTCTTCCTTGTCTTCATCATCTGGCACTACCATTCCATGCTTCCCTTTCTGCCTCTTCATCAGCTCTCTCTCCTCCATCCCTCCCCCTGGCTCCTCCTCCTCTTCCTCTTCACTCACATCTGTGCAGCTTTCAGGTTCAGTGTTTAACTTCAGACGTATGCCTGAATCAGTACCTTCCATGTTCTCCAGTGACGTCCAGCTGATGGGTCCCAGGGCTTCAGGAGGAGCAGAGGAGGTGGAGGAGATTGCGGTGAGGATGACCGTTCCACAGGGGTCCTGGATCAGGTTCTCCTCCATGAGCCTGGAGCAAAGAGGGGTGTGGGAGCTGACCTCCACACCGGGCCAGGAGGAGAGTGTGTGAGTGGCGTGTGTGCTGGTCCTGGCTCGGTGCTGCAGATTGATGGACTGGGTTAAGGAGCCTTTCTGTGGGGAGAAGCGAGGCAGCTCCATCAGCTCCACGTACTCGCCCTCCGAGTCCTCGGTGTCCTCACTCGCTGCTCTCGAGGAGCTGACATCTCTCACCAGAAGTTGCGACGTTTTCATCAACATGTCTCCATCCTTAACAGGGGACTCGTTCTCCTTCTTCAGGGAGGGCTCGCTGGGGAATGGTGGGTAGACCAGGTCCGCCCACGGGACCTTAAAGACGTCCCCGTGGGCGGAGAGGAGGCAGCTCTCAAGTCTCCGCGCCCCTCGCTGCTCCCCCTCCTTGTTGATTGAGTCCAGCCAGGCCATGCTGAAGATGACGGCGGGGCTATCTCGCACATTTCCTGGTGCTCCACATGGAGCGGAGGAGGTTGCAGCTCTGATGCAGGACGCGCTGTGGTCTCAGGGAGGAGGAGCAGGTAGAAGTCTCCTGGAAGCGAAGGCCTCCTCCCCTGCAGCAGCTCTCCACCACACAGAGGACCTGAGGAAGGAGGAGAGAGGGGCCTGGATGCAGCGGTCCAACGATTCAGAGCCCTGTGGAGTAAAGAACAAGAACAGAACTATATGAAGAGCTTGTAGCTTCACGGCACTCGTCATCTAACTCTGCTAATGTTAAGGCTTCTTACACTGCAGCTGATCTCAGGGCGACGAAATAACCAGGAGTCAAACCTTTAACACAGAGCAGAAGTGTGAATTCAGGTTCAAATAAAAATGTCTTCCGTTTCTGCCCGAGAACACCAGTACCAGTACCGCTGACCAGCACCAGCGAGCTTTTAGACCAGCACACAGCTGAGTTCGGCCACCTCCTGGGCTATAATTAGTCCACACATGCATGTTACTGTACTCCAGTCAGCTGCTGCACGTCTGAATAGGAGCCAACACGCCTCATCAGCACGTGTTCCTTTCTCAGCCGCACCCCTGGAGGTGTGGCTGAGAGACCCCGTCTTTATGGTGGCAGTAACTGCCAGCACTTGCCGCCGGAGCGCTTCTTGTATAAGTTTATTTGTATGTATTAAAATGTCACATAAAAAATATATATATATATTTATGATATATATATATGAGAACACAGTAGTACAGACAGAGGACGCACTCGTACACACTGAGGACACACTAGTACAGACAGAGGACACACTAGTACACACTGAGGACACACTAGTACACACTGAGGACGCACTCGTACACACTGAGGACACACTAGTACCGACAGAGGACACACAAGTACAGACAGAGGACACACTAGTACACACTGAGGACTAGGGCTGCAACTAACGATTATTATGATAATCGATTAATCGGTCGATTATTTCTTTGTTTAATTCGATGAATCGGATTTTTTTTTAAAACATTAAATAGCTTTAATTTCCAACCCTTTATTCTAAAACAGAACTGCAAATTCACATTGCAAAAATACTTTAGAAAGTATAAAGAAGAAAAATACAAATCAAAAAATGTAACAGGATTTGTTTTAACTTCAGAACTAGTTCTATAGACCACACTCACAAACATGTTCACTTGAAGCTTATTCATTAAATTATTACCATCATTGTAGTGCAAGTTAAGTAAATGTATACAGCTAACAAACAACCAAGTGCTATGGGATGAATTTAATGGCATTTGTAAATAAATGCATTAGAGATTTGATGGATAACCACGTGTCTCCCTTTACAGGCATAACATCAACTACCGTATAACCCACAGTATGTGCGCAAGCGCAATGGACTACCGTATATGACAGCATTAAAAAGTACAACACACACCGATATATTTGTCAACAATAACGGATATGGGACAAAGCACAAAATATATACAAGACAACAGATTGAAAAATGAATGGTACAAAAGAGGCGAGTAAATAAAAACGTGTCTTAGTCTTGTTACTGCTTTACTGCTGTTATTAGCGAGCTAACGCTAGCTTGATGACGAGTAAACAGGAGGCTTATTAGGTTCCCCGCGTCAAAACGGGACAACGTGGTGGTCTCGTGTCGTGTCCCCCCAACGCTCGCACACATTGGACGACTAGTCCAACAGACGTCATGTGACTCACAACAACAACCGGCGCTGCTGGCTGCTCTTTCCTCTGCGTCGGCTCGCGCTTTTATTTTATATGTTTGCTCCGCGCGCATCTCCGCAACTCATTGAGTGACGTGATAATCGCGCGACACGAGTCGATAATGAAATTCGTTTCGCCAACGCTTTATAATCGAATTTGATCGGTGTCATCGATTCGTTGTTGCAGCCCTACAGAGGACACACTAGTACACACTGAGGACACACTAGTACACACTGAGGACACACTAGTCCACACTGAGGACACACTGAAGGGGGTGCACATCAAAGCTGTCCCCTGAGGTCCCCTGGGACAAGCAAAGAGACCCTGTTGGCCTGCTGAATAGTGACCTTGTGGGTCCGGGTTAGCACAGCTCTCATTAGGAGCAATTTACAGTGAGGTCAGAGGTCGATACCTAGATGATCCTATAGACACGTAGACTAAAGGTGATCAGATACCTTGTGGTGCTTTAAGCTACAATGTAGATAGTGGTATAAGTACACATACACAGTATTACCGGGACCAGACTAACCCGATCAACACGTCTCTATAGAGTGAAAACTTCCAACTGCTGCTCTTTGCCGCCACACCCAGATTAAACTAATCCAATCCCTCAGGTCCTGCTGGTTCCTCTCCCTCCCCAGAGAGCCATGATTCATCCACCAACCCTCAACTGGCGGCCCAGTGACTTCTGAGCCCCCCGGTAGTGGGCAGGCCAGCTGTCCCTCACACCCATGAGCCCATCATACTGAGCACGGGACGTCCCGTGTCCTTTTACTCTGGAAACATGCAGAGAAACCCCCCCTCCAAGGAGGCTTTTATTGTGAAAGAGGAAGTGAGTGTGAAGGGAAAACATGGGAGACTGATAACAGATACACACACACACACACACACACACGGCTTCAGATACACAATGCAACTGATACACAGCACACACACTCTTTGGTTTTATATCACATCCCAGATATTCTCTTTTGATATATTTCATGTATTTTGCTCTTTTACGGTTCATATCTCAGATTATCTCTAATGCAGAGCTCTCAACTTTTCAAAACACTTTGGAGTGACATGTGTCAGTGGGGACCGTACGGCCGACGGGGAGGGTGGAGAGAAACAGCGGCTCGGACCGAAGTCCGATTTGATTTTTAGCGCGGGGTGAATAAAACAAACCTGCGAAAAATATAATGCAGTGAATATCAAAATATATATAGTGAAGTGAAGATTGAAAATAGTTATAGAGCTGAGTCAAAACTATATTCATCCCGAAAATATTTTTTGTCCACTGATTTTTCCTGAGCTACTGTTTTTATGGCCGCCACACTTTTCAGTTAAGGTGCGTTCACACAACCGCTGTGCGAATTGTTTTTGCTGCGAGTATGAGAGCATCCTGCTTATATTTTATACTCATATTTATCATTAAAAAACCTCTCCTAAATGAACCACATGAAATGGAAATATAACAAATATCCATGACTTTTCCAAAACTTTTATTTTTTTTCTATGACTTTTCCAGGCCTGGAAATGACCATTTCAAAGTTCCATGACTTTTCCAGGTTTTCCATGACCGTACACACCCTGTATTCAGTTCAATTCATTTTATTTTATATAACCCAAAATCGCAAATTACAGATTGGCTTTAGAGGGCTTTACAGTCTGTTGCTGCTTCGTCAAAGAGCATAATCAAGTTTAAATAATCTGATTGGCTGCTTCTGACGGTTTATTCACATTACTCATCAGGTTACTTTAAGCTCCTCTTGTTGTATTTGCAGCTACTCATATTCAATCCGCAGGAAACCTTATTCAGCCCAATTTCATCTGACAGACACTCAACAATTCTATTGCAGATTCAAACACACACACAGACACACACACACGCACAGACACACACGCACAAACACATCCCCCTCAGGACTAACGTTTGATGAAACCCTACAGCCCCCCATAACCAGACCAGGTGTGTGTCTTACCATGTGGGCAGCAGTCTCTCTCTCTCTCTCTCTCCCTGAGGTTTCTCAGTGTCTCTCATCCTCAAGGCTGAATCGCGTCGCGACTGGGTAGCTCGAGGTCTAACGCCACCACACAGCGGTTATCATCATTCTCTGGATCTCCCCCTTTGTCTCACCTGTGGCAGCCTTCTGTGTCACAGAGGGTCAACCTGCTGTATTTATTTATTTATGTATCAGCTGACTATGTAGAAACAAATTAAATATAAGAACTAAAGGAGGTGAGAATCAACAAAGAAATACTATTAGAGGTGTCGTAATATCTTGTTCTTGATGTTCTACGGGTTCACTGATCAACTAACGAGACCAGTACTACACCATTAAGGGACCAGTACGAGTCCAGAAGGAGACCAGTACGACACCATTAAAGGACCAGTACGAGTCCAGAAGGAGACCAGTACAACACCATTAAGGGACCAGTACGAGTCCAGAAGGAGACCAGTACAACACCATTAAGGGACCAGTACGAGTCCAGAAGGAGACCAGTACGACACCATTAAGGGACCAGTACGAGTCCAGAAGGAGACCAGTACGACACCATTAAGGGACCAGTACGAGTCCAGAAGGAGACCAGTACGACACCATTAAGGGACCAGTACGAGTCCAGAAGGAGACCAGTACGACACCATTAAGGGACCAGTACGAGTCCAGAAGGAGACCAGTACGACACCATTAAGGGACCAGTACGAGTCCAGAAGGAGACCAGTACGACACCATTAAGGGACCAGTACGAGTCCAGAAGGAGACCAGTACGACACCATTAAGGGACCAGTACGAGTCCAGAAGGAGACCAGTACGACACCGTTAAGGGACCAGTACGAGTCCAGAAGGAGACCAGTACGACACCGTTAAGGGACCAGTACGAGTCCAGAAGGAGACCAGTACGACACCATTAAGGGACCAGTACGAGTCCAGAAGGAGACCAGTACGACACCATTAAGGGACCAGTACGAGTCCAGAAGGAGACCAGTACGACACCATTAAGGGGCCGGTACGAGTCCAGAAGGAGACCAGTACGACACCATTAAGGGGCCGGTACGCTTCAACACCTCCAAATAGCGCAATAAAAGCTCTTTCATCGTCGCCCCAGTGAGTCTTACTACTTTCTCAGCACAGTAACTTTCCTGCAGTAGGCAGACATGTAACTATTTAAATGTATTCATGAGATTTGACACGTAGATTTGTTGACTTGTATGAATTAACATAACCTACGTTTGACGGGCGATCGCCGAAAGAAAAGACCGGAAACAGCATCAAATTAGGAGCGTCCGGGTCCGGCACATAATAGCTTTCGCTGTCCGCGTCGGGGCACAGGGACGTTACATATTATTCAGGCCCCCACTGACCGAAAACCAGGCACATTTTATAAGAAATTGGTGGCATTTTTTGCATTTGTCATCAAATGGCAGCAATAAGCCTTTTAGGCAGGAGTCTACAGTGTTTTCTTAGCTTTTTTTAACCAAAACCAACAGAAAACATAAATCAGACTCATTCCATTTTATTTTTATTTCTGTGTAGTTTCTCGTGTTTAGCAATATGTTCAGCAATGTCAAACAGCTTGACTATTCTGCAGAACGCTGTCTTTGTATCCAAGCTTGCTTCTGTAAAAACAAAGAACAAAACATTTGAGTCAATAAATGAGGCTCAACTAATTGTATTTTACCCAAATAGCGGATTGGCTGTTAACCACAAGATGGCAGTAACTTATGAGAAGAGGAGAAACATCTCACTGACTGTCTAACGTTAGCTAGCTAGCAAGCCTTCGTAGCTAACGTTAGTTAAATAGCTTATCAGAGCGAGCTAACGTTAGTTAAATAGCTTATCAGAGCGAGCTAACGTTAGTTAAATAGCTTATCAGAGCGAGCTAACGTTAGTTAAATAGCTAATCAGAGCGAGCTAAATCGTTTCAAAATAATGAATACTTGCTCGGCCGCCTGGTGACGAAAGGACGCGTATTTATTAACGTTAACGCTCCCTTGATGAAGTCAGCACAATAATTCGCGGTGCTGGTGGACAAAGATGTTGGCAGTTCGTGTTTGAGGAGCTCGAGTCCCTCGACAGCCTTGCAAGAAATGCAGGTGGTTCTGTGGTTGTCTCTCCAGCCCGAGCTAACATGTCTTCCATCTTTCAATGGTCTATTTTTCTCTTTTTTTACTTTCTTCTGAACCAGAAAACGGTGGCGGAGGCTGGATCTGCTCTGCTGCCCTCGGTCTGATCAAGCTCCTTTATATGAATAAAGTTTAAGAATGTTCATGCGGGGCACAATTATATTTCTTGGGGTCAATTTTGCCCTTTGCCCTCGTGTATTTCTGTCACGATACCAGAATCGCAATACAACAAATACATTATGATACTGGTATATAGAGTTTGTATGTGTATGGTTCATTTTTACCAGCTTGTTCCTGCCCAGCTTTTTGAACACTTAACAAATGGCATTAATATTACTATTAGCCTACAACAAGATAGCAATTATAACTACGGGCAAGGCACTCACCCTCTGCAGTGGGACCAGAGTACGACTCCAACACCTCTCAGCACTCGTCGGAAGTAATCCAACCGAAACACCAACAGGGAGGAGGACCAAGGGGGAACAGAGAGGAGGCAGCTGTGGAGTCTAAAGACGGCAGATAGAATCCGTACGGCTCAAGTAAGAACCAGCTTGTGTTCACAGAGAAGCTTCCTGACAAAACATCAGCCTGGAGGCTCAGACGGCTCCTCCCACCTCGCTGTGCCTGTCGGTCTCGTGTTGAAGCATGCAGGTCTTCGTCAAGTTCTCTGAGATCACCACACAGCAGCCTGCAGAACATTCTTTTCTATAGACTCTGACGCAAATATTAATATAAAGCAGAAGTAAACATGTGAACACCTTGACTGGTTCCTTTCAAACGGGAAACGTGTTTTACAGCAGTAGATGGGCAAGAAACCTGTTCCCTCCTTTCAACCACTAGCAGTCCTTCCAGCTGGTCAGAAGAGACCAGGAAGGATTCAGCACCGATCAAACGCTCCTCATCAGCACTGCCAGGATCAATTTGCTAAAAACAAGCAGAGCCCACCACACCATGGGGGTAACTGTTGTGTGCAGCGCATGATGGTCTGACCGGTCGCCCTCCAAAGTCCTAAACAAGTGTAGATATTTCCATACGGTGTCTCCATAGATACTAAGCCCAATGACGGCACGAACCAGACAACAATCAATACGTGATCATTATGTCATGGTTGATGGTGGAAAGACATGAGGTAGTTGATAACAGGGAGATAAGCTCTCGATGTAGCTCCTAATGGTAGGTGTCAGGTGGTCCTCCTCACAGAGGTAACCTTTGACCTCATAGGGTCTGGTGGAGTCAGAGGAAGAGGACATCAGGGAGAACTTGAATTCATGAATGATGAGCAGTGTCCCACAGGGACCCAATTAGTGTGTGTGTGTGTGTGTGTCAATGACACTTCATAGTTCAGATCATTGAGGACCAACGTACTGGCACACTGTCTACATCTCTTATATTGGGACCAATTTACTACAAATGTCAAACCAATGGACCACAGCCCTGAAAAATGACTGAATGGGTCATGGTCCAGTACAGTTCAATACAGTTGAGGGGTTATGGACCGTGAACCCTCACCCCCTAAACTGTACTATGAGCTTTTGTTCGTATGTTTTACGTGGTCCTGCTCTGTTGAAGTGCTGCTTTGAACTAAATGCTAACGTGCTGATGGTCAGCAGAAGTTCAACATATTCACCACCTTAGATTCACATGCTAGCATGCGAGGTGTGACCTTTGAGGCCCGAGAGGTGACCTCTGAGAGGCCTCCATGGAGTCTGCCTTGGATCCAGACCTTTGAGGTTTCTGCCAGGCTTCCCTCGAGGCCTTCCTGAACCCTACAACCCGAGTCCACCTTCAATGTCCTTGAACGCCCCCCTTCAAAAGACTGCTGAATATGGAGAGGGGGTGGGGGCTCTCCACAATCCGTCAATATGTCACTAAAGTAAAGAATTGAGGATATTTAGAACTTCTATTACGTGAGCTATTCAGTTATTAACTGTAAATTAAGGACCGTTACTATGTGGCACTTTCATGGTACACTGCCAAGATTTAATTAATTTAATTTAATTTACCTCCATTTACGTTATGTTATTTCGGTTTACTTTTGAATGTAATGTTGAAATGTGTTGAAATAAAGTAGCATAACTTTTTTCTAGCGGTTGGATATGCTGTTATTACCGAAGTCTTTCTACTTCTTATCATTGGTAAGAATAAGACTTCAAACAGCTTTTTCTTTAATAATTTAAAAGAAAAAATAATCTGTTCAATATTTCTTTACAGAGGCTACTTCCATATTGTGTTAAAATGGTTATTGCATTATTGATTTTTTTTCTCTTACAAAAAATTAGAGAATGTAATTCATCTGTTGATTTTTAAAAATCATCAAACAAGTAGGAAGTGATTATCAACCTCTGAGCAGCAACCTCAGAATTCAGACTCTGAGTAGCAAACTCAAATGTTTTAAATAACCGTTTTATCGATTTAGAATTGATAATCGACAATCGGTTTAGAATCGAATCATGAGGTGCCAAGAGATTACCACCCCTCATCATCATCATCATTACCATCATCACCATCGATATCAGCAAGATTTTTTTTCTGTCACACAGCATCCATTTTTTGACATGATCAATATCTGTCTCCCATTGACTGATTGATTAATTGATGATTGTTTCTGCTTTGTGTCCAAACCTGATGACATCACGTCTCTAAAGAGCAGAACATGTCACAGAGGAATGTGAGCAGGGTTCACACCTCGCAGAACAATTCACCGCCGGCCAATCAGGAGAGGCGAGGTAAGCCCTCGCTGAATGAGGCTTTGAAAACACAGCCGTGCGCCCATGTGGGTCCAAGACCGATGATCGGAGAAGGAATAATAACCAGATAACACAGTCAATGTGCCGTGGGTCAATTAGTGGAACACTTATATTCTCCTTATTGTTCTGGGACCAGAATTACAGTACTGAACAACGTGTTCAGAGACTGGATGTGACTTGATATATTTAATGAAACAGGAAGTGATAACGAGCTTTTATTGTACTAGGCAGTATGAAATATGAACCGATGATAACACAGACTACTCACTGCACGTACTCGTTATCTATTAATATTATACAAATGATCTCTACCATAAAATACTTTATACCTGAGTCAATGCATGATGACTGTCTACTATTGATCCTAATAACAGGAATATTGTCATGGGTCGAGCTGTGTTTTGTTCAGAAATGACATTAAATGAAGCCAAAGTCAGTGTGTTGAATATTGTATTGTGATTTGTACTCGGTCCTCTGACGTTCTCACTGAGGTTACTTCGTGTGCTGATGTGAAGGTTTTGGGAGAAAACAACGTCGCATGTACATGTGCGAGTTTAAAGCCCTCTGAGAAAAATGGTTAATTAGCGATTTTGGGCTATACAAAATAAAATGAATTGACTTGTGATGCGCGTGTGTCTTGTCCACGTGCTACGCTAGGCTATGTATAATTACACAATCACACCACTGGACTTTACCAACCACAGCGTGTTCACACTGTGCTCATCACAGGAGATAAAACACGTCTAAATATTCTCCTTATCAAACTGCTCCAGGGTTATCAACCTGTAATGTAATTAAATATACCATATACATTTATGTATACATCTCCCTGTATGTACGAGATTAAATATACTAAGTTACTGCCTGATCGGATTAGCAGTTCAGTGATCCATTCATATCCATTCATCCATCCATCCATTCATCCATCATCCATCCATCCATCCATTCATCCATCCATCCATCCATTCATCCATCCATTCATCCATCCATCCATCCATTCATCCATTCATCCATTCATCCATCCATTCATCCATCCATCCATCCATTCATCCATCCATTCATCCATTCATCCATCCATTCATCCATCCATCCATCCATTCATCCATCCATTCATCCATCCATCCATCCATCCATCCATCTTCACACCGCTCATCCTGCACACGGGGTCTTGGGGGGCTGGAGTCTGTCCAGCCTACTTCAGGTGATAGACGGGTTCATCCTGGACGGGTCACCAGCCAATCACAGGGCTACACAGAGACACACAACCACTCACACACCTACAGGCAACTAGAGTCCCCATCACCCTGATCCCAGAGCAGGTCTCTGGACTGTGGGAGGAACCCGGAGAACCCGGAGAGAACCCACGCAGACACGGGGAGAACATGCAGACTCCACACAGAGGCCACTGGGCGGAGTGGAACCAGGACCTTCTCGCTGTGAGGAGACGGTGAAAACCACCACACCACCGTGCCGTCCCTCAATACAACTAGTGGTACCGGTATTTAATTAACATTGTATATTTGTGTATGTAACTCACATACACAAATAGTCGCCCCAGTGGGGCGGCACGGTGGCGTGGTGGTCAACGCCTCACAGCGAGAAGGTCCTGGTTCCACTCCGCCCAGTGGCCTTTCTGTGTGAATGGTTGTGTGTCTCTGTGTGAGCCCTGTGATTGGGCTGGTGACCCGTCCAGGATGAACCCGTCTATCACCTGAAGTAGGGCTGGACAGACTCCAGCCCCCCAAGACCCCGTGTGCAGGATGAGCGGTGTGAAGATGGATGGATGAACTCTACACCAGCAGATATATTATAACCAAAGTAAAAGACTTCTCCTGCAAAGATGCAAAGACTCATTCAGATAAAGATCCTCATGTTTATTGACACTATTGATCAGAAGCTGACACGTCTGAAACAAAGTTGAGGTTCTTTTTATTGTCCTCGCGACACTGCTGGGATTGGATCAAACTGCTTTTGGTGTCTGTGGTGGAGCCAGACGGACGACCCCACCTCACAACTGATCTGTAGTCAGCTGGGCGACGTGGGAAAAGGCCTCCGCACGTCCCCCAGGAACCCAGATCCATCTGACACATTAGACACAAAGAACTGGAGGATGAAGGTCACAAACACACGAGTATTATCTTATTGCTGCAGTCTGACATTTGTGTCACATTGATGGACTCCTGATGCTGTATGATGCGTTCAAGTCACCTGGGCGTTCTCATACTTATCATGCCAACCCTGACACGGTGAATCTGAGCGGTTTCTAGCGCAGTTGAAATGTGAGCGAGGTAGAAATACTTTTTAAATACATCTCTGTTTTTGTATCAAAACAACAGAACGTCAGAGAACCAGATGTGACTCAGCTGATTTTCACCTGCTGTTCCCTCGTCTGGAGGTCAAAGTGTTTCATGGTTCGATGTCTGAAACAAGCGTTCAGTTGTCAGATATGCAACAGGTCAGTGAACGCCCCTCTGACGGTCTACAGGTCCTCACTAGGACACGCGTCCTCCTCGGGCCTTTTACTTCACGTCGAACATCATCCAAGTTCCTCAGTGAAGATGATCTTGATGCACAAAGGAAATGTCAGTATTATGCAATCAACCAAAATCACACGGTGGAATCTGATTGGCTCTTTGAGGATGAACCAGTGATCAGAACTTTAGACCAAACGATTCCGCGGGTCTCCTTTGTCCTACACGGCCTGAATGCAGCACAAGCAGTGCAGAGCTTTTGTGTTGTTAGTGTATTGTTGATAAGATGGTTTATTATGTTATAATGTGTTGTATTGTCTATATTGTTAGTTTGTTGTTGTTGTGTTGATGGTTTCTTTGGTAAAACGAGAGACATAAACAAAGCCAGCTGGAAGACTCAACAAACACACACCAAAATACCTTCCTACAAAATAAAATAGATCTCAGTTTTATAAAATCCAATAGTAGATTTGATACGAGCTCCGTGACATTTAAACAGTTTGCAAACACAGAAATGGCTCCATGAAAGAATCAATATCACGACATGAGTCCTGATGGGATGTGATCAGCATCAACAACTGATCAATAAACTACAGTTATAACTGAAGTGGGTTTAGTGTTGAAACGGACCCCAGGACACTAATCAATAAAAATAATTACCCAAATAATCAACAATCATGATCTTATTGTCTTTACGGTAATGATTCACATCGTAATAATAGTAAGCTGACAGGAAGCGACGCTGAAAGGCTGTAACCTGTTGCCATGGTGACGCACGGTCACACCGGAGATGTGGAGGTGACTTTTGACCTCTGCAGTCCGCCACTTCATGGTAAATGGAGGTAAGATGAGCTGCTCTCCTATTGGACGGTGTGTAGGCGTGTGCAGCAGGTGGGCGTGATCTGGGACCAGAGGTCACAGCTGGGTGGGCCCCCGGCTGTGCGGCTCGCTGATACCTGGAGGCGCCGTCACCAGGCTCCTCAGGTAGACGCAAGGGTTCCTCCTCCTCCCAGAGCCGGGGGCGGAGCCTGGCAGGGGGGGCGGCAAGGAGCCAGGGGGCCTCAGAGGTGACATGAGGGGCTGCATCTCCGGCAGCGCTCTACCTCCCCCATCTTCCTCGTCCTCCTCTTCCTCCTCCGTCTTCTGCGGGAAGCAGAAGGAGCCCTGGGCCATCTGAGCTCCGATGGAGGAGGTGCTCCTACTTGCGAGTAAGAGGCCGGGCGGGTCGCTCCCACCCTGGACAGGGCGGCTGACCCGGGGTTGCAGCGACTCGGCGGAGACCGGCGCGGAGGAGATCCTCTCCAAGGAGGAGATGCTATGTTTCCAGGCCTGCTGGAGATCCACGGGGATGATCTTGGTGGCCTCCACGGACACACAGGGGGGTGGGGAGCCCACGCTCCCCTTCCACGGGAGGTGGGGGGAGGAGGGCGCCAGGGGGGGACTCTGACCGCCATCCAGGGTGGCTGGGACAGCTGGAGGACACAGACAGTGTGTGAGTGTGTCTCTCAGACTGAATGTGTGTGTGTGTGTGTGTTCTCACCTGATCTGGGTTGTTGTGTTGGTGTCTCCACCTGACGGGCTATGAAGGTGATCCCAACGTCTTCGTCCTTCTCAGGGTCTGAATGTCCTCTGTCCTCCTCCGACTCCACAGGAACCACCACCGGGTCTACACACACACACACACACATTTATTATTCATATTGTCATATGATATTATATTAAGAGTGTATTCTGTATGTGTTTCATATGTATGTTGTATGTTTCACGCGTGTTCATTATTTACTCTTGTCCTGCCAGCTGACGTTGCGGCGGGGTTTGTCTCCGCCCTCTTCTCTGGAGTCAGACCCTCGGCGCTGAGGAGGAGGAACAACAGAGGTGAGGACAGGAAGCAGACCTCAGGTCAGCTTCAGACCACAGAGCCTCTGCTGCTGCACCCGGTCTGTGAGGACAGGACTAGAAGACCAGGAGGACCAGCATAACCAGTAGGCGACTGAGAGGACTGGTCCACACAGGCCGGACACACTTTTAACTGGTCAATTATAAATAATCATCTTTATTATAAAGGGCATTAAAGGGTTATTAATAAGCCAGTGATTGTGGACTAAAAGTCTCTCACAACAAACAAATAGAAACACTCCTGTTCTACACGTCTCCCACCGCCACGTGTTTGGGGAGGTTTTCCTGTGCAGAAGGACAGACGATGTCGCATGTGTACAGACTGTAAAGACCAATTTGTAATTTGCGGTTTTGGGCCATCCATCCAATCCGTCCATCCGTCCATCCATCCATCCATCCATGCGCATCCATCCGTCCATCCATCCATCCATCCATCCATCCATCCATCCATCCATCCATCCAATCCAATCCATCCATCCATCCAATCAGTCCATCCGTCCGTCCGTCCGTCCGTCCATCCATCCATCCATCCATCCATCCATCCATCCATCCATCCATCCATCGTCCATCATCATCCGTCCATCCGTCCATCCATCCCTCCATCCATCCATAAATCCGTACCGTCCATTCCATCCATCCATCCATCCACCCATCCATCCATCGGTCCGTCCAATCCATCCGTCCCCACACCACCCCCCCCGCCGTGTCCGTTCGTAGTAGTGGGTATCGCAGTAGTATGACTTGGATCAGTAGTACAAGTAGAAGTAGTAGTAGTACTACCCTACTACCACTACTCGTAGTACTGCAAGTAGAAGTAGTACTAGTGCTAGTAGTAGTACACACAATACTGCAGTACTCGTGGTGCTTGCCTTCTTGAGGCTGCGGTCCTTCTTGTGCCGTTTGTGTCGGGTGACTTGAGTTCTCCATGCGGCTATCTCATGTTCCTCTGGAAAACACTCCGGCTCCTGGCGCTCCTTCTCCCCCAGAGGCATGAAGTGTCTGCTGTAGTGAGACTGGTACTACTCACCCAACAACAACAACAACAACACACAACAACAGCGTGACTCACTACCAACAGTCACAACACACGTTATCTTCTAAACACCAGTTCAACAATTAGAAAGTAAAGTGTTTTTCTTTTTGCTGTTACGGCCTCCTACAGTGCCCCCTCCAGGGGGACCCCACCCCCAACAAACCCTGCTACCTCCTCAAGGCTCTGCAAGGAACCCTAGATTCTACTCAAGGAACCCTGGAGTTTATTTAAGGAACCATAAAGTCTCTTTAATGAACCCTGGATTCTACTCAAGGAACCCTGGAGTTTATTTAAGGGACCATAAAGTCTCTTTAAGGAACTCTAGATTCTACTCAAGGAACCCTGGAGTTTATTTAAGGGACCATAAAGTCTCTTTAAGGAACTCTAGATTCTACTCAAGGAACCCTGGAGTTTATTTAAGGAACCCTACAATCCACTCGAGGAACCCTGCACCTCTTCAAAAACTCTTAAACGAATTCAAGGACGCAAAGAATGTCTCATGGAGGCATTGACCCCCATAGAACCCTAACCAGATGTCACTGCAATGAATGTTACTGAGTGTTTTTATTACACGTCTCCTGGGCTTGTACAGGTTCCCTGACAGGAAGTGATGCGTCTCGCTTTCTTCCTCCACTTTGGCTCCAGGCACATTATCGATCACTTGGAGGTCCAGACACACCCCGCTGCCATTCTCACGCCTGGAACACAACAACAACAACAACAAGTCAACAACAACAACAACAACAGCCCACTGTCTCCTCAACAAGACATTAACAACCCATTAAGAACAAGGCATGGGGACAGTCATGTGACTCACAGGTAGTTGGTGACGTTGGTGACTTCGGGGAACGAGGCTCTGCTGGCCATCGAGGGCAGGGACAGTCTGGCTGAGGTCAGGACGTTCCCCCCCTACGCGCGCGCGCACACACACACACACACACACACACACACACACACACACACACACACACACACACACACAGTGTTCAGTACATGTCCACGTCTGTTGGCCACCTTAAAGCATCATCACAGATCTGTGATGTCATCATCACCTGGTCGATGACACTGATGGCGTCTCTGATGTTAATCTTCTGATAAGCCTCCCACAGTTCACTCTTCCTGTAGACGGACTTCCTCAGCAGCAGCTTACTCAGGTAGTTCTTATCAAACTGCTCCCACCTGAGAGGGAGAGGCAGACAGGCAGGGGGGAGAGAGAGATCTCTATATATGTCTATACAGGATGATAATGTCTCCATGGATCAGAGCGTCTGTGGTGAAGGAATAAAGCTCCTCCTACTGGCCACTGTGTGTATTACAGCATTACTAAGTGCAATGGTGACTATGAATATGTATATAAATAAACTTATATATGTATGTCTTGATATATAAACATGTGTGTTATTATACACATATCACAGTAAATATGTTGGTGTCACTCTGATGTCTTATGATATTAAATGTTGGTATATCTTCATCATTCTGTTTACTAATCATCATACGAACAATTGAGTGATGTAACTCCGTTATGTTCATTCTGATCACATGACGTCTATGACACCGATATGGGGGGGCGGGAGGGAGGGGGTGCAGATGTCCGAGGACATCCCCTGTGTACATATTGTAGAGGCCTCTGATGATGGACTCACTTGTCTCTCCAGTGGTGGTATCCCTGAAGTCCTGCTATGTCCTCCACTGCTGCCAGGGTGTGGTCAAAGGCCTGAGACAACAAAGACGACGACAACAACAACAACAACAACAACAACATCAGCAGCATAGGAAGACCAGTGGTGGCTGAGACGTCTGGAGACAGAAATGTAAATCCTGGGAGAACTTGTTGTAGGTTTGAATCTTGATTGCAAAGGAGACTTGTGATCAAAGATCAAAGGTCACTGCAGCTATGTGCTCACAGAAGGAGCTAGTAGTAGTACTTGTAGTAGTACACTCACCCTCTCGTGGATCTCCTCATTGATCGTCGGCTTCCTGTTGGTGGAACGAGGAACTTTGAGCCAGTCGACGAGAGGTTTGATGGTCAGACCCTGATGGAGAAACACATGATGAAGATGAGGATGATCAACAATGAGGTAATTCAGACAAAGTCTGTCATAATTCTTAGATGTTTATATTTGCAGCTTTTCCTTTTGAGTTCTCCTTCTTCAAGCTGAAGATGTGACCACTTCAGGCACCCGACAGAAAATGAAGCGCCGCTAAATGCGTCTCTTTGAGAATCAGGGATCCGAGAGTCCCGTCCTACCTGAAACATGACGGTGAAGAAGACGACCACAATCGTTGTGGCAACAAAGTAGTCCTTAGCCTTGACCTGCTTGCCGTCCAGTAGCACCACCAGGGCGAACGCCACAGCACCTCGCAGGCCGCCGTACGACATCACCACCTGGTCAATCTTGTCCAACGGGACGAGGCGGAAGCGGTTCAGAACCCAGGTCTGACCAATCACACCTGGAGCACAGGGGTTAGCAATGGACAAGGTGGGGTGACCAGGTACGCCGGCGCCCAATCGGAAGACTTTTGATTAAAATGAAACCTGCTAACGGCTCTGAATCTGAAACTGTGAGAGGTCAGAGGTTAAATCCTCTTCTAAGCGTGACATTTCAACAGTAAACATCAGTGATCAGCGTCACAAACTCTAGAGCAGAAATGTCAGCAAGCACAAAAGGCCTGGACAAAGAGTCCATCGTGCTGGTTGCCTAGAAACCAGATATGTGTGTGCTTGTTGCAGAGACACTGGACAGAAAATTTCACTAAATCAGTCATCGTTCTCTTTAGTTCTCTCTCGACTTGATCACAGACGAGATGTTCGTTGTTCCGTTTCTATGAAAACATGCCAAACGGTGACAAACCTGCGGCTCTGAAGACAAAGATGAAGACGAGAGTGCAGGACACCAGGCCGGTATCCCAGGCCCACTTGGACTTGTCTACTGCTGAGATGCCGAGGAAGATGAAGATGATTGTCTCTGCGATGCTGGCCAATGTCTTCATTGTGTACTTCACCGTGGTCCGGGACTTCTGGGAGATGTTGGCCTCCACATATTTGTTGGCACCGATACCACAGAAGGTCATTCTGACAAGAGACAAACGTGGAGTGATGGAGACGCAGGTGAGAAGAGGCCTGAAACTAGTTTGGGCAGAACCACATGGAGGACACCGGTCTGGTGGGAAATACCAAGTAATTATCAAATGACCAACAAAATGGATTTAGCAACCAGCCCAAACACCTCGGCAACGCCGTAGCAGCCAACTAATAACCCTAAGCAACCAGTCCTTACACCATAGCAACCAACCAACAAACCTTAGTTACCAGTCTTTACTTCATTAGAAAGATGAAAGTTGATCTGTAGTCTACATAGTCTGTCATTGTGGTCCCTCCGGTAGACTGGTCACAGAGGTCACTCCCGTTGTACTGGTCACAGTGGTCCCTATTTTTGTACTGGTCATAGTGGTCCTAGTTCTTGTACTGGTCTTACTGGTGTTAAGGGGTCAGCAAGACTTACGATAGAATTGCGGACAGCGAGAAGAGCTCGGCGGTGAGGTAGGCCAGGTAGACCAGCAGGAAGACAAAGAGCGGCTCGATGATCCGAACCTTCTTGGTAAAGCGAGTGATGAATCCGAGGATGAGGGCAAACACCAGACCCACCAGAGTCCCGCCGATGCTGACGATGAGGAAGGAGGCTGTGGAGAAAGCGAAGAAGGAGTGAGGCGAGGAAGAAGAGTAAAACCTGCTTTTAAGTGTGTTTCTTTGTGTGACCTCACCAACTCCTTTGAAGTAATCTGCCGTCTGAACGTTGTCCACTCCCACTTCCACAAAGGAGATGTAGACTTTATATAAAACCTGGAAACCAGAGACACTTTAAACTGTTGATGACAGGATCATTGTCATGACAACTAGGACCATTTATAAAGTCACGTACTAAACTGTGACGTCCATTCATTCGTTTAAAGTTCAACCAGCTTGTAGAAAGTTACAGACAGTGTTCAACCAGCATTTAACCATTTGGGGTCAACGTGGCCCAGGGGTAGCGAGGGTGCGCTGGGAACCACAAAAATGTAAAATCCACGGGTTAAAAATGTAATGTAAGTCACTTTGGATAAAAGCGTCAGCTAAATGACCTGTAATGTAATGTAACCCGAAAGCCCCGCCCCCTTTTCCTCTGGGAGTTTTTCCCCACACTCAGGTTGGTCCACTTGTTGGTGGGATTAGCTGGTTCTCATTTGAGTGCTGCTAAGGATTAGAAAGAGTTAATCTGCTCAAAACACTCTAATCTCATCTTTCTCTAACTCAGTAACAAGCCTCCTCTTCATCCAACATCTGGTGGTTCTGTGAGGAGGAAGGTCAGAGGGACCTTCTGCAGTTTCCTCCGGTCAGACCTTTCAGACTGTAACAACTGTGTGTGGGACATATGGACGGCCGGGGGCTATCTGAAATAGTATTTTGCACAAATAAGGTGGAGATGCTCAGGTGTAGTTGATCCAGGACTCCCGGTCTGCTTGTGGTTCTGTGAGGCCTGGTCTACACGCAGTTCCATATTGTTCAAAACTGATATTTTCTTCTTGATCTAAGATCTACGCTGACGACATGGCCGACACCCCGGAAAAAGATTCTGAGCATGCTCCGTTTGTATTTGTTGTCAACAAATACCAAAGAACGCTTTGTCTATTTACACGTATGTGGGACATGAAAACATCTCAGGTTTCTAGAAAACGGGTCTCTTTATGAGAGCTAGTCATCTCGGTAGAGGATAGGTGGAGAACCACTTCCATATTCTTCATGTAACCACAGTTTTTATGGATCTACCCCTAAATAGTGACTTAAAGCTCTCAGTGTGGGGAGGAGAGGATGAGAGACCATGTCAGTTATGAAGAGAGAAGGTGGGGTTGTCCTCTATGTGGGGGTCTGGTTGACTGGATGTTGATGGAGATGGTGGTTCTACTGTTTACTCTGGACCTTTAACCTGTTCTAGTTGAGGAGGTCTCTGGTAGGACTCTGGTCATGTGTCTGGTTCCATGTGGACTTGTTTGGTAGGTTGGACCATTATGTGCTGGTCTGTGTACTCACAGAATCCTGAAGGTATTTGTACCATGAATAATACTACTCCGAGCTAACTGATGGTCGATATTTACCTTCATCTGTTGCCACAGCAACACAGCAACACGCTTAACATGGCGGGGCGTGTGTGTGTGTACGTGTGTATGTGTTTGTGACTCACCACGGTGACCGCGTCGTTGACCAGCGACTCTCCGAAGACGATGATGAAAAGCGTGTCGTTCACGTGGACTTCCTCGAACACGGCGAGCACGGCCACAGGGTCGACGGCCGAAATCAGCGCCCCGAACAGCAGGAAGTCCATCAGGTCGGCCTGCACACGCTCATCTAAACGCACACACACACAAACACAGCTTTTATCTTCAGGCGCGATGAGTTCCTTGTGAGTTCAGCTCCAGATACACCAACGTGTCTTCACGGGGTCATCGTTACATCATCAGGGACCCTGGGGTCATTCTAACAGCTCAACGATAGAACTACCAGAAGTACTCTTTGATGTTTCTTTTGATGTTCGTTCAACAATGAGTTCATTCTGTGAGAGAAGAAGAGTCTTTTCAAAAGACCTCAAACGACCAGGGAGACCCTGAGCGTTGTGGGCGTGGCCTGGTCTTAAAGGAACCCTAACCCATAAACACTGTGTGTGACATCATAAATGGGGACCGACCTATGACCCCCAATAGCTTGGCGGCGTACAGGCAGAAGCCGGTGCAGAAGGCGTTCCACAGCGTCCCCACCACGGCGTACGTCAGGATGGCCCCCAGGTTGTCGAAGAAGAGGCGGGCCGGCATGAAGTACCCGGCGTCGCCCACGATGGTTGGCAGCAGGAAGAGGAAGAAGAGGGCGGGCTCTAGCTGGTACAACTGCTTCTCATTGGCTATAAGGACCACCCCGCCCAAAACCAGACCCAGCAGGATCAACATGCAGCTCTCCGGAACCACCGTAGTGAACCGCTGGGAGAAGTGAAACACTGGAGGACAAGAGACAGACGATGAAGAGACAGGAGACAGAGGATGAAGAAATAGGAAGAGACAATGAAGAGACAGGAGACGAGAGACAGACAATGAAAACACGGGAGTCAAGAGATGAAGAGACAGGATTTAGACAAGGAGGAGTCAGGAGACAAGAGACAGGAGATGAAGAAAGGACACAGAAGAGGTTAAACAGTTGGACACACATGAAGAAGCGTGTCATGTTCCTGCGGGGGCCACACATCTTTACAACATTAATAAATTGCTCTCCTCGTTGATTCTTTGTAGTTTAACATGATTACATTGTTGAGGACTATTTTCAGCGGCGGATGGATCCACATTAACGTATTAGTGAGGAGATGAAAGGCTCCGATGATGTCAGAATTGATGTAAGTGAGTTTAAACACCTTTTAGAAGGTGATGAGTCATCATCTCTCACCTCATTGGTCGGCAGGTTTGATGATGGATAACAGGTTTATTTCCATATGGTTGTCATGACGAGTGTACATGACCCCGACATGTGAACAACAAGGTCTGCCAACAGACCACACACACGCACACACACACACACACACACACACACACACTAGATGGACATGTAGTGTCTCTAACCACAACATTCCCAAGTCTCACAAAGCTCCATCAAAACATGCTCCTTCAGCATCTTCATCATCACCACCATCTTCTTCATCATCAGCATCTCATTCACACTTTAACGAACAAATGTGGATTCATCCAACAAAGTCAAACTGACATTTCAAAATAAAAGTCTGTAAACGATCCACGGAGGTTTTATATTAATCAAATCTTCTGAGCAGATATTCAGAGGGACAAAGAAGAGAAGAGCAAGGAAGCTTTGATCACATGACCAGAAACAAGTGAATCATCTGAAGGAGTCTCAGCGTGACCCTAGTCACCCCATTAATAGCCAACCAGAGACAGAGAGACAGGAGACGGAGACAGAGAGAGAGAGAGAGAGATAGTGGAGTGAGGGAGGAGACATGAGAGCCATGGAGGAGAGAGGATACGTGAGAGAGAGGAGGAGATAGGAGAGGAGAGAGTTAAAAAGAGGAGAGGAGTCATGAAAGGAGAGAGGAAACAGAGGAGGACAGAGGACAGGAGAGAGGAGACAGAAGGATTCCTAAGTTCATTCACTAGAGATCAGAACAAATGTTTACTGACGACGAAGGATGATGTCATTATTAAAAAAGAAGATTTAAACATGTTTCCCTCATCAGGACATTATCTGCAGCTGATTTCTATGACATCATTGCTATGTTGATGACATCACACCAACTAAAGTAGTTCTTGACATTGAACTGTTATTTTATAGATTTCATGTAATGACCTGGTAGACTATCTAAAACCAGTACCAGAGACCAGTACCTATCCAAAACCAGAATCAGAGACCATAATCTACAACCAGCACCAGAGACCAGTACCTATCCAAAACCAGAATCAGAGACCAGTGACAGAGACCATAATCTACAACCAGTACCAGAGACCAGTACCTATCCAAAACCAGAATCAGAGACCATAATCTACAACCAGCACCAGAGACCAGTACCTATCCAAAACCAGAATCAGAGACCAGTGACAGAGACCATAATCTACAACCAGTACCAGAGACCAGTACCTATCCAAAACCAGAATCAGAGACCAGTGACAGAGACCATAATCTAAAACCAGTACCAGAGACCAGTACCTATCCAAAACCAGAATCAGAGACCAGTGACAGAGACCATAATCTAAAACCAGCACCAGAGACCCGTCTCCAGGATTTCTTTCTGAAACTCATCAGACTTTTTTTCACTGAGTTATCCGACATAGTTTTACATCCAGAACTCCCGGTCTGGTTCCGGTCTGGTTCGTAACGGGACCAGTACTCACAGATCTTGGCCACACTGGCCAGCAGTAGCCAGGTGGCGATGATGTAGGGGGTCTGCACGTAGCTCCACTCCCACTGGACCACCCGGTACCCGCCGCCGTGATGATGAGGGTTCCCGTCCTCCTCCCCTTCTCCGGGACCGGGCGGCTCCTCCACGGCGGACCGGGCCACGGCCACGTCGGACGCCCCGTGCTCCGCCCGGGGCTGCGGGAGGACGAGGAGCGGCGGGGCGGAGGGGGAGGCGGGGACGGGCGGAGAGAAGCCGAGCCCCGGCCCCCCGAGCGGCGGAGCGCCGCTACCGGACAGGTCCGCGGCGGCCAGCAGCAGCAGCATCACACCGAGCGGCTTCATGGTCCTCCCGGTGCTCAGCGGGACCACATCCTCCGGAACCTTTATATACACACACCGACACACCGAGGGGAGCGGGGGCCGAGGAGGGAGGCCGGCCGCCGGTTTACAACATCAACACACTCCGGTAACACGGAGGAGGAGGAGGAGGAGGAGGACATGTGACCCTGTTTAAAGAGACGGGACCCTGCAGGTGGAGGACCTGGTACCGAGGCGCTCTGCAGTAATACTACACCTCTACTACCATCATGAGTATACTGTATAATAATAATACTTTAAGGATTTATTGTACTCTATTACAATATGTAACCCTTATAGTACTAATAGGCTGCTGGTCCATATGCGTAAAATATATGTTTTTAAATTATACTAAAAATATATTTTACAAATAGTGTCATTTGTGTTTTTGAAATATGTAATACACCCAGTATTATTGGTAAATTAAGATAACAAAATATATGCTTTTACTGCACGTCCTCTCTCTGGTCTCAGCTGGGCTGTGTCCCAATGACACATTTATTATTTAAGCAATAAAGGTATTATTACAAAGGTAATTGTAATAATTATACTACCAATACTGTGTACTAATAGTTGTCCTTATAATTGTATTTGTACTGTATTATAATATATACTACCTATAGTACTACTATGTAAAAATATATGCTGTATAATAATTATATAAAATTAGACTTGGACGCGGCAGGTAGATGCTCTGTGTAATAGTACTACAGTGATGATGAATATAGTACATTAAACAATTATAATTCATTCCTTATTATTGGTCATTAGAAGTACACACATTTAATAAAACTCTAGTATCAAGTTAGTTTTCTGATAATAAAAAAAAAGATCTATAAAAAAATGATTTGTAAAGCATTTCGAAGCTTCCGAAATAAACTTTATTAAAAACCTTTATTGAAAATACCAATTTCTTTACAGTAAAATGTTTATCTGGGGCTTCAAATGAAAACTAAACTGTTGCAGAGGAAACAAGCAGAAACACCTCAAAGTGCAGAAAATACCTGTACAGAACCAATAACTCCAGTAATCTGAACATACGAGATACATAAACACATGTTTTATAACCCATTTGTGATTTGGTGACAAGAAACATCTCTACAAACATGAATACTCCAGAGTGGGTGTTTGCGTGCACTTCAGCTCCTAAGAAGGTTTGTCTATTCAGAAATAAAGTTCTCGTTCAGATGGAACATTTAAAAACTGTTGGAGAGGTTTGAATTTAATGTCAAACGTTGTTGCCCAATTCCAAATGGAGATGCAAAGAAGTAAAAGCAGCGGCAAGCGAGGTCACAGCGAGGTCACAGAGGGGTCGCATTACAAACCCAAGAAGATTGTGTTTTATTAAAATAACTAAAGGGATATGTTCTTGTGTTGTTGTTGTTGTTGTTGCATGTCGCTTCGGTTCAATAAACGTGACGTCATCGAAGTGTCAACATCCATATTAATAACCACATGTTCGCTCTGGTTGTCCTGTTGTCTCTCAGCTGGTCGGGGATCAGTCTTCAGTGATCAGACTTGCTCTGCTGTCTGGCTGTTGAGTCCCAGAGCCTGAACCACGTCCAGACTGAGTCCACTTTTCAGAGTCCGCCTCACTGAAACACACACATCATAATTCTTACATATTAAATAACTGCTCCTGTCCTCCACGTCTCTAGGATCCATCCGGACCAGGTCTCCAGGGTCCATCTGGACCAGGTCTTTAGGGTTCACAGCGTTTACATTACAGGTCATTTAGCTGACGCTTTTATCCAAAACAGCTTACATTGCATTTTTAACCCATGGTTTTTACATTTTTAACCATAACCCACACAGTGGGAGTAGCGTGCAGCCATCCGGGAGTTATGGGTTATGGGTTGGGTGTCTTGCTCAGGGACACTTCGACATGGGACATGGAGCAGCCAGGGTTTGAACCGCCAAGCTTGCGGTTCCCGACCCACCCACTCTACTCCATGCGCCACCGTCGTGATGTGTATAGGATTTAGTGAGGAAGTACAAACATGATGAGAGATACGAGTGTTGTGGACACAGAGCTGCTGTGGAGTCTGGACACACAGAGTCTGAACCTGTTGAACCAGAGACTTGGGGTCTGCATGACCCTGAACCCTTTGAGACAGAAACTTTCTGTCAGTGGTCTCAGGGGATTTTTAAAAATGTCTACTAGAGCAAGATTCAGATCCACATTAGTACTCACTTGACTTCCTGTTCAGACGTGACCTCTTTCGGGTTTTGGGGCTGGAGGGTCTGTCGGATGGGTTCTGTGTGACGGACTTGACCAGGCGGTCCATGATCTCGTCCGTGGCGTCGTCAGCAGAGCCGGTGCAGTCTTCTCTGGCTCGAAACATCTGGGACGGACTAACCCTGCCGAGACCTGAGGACCACAGCCACAATCAGAACCTGAGCCAGAACCAGAACAACAGTCTAATCTGAGAGGACCAGTTGTGTTCAGGTACGATCCTGATCCAGGAGGTAATCTCTGCAAAGCTTTATTGAATGTAACATCTGTGTGTATATCTGTCTAATCAGAACCGCTGTCCTCATAACAACAAGTCTGGTTCACTCAGGCTTTCGAATGTTCATGCTTATGAGGTGGAAATGGAGGAGGACATTATGTGGAGAATATGGGCAAAATGTGAGATGGACAAGTAGAACAGGTTGAGGACATGAGGAGGTTCAGTCTGGACTAATAATGTCCTTAAACACTAACACACGGAGGGGGGGCAACGTCTGTAAAAGACTTGAGACGTGTTTACGGGGACTGTGTTGAGGTGCTGGTACTGGACCTGGTAACGGTCCTGGAGGAAGAACGTGGACTTACTGCGAACAACTCTGGAGCGTCTCATGCCTTTCTGGTCTATCATCAGATGGTCTGTGCTGATCAGCAGGTTCTTCATGTTCTCATGCTCCTCCTCCTGACAGGGCCCCGCCTCTCCTGAGACAGGGGAGGAGCCATCCTCGCCAGGCACCGCCCCCGAAAATTTCTCCGTCTGAGAAGAGGACAAAAGGATGGAGGAGTACCCCCTAGGCGTCAGACTTGTTCCCCCTGGGCGTCAGACTTGTTCCCCTGGAACAAGGAACAAGTCTGATCCACACACACACACACACACACACACACACACACACACACACACACACACACACACACACACACACACACACACACACACACACACACACACACACACACACACACACACGTTCCCCTGGGCATTACCTCGGTGATCATCTTTCCCCGTGTCTTGGTCCTCTCTCTGTGAGCGGCCCGTTTCTGTTTGAGGGTCAGGACCCGCTCCCTGGTGGTCCGGTACTCCAGAGAGAACTCGCTGATGATCCGGCAGAAGCTGGTCACTCTGATGTCCCTCACTGAGGAGGACGGCTGGCCCAGGAACAGCAAGAAGGAGTGGAACCTGGAGGAGAAGCGGCAGGAAGGTTCTGTCGGTGGTTCTGGTCAAGACCTGCATCTCTCAGGTGTCTGCATCTCACCTGTTGATGACCCTCCTATGGACCACCTTGAGGATGAGGATCCTCTGTGTACAGTCCTTCAGAAACTCTGTCAGCTTGTTCTTCAGCACCACCTTCGTCTCATGTTTGGTCACCACCTTCAGGTTGTCCCATGATGCTTTGCAGCGTTTCTCCAGGTGCACCAGGTTCTCCGAGAGCAGGTCGAAGTCCACCTGGAGGAGACGGACACACTCAGTTGATAAAGAAGTAGTCAGTGAATATGATCAGAACGTGTTGGAGACAATAATGAAGAGGACACTGTACTTTAGCGGAGCGGGTGATGGCTGGGACCTCTGAATACACGTCTGAGGATTCTGGGTAGTTTTCGAGCAGCAGGCTGCAGGTGTGGTGCAGCAAGGACTGACGGTGGACGGTGTCCTTCACCTCCACCACCTTCTCCAGGTAACCCAGCTCGAAGCCTTTAGCCTAAACACACACACACACACTGATTTGTAATCTGTGTTTGGATAAACAACAGGTCCTTCTGAGCCCGCTCAGCTGATCGGTTCCTGATAAGATGAAGATCACATTTCATTTCTCACACAAACAGAGGTGAGGAGGACACGTTGTCCGTCCTTCACATGTTAACTGAAGTCTAGAGGACGATGTGAATCCTTCAAAAGGATTCTAATTGTACTTTTCTGTTTCCTACTGACAAGAGTATAATAATAATAAATATTTCTTGATTGATTTTTGAATTGAGGTTCAACAGAATTATCTAGAGAAACAGAATATTTTGTTGCACAACCTGTTGTTTGTTACGATTCCTGCAAGTCTAAATGAGACACCACCCAACCGCTGTCTTGTCCCGCTTCTGTCAACATAGAGCTCATGGGACCTTCCACAAGACTCCCGTCTTCATCTCATCTGTTGTCTCATCATCTCAAATTACAGTCGCGCTTTTCTATGATTATCTTTCAATTGGGGTGACGTCAATAAGAAGATAGGCAGTGAGTTAGAAGTCAGATTACCTGATTTGGTACCAGGCGAGAGAACACACACACACACACACACACACACACACGTAACATTATTGACCTCTCTGCCCATATTGCCTAATTATCATGTTTGTTAGTCAGCAACAAATGTCCAGTAAGATCTTAAATTGAATGGGTCCATGTTTGACACGTAACGTGGATGATTACCAGCAGAACCGATTCACGCGTAAAGCCACAGCAGAGTTGTGCTTTTCAAACATGGGTTTTTTGCTTGTGTGCAATGACATTTGTCATCGTAACGTCTAAACAATTGGAATAACACACATATTGTATATATCTTTAGAATAATAAACTGTAAAAATACCAGTACAAGTTTATTAAATAAAATGATGTAATAAACATTTTTAGGTTTGAATTTTGGCAGGGAAGTCCTGAGGACAGCTACGGTCCGGTGGACCTTTGAACCATATGTGGACCTCTGTTCCCAGGAGCATCAAGCTGCTGGAGATTATGGGCTTCACCTGCATCCTGCTGCACTCTCCTAGTACCTCCTTAGCTTTCTGTGGTCCTCGACATGATACCACAGGCACTACTGTTCACGCTTTAAATGGGCAGATTGACATAATTAGGAGAAAATCCCGTCAATTTTCAAAATAAAACATTATTCAGAAAAAAAAATATATATATAAGCTTTCTGTGGTGCGGCCCGGTACCAAACGGCCCGGTGGCTGGGGACCACTGAATTAGAGAACACACCTTAGATGCCAAATCATTTTAAATCTCTTCTAGGGTTGCAATCAGTTTTGTCCAGGCCATTTTCATTAATTGATTTTTTAATGATTCTGTTGAACCAAAATTAAACTGCATGTCTGTCACTAGTCAGTCACTAGTTTGTCACTATTTTTAAAACATTTTGATTCAGTAGCACTTCTGTCCGTTATTTCAGTGGCTTCTTTCTTTAACGAAAAGGGTACCAACGTTTTTGTCCACTTGTTTATAAATGTTCTGATATGTAACAGTGTGTCCATCCTCACGTTGGAGCTGTTGAGGAAGTTCCCGATGGCGAGCAGCGTAGCCAGGATCCTCCTGAAGGTCTGATTGGACGAGAGCTGCTCCATGCCCAGCTTCAGGTCAAACAGGGGCTCAGCGATCTCCTGCAGGGACAGATCCAAGATCAGTCTCAACGAAACACCACTCACCTGATGTGTCAGACCCAGAAGGCCTCTGTGTGGACCTCACCTTCTCCAGAGCCTCGTAGTTCAGTTTAAAGGCCCAGAGCTGCAGGCGGGGGGCCAGAGCACTGATGGAGGCCAGGCTCAGCAGGAACTGCTCTGCTGTCCCCAGAGGGACCTGAGGATTGGCCAGCTGAGCGTCCTGGATCTTTTGCTTCTCCTCCTCTGTGGGGGTCATGGTCAGGATCTTCTGCTCAGGATAGAGGGGGGTGGGTGGGGGTGGGGGAGGGCAGCTGAGGTCCAACTGTAGGTTTACTTCGACTCGGCCCTTTGACCGGAAGGGAAACAAAGTACTCTAACCCTAATCGGAAGTAGCTGTGTCTCATTTAGTTGGCCTCATTCATCGACTCGGCGGTCCCATTCCGTGGGCTCCTTCGGCGCGGTCGAAGGACACATATCCCATCATGCAATGCAACCCGATGAAGTTTTAGTTTATTCAGGACGGAGGCAGCTGAGCTGACAGCAGGAGTTCACTTTTAAATGTAAGTTTCTAGAATTCACGCAAATATCTACAAATATAAATGTTACAATACATAACATCACATTTTAGTTCAGAAAATCGCTTAAGTTACGTGATGATGGAAACCGATGTTGTTTCAAATACAAATGAGACGTGAGAACAAACTGCTCTTAGTTAGAACTCCGTCTCAGATTAAAGTGAGCTGAAGAAGACAAGTTATTAACCTGAAATATCACTTTCTAATTCATAACGTTACAAACATTGAGAATAAATACACAACAGAAATGACTTGGTGCTCTGTGGCGTGATTCCAAACTAACTACGGATTTAGTGTTGTGAGATTTAGTTGTGTTTTATGGAGCAGGAGGAAGCAGCGATGTGTGTGGTGACCTTCAGCTCCTGTAGCCCATTCTGGAATATCTTAAGGTTACATTTAAAATAGATTGTATCCTATACAAGAAACATATGAAGAGTGTGCATACAAGTTAATACATGTATTTACTGTTGTGTTTATTAATTACTGTATTGATTAATGTCCTCGGCCAAAGGAGCGGCGGAGGAGAAGCCGATGACGCACAGACCAGACGTCTCCTTTCAGAGAGCGCTTGGTTCAGCCTGTTCGGTCGTTGGAGGACCCGGCCAACGGAGACCAAAAGGCCGGGTCCTCCTGAAGATGCAGCCCACCAAATGAGACACAGCTAGTGAGAGACAAGTATTCTCTACCTCTATACCCTCCTTGCTGATGGCGTACTCGTCAAAGTTGAGGATGGCGGTCTTGATGACGTGGACGGCCGGTAACACAGTCATACCGATGTTTATGGCGTTGCTCCTCTTTGAGTCCAGAACCAGAATCTCAGACCTCTTTGTCTCAGGTCCTTTCTGGAACAAGTTATCAGATCAGATGAAGCAGGTCTATAATTTTAAATAAAAGAGCTGAGGAAGATTCGGTAGCTGGAGAGTCAAGGGGTGGGAGGGTTAGAAAGGGGGGGGGAAGGGAGGAAGGAATTGATGAAGTGGAGGGGGGGGGGGGGGGGCAAGGGAGTTTCCAAAATGTCCTCTGTAAAGACTTCTGGTCCTGTCAGACTGCACTAATGAGCTAATACGGATCAGCTGTGTGAGGAGAGACAGAGACTGCGGCGCGTGTTTGTGGGTTGCCACGGAAACGTGTTCCCACGCTGACCGGGTAAACAGTGACTTTACCTAGAATCAGCACGTCAAACAAGTGCCCATCCCTGCAAAACTATGACTAAACTTGTAACTTATGTTTTCTCTGAGAAATTTGTTTCCCGTTTTGCATTAGTGTCTATAGAGCAGAGTTGGAAGTCTGTGGGATTGCATAGCCACATGACTACGACCAGCACAACATTTCATCATTTTATCCAAAAATGAAGCACGAAGACAATTGTGGCAATGAGAATTCCAATCCGCCTCTCACATAGATTCCCATTATAAACGCAGAAATGGTTTCAAATTTTTCTAAAATGACCATGATTACAAGAAAGAGTTTGAGGTATGTGGGTGGCGTGGTGGTTAGCACTGTTGCCTCACAGCAAGAAGGTCCTGGGTTCCACTCCGCCCAGTGGCCTTTCTGTGTGGAGTCTGCGTGTTCTCCCCGTGTCTGCATTGGTTCTCTCAGGGTGCTCCGGCTTCCTCCCACAGTACATGCTCTGGGGATCAGGTTGATTGGTAACTAACAATTCTCAGAATTCCCCCTAGTCGCGGACGGGATGGGGAACAGAGAGGGCCAGTTTGACACAGCCCAGAAAGAAGACGACACCCTGAGACACGCCTGGGCTCGGGTGCTCGCCCACGACGGTCAACCCCTCGACCCAGTGAGACCTTTGTCTTACCCCTTCTATGCTACAAAAAATACCGTACTGTATAGGGTGTGCAAGATGGAAGGGCAGGTAGTTGAACAGTTGGTAGTCCCTCGCCCATACACCAGTAAGGTCCTGTATCTGGCCCACTCCCACCTTATGGGCGCTCACCAGGGGATGGATAAGACGCGGGAGAGGATAGAAGCCCGGTTTTACGGGCTGCACCATCAAGGAGCATGTGGTCCAAATGAAGACCAGGATGGCCCAAGTCTGGCCAGTAGTGAGGGAACACCTGCAACAGGCACAGCAAGCCCAAACCCAAGTGTAAAATTGGGGTGCCCAGGTACGTGCCTTCCTACCAGGAGAATGTGTCCTTGTGTTGGTCCCCAGCTCGGACTGTAAGTTTCTGGCTAAGTGGCAGGGACCCTATGAGGTGGTGGCACGGGTTAATGAAGCCAACTATCAGGTACGTCAGCCTGACCGGCGCAGGCCCCTACAACTCTACCACGTTAACCTTCTTAAAAAATGGCAGAGTCTTCCAGAACTGCAGGCGCAACCCACTCCGGCCCTTACCGCTCGGATCCCATTACCGGAAGTGCGGAGACCAACTCAGTCCGAGTCAGCTGAAAGACCTACGTGAGGTGGTGTGGCAGCACCTGGACGTCTTCTCCGACCTGCCAGGCCGAACCACCATGGCCACCCATGACATAAGGACAGAGCCAGGAGTAAGCGTATGGGTGAAGCCGTATCGTATTCCCGAGGCGAGGAGAGAGGCCATCCGGAGGGAGGTGAGTAGAATGCTCCAGCTGGGGGTCATTCAGGAGTCCCACAGTGCCTGGTCCAGCCCAGTGGTACTGGTGTCCAAGCCGGATGGTTCTTACCGTTTCTGTAATGACTTCTGTAGACTCAATGACGTCTCCCAGTTTGATGCCTATCCCATGCCCAGGGTGGATGACCTGATTGACCGGCTGGGGACGGCCCATTTCATCTCCACCTTGGACCTCACCAAAGGCTAATGGCAGGTGCCGCTGACTACTCGGCCTGCCTTCGCCACCTCTGAAGGCCTATATCAATACACAGTGTTATTCTTTGGCGTCCATGGAGCCCCAGCTGCATTCCAGCGGTTAATTAACAAAATTCTCCGGCCCCACCAATGGTATGCACCTGCCTATATCGACGACATCGTGATCCACAGTGACGACTGGGAGACTCACGTGAGCCGGCTGCGGGCTGGACTGGGGGCCCTCCGGGGGGCAGGACTCACGGCCAACCCAAAGAAGTGCCATCTGGGCCTAGACTACCTGGGCTACCGCATAGGACAGGGCAACGTGCAACCACGGGATGCCAAGGTACAGGCCATTCTTAGCTGGCCACGACCCAAGACCAAGCGACAGGTAAAATCTTTCCTAGGTTTGGTGGGGTACTACAAGAGGTTCCTTCCCCGCTACGCAACTATGGCAGCCCCCTTACATGACTTGACGAGAAAGCGGGGGCCAGACAAGGTCAACTGGACAACTGGACCGGCGTTCGGTGCTAACGGGGCACCGAACGCCTGTCTTCTCTCTCCCATTCCTAGTCCATACCGACGCGTCAGAAGTGGGACTGGGGGAGGTCCTATGTCAGGTACGAGACGGCGAGGAGCACCCGGTGATGTATATCAGCGAAAGTATCTTCCAAACGAACGCACTGACTCAAGCAGGAGGCGCAGGAGGTGGAGCAGGAGGCGCTTGCCATAAAATGGGCACTGGAGAAGCTTCGCTACTACCTTCTGGGTCGGAACTTCACCCTGGTGACAGATCATGCCCCCCTGAAATGGATGGCGCAGGCCAAGGACTCCAACGCCAGGGTCACCCGCTGGTTCCTGGCCCTCCAGGACTACAAATTCACGGTGGATCCCCGGCCGGGGAGGGAACATGCTAACGCAGATGCACTGTCCAGGCGGGATGCTTGTATGTGGGCGGTCCAGCGGGGTCCCGGCTTCCTGCTGGGGGAGTTGTGGCAACCCACAGGCGCAGTACCCTGCACAGCGCCTCAAGAGATCAGCACCAAGGGCAGGGACACCGATGAGCAAGAGGTCAGGTGACCAAAAGGGGACACAGCCCGCCCGCTCTGGGAGACAACGAGCGGCCCAGGTGCAGCTCATAAGGCTGATGAAGGCTAACCACACTATGAAGGACCAACCATTCCAACCGCCCGGGGAACTAGACGTGTAAGTCGTCTTTTATCCAAAGCGACTTACATTACATTTTAACCCATGGCATTTTACATTTTTGCCTGGGGAGCAATTAGGGGTTATGGGTCTTGCTCGGGGACACTTCGACATGGGGCAGCCGGGACCTAAACCACCAACCTTGCGGTTCCCAGCGCACCCTCTCTACCCCTGCGCCACGTCGCCCCGTTTTCTGTGCTTCCCGCAGGAAGGAGACTGAAGGCCAAACAACCTATTGAACTGAACCCTCAAAAGAGGAAGAACCTATTTTGCCGGTTTCCCTTTTTTGTGCGTCAAAATAAACCGTACCCTTTTTTTGTGTGCACCCAGTCGTGTATCCGAGTCCTGTAATTTCACACCCGATGGTTGCCCCACTACGTTTAAAGTATAGCGAGTCAGTATGGCCGCAAAGTTCAGTGTTTTTTGCCTTTTTGAATCATTCATTTCAATGAAGGTGTGTTATGACACGATTCCCGACGACACCCGACACTTTGACAAATTATGAAGCATTTGCTAGCAGTGCTGCAGGAACATGCTAAACTATTTGTACGGAAGGAGAATAATCAAGAATTCCGCCGGATAATATTCAGTGCGTTCTGCTTCGCAGCCAAACTGAATTATTTCATTTAGCTTTTCTTCTCATTAATGAATAAAATGTTGAGAAATTGTTCTTTTTACATCGAGACGGCATTCAGTGAAGCTTTGCATTATTTCTATATGTACTTGTCTGTGATAAGATATCTGCTCGGTGCTTCCCACAATGCATCTGCCCCTCAGCTGAAACGCCCCAGTTACCTTGGCGACGGGCATCTCCTTGGCCTTGGACTCAAACAGGTGTTCAAGTCGGGTGGTGTCCACGGACACTTTGTCCAGCGATGCCCACACAGTCCCCCGACCAAAGCAACCCCGCTGAGGCCCGTCGGCATGCTTCAGCTCCCTCCAGAACAACTTCACCGTCTTCTTCTTCTGGGAGGACGCAGCCGAGAGGGGAGGGACAGGAGGGGCTGGATCCCCTGGTAGAGGAGGAGGAGGAGGAAACACCTAGGCCTGGTGTAGGAGGAGGTGGAGGAGGAACACCTAGGCCGGGTGGAGGAGGAGGAGGTGGAGGAGGAACACCTAGGCCGGGTGGAGGAGGAGGAGGAGGAGGGGGAACACCTAGGCCCGTTGGAGGAGGAGGGCCCCGGAGAAGCAGGAGGAGGACGAGTCCAAGGAGTCCATGTCCAGCACATCAATGTCCTCCTCGTCCAGCAGGTCGGAGAAATCCAGGTCTTGATGCGCAAGGCAGCGGTACTGGGCTGCAGCTGGTCCCAGGCATCAGGGAGGCCCCCGGGGCCCAGCGGGGTGATCGGGGTCATCTCCAGACGGCGGCCATTGCTGTCCAGGTCCACGCTGCTCTGCTGCCGAAGGTGACGGTCTGATGAAGGAGAACACAGTGAGGTCAACGGGATTCAGCCGGAGACACAATGAGGGAACCACTATTCCATGATCCCTGTGGAAGACGTCACAGGGTCAAGGAAAGATGGTTAGGAGAGTTGATGAGGAGTCAGGAAAGGACAAGGCGATGCTTAGGAAATTGACTCCACTGAGCTGCGTCCTTGTGTTGGACGGAGACGCTTGTTGGGGACGTCCGTCTGCAGCGTCTACAGAGAAGCGTCTCATGTGTTGTTACAGTGTGAGTCGTGCAGACACACAAACAACCAGGTTCAAAGGAAAACTTTATTAACATAAATGATGCTAACGGTTACTCACACAATCTGCGTTTCTACGTCATGATCGATATTTCTCGTGAATGGACCAAAGACACGTTACTATTTAAATATTGCTGCTGCAAGGAATTGTGGGACGAAAAGGATGATCCAGTGGTTCCTATGCTAAAGGAGATAAGGAAGGAAGGAGAGGAAAGAAGCAGCTAGAAAGACAGTGAGGTCAACAGGAAGCAGACAGAGACATTCGGACCTGTTGTTCTTCAGCAAGGCGGGCCAGTGCCGCCTGGGCGGAGCCTTCCAGCCCTTCTAGCTCCGCCCTGCGCGATGCTCTACTCTCATTGGGCGGCTCCACTGAGCGGGTTGTGAAGTTGGAGAGTCGCTCGAAAACACGACCACGTCCTCCCAGATCTCCACCTGAGACAAAACACACACACACAAGCGGTCTCACTCTGATGACATCACCAGAACCACATAAACAGAGTTCCTACAGTTTGGTAATAGTACTTCTAATATAAAAGTATTTTTAAATAATGTAACTGTAACATAATACTTTTACAGTGGGGTACTTGTGCTGATGTAAAGATCTGTATACTTTCCCCTTCAAATGGTAACTGTACTTCTTAAAGGTGTCCTGTAAACTTAGTTTTACCCCACTCCTAATACTGCATCAATGTACTTGTTGTGTGTAACGTGCTGCAGACCAGGGAGCCAATCGGCGCTCACCGGGCAGGAAGGCGGCTTCTTCTTCGCTGGCGTTGGAAGCAGCAGCGGCTGCGCTGGGGCTCTGAGGTCCTGAGCTGGAGGTCTTGGAGTACAACTTCTCGTTTGTGGACAGAGTACTGCTCTGCTGTTGGAATGCAGACGCTGCACACGATGTAATCACGTTAGTAATAATATCTAAAACGGGTCTTTGAATGCTGGTCGGAAAGTAAAAAATAGTATCTGAATAATGTACTTTGGTTTTCATGCAAATAAAAAACTGAACTGGAAGTAAACGTTCACATAGCATCAACGTAGTCTTAATAAAGTTCTTATCTAGTATTTATGTAGTAATACTACACTGCGTATCTAGTGCGTGTGTATTACTACTATGGTATTAATAGTACTTCAACAAGTACTTGTAACCCAGTAGTCATGCAGTATTACTATATATCGTACTTATATAGTATTCAAATAGCACCTATTAGTATTCAGAAGTACTTCTATATTACAGGTCAGTTTAGGACAGCAGTGACCTTTGACCTCCAGTAGGAGGCGCTTCATCCCCACAGAGATGATTCCTGTATTTGACACACGTGGAGCTGAGCAGAGACAGAGTGAACATGCGCTGAGCATTGTGGGTAACGGGCGTCTCACCGGGATCCTTCTGGGAGTCAGAGTTTCTGTTGGTGTCCAAACTGCTGGAGGTGGAAACTACAGACGACAAGAGAAGATGTGGAACACACTGCGAGGGCGAAGTGGTGTAAATATGACAACAAGTACAATCTACAACTGAGGGGATTTATTTCGTACTTTCTGCTCTGACTTTCCTCATTTATAATGTTTTACTGTCAAATTTGCTTCAGTGACAATTTTATATTTTACGAATAAATGAAGAAATATCGTCTGAGGGCCGTACTCGGACGAGGTCGCCCTTCAGTGGGGACGCTGTTGGCCCCCTCTGCAGGCTGCAGGCCTGGAGGGATGATGTCATCAGACGAGGACAGCCTGGACTGGCTGAGGCGTGTACTTCTTCTCTTCTTCTCCCACTGAGTGGCTGCCAGGGTTCGCAGGAAGGGTTTTCTGTGGAGAGGAGGACCAGGTGAGACAGAGACAACATGGTCGACACCCTCAGAAGTCACCTTCACCTTCATCATCATCATCATCATTATTCATTTGATTAATGAAAGATTCCTGTCAATGTGTCTTCATGTTCAGACTCAAACCAGAAGCAGTGTCATTTAAATGTTCCACGTTGTTGTTTATTCTATATTTTATGAAGTGTGGATCCATCCGCCGCTGAAAATAGTCCCCAAAAAAATCTCCATTTCCTGCGGTTAGATTAAACCTAAAAACTAGGAGGATAACTTTTAACATTTTAAAAGACAACCGTCTTTGGGGAGGAACCAATGGAACGCAGACGGGAAGGTGGACGTGTTGACGGACGGACCAACAGTTTGACGAGTCATGACGGACATGAAGAATCACACTTTACAGCTTAATTTCTTCTTCTTCAAAACCACATTCAGGAAGATTAAACACCAGAGGTTAGACCGCACCCGTCAATCAACTAAAATGACCACACACACACACACACACACCCACACCCACACACACACCCTCCTGCTCCCAGCATGCAGCGGGGCAGCAGCTTTACTTACTCAAGCTTCCTCAGAACCGGCTTGTCTGGATTTACATTAGAGTCATCGGAGCTGCAGACACACACCCGAAGACGACACACACACCCAAAAAAGACACCGGCCACACACAATGAGTGACACACACATACGTTTGATACAGAGTTCACAATGAGATCACCGGGATGAAACATTTTAGTAGAAGTTTGGATTTGTGGTACAAACATGTCAACTTTGATTTAAGTTTGTATAAGTTTAAATGTCACTGTATTAATTATTCATTTTATCCTGTGAGAAGTGACACCGACACGCCGCTCAAAATGACCTTAAAATGAAGCAATAAAGCTGTACTTTGTCGTCATATAGTTAGTTGGAGGGTGTTGTTAGGCAACCCTTATTGCTTTTATGAGAAACCATCGAAGAACCATCAAAGAATCATTAAAAGGGACGACAATAACCGTTAAGGAAGGAACCAATGGAGGAAGATGTATGAAGAGGAAGAAGAAAATACGAAGGGGAAAAATAAATGAGAAGAAGGAAGAGGAGGAGGAAGGAAGAGGAAGCACAAAGAGGAAGGAGGACGAGGAAGGAACAAGAGGAAGAGGAGGCGTGTACTTACCAGAAGAGGAAGTCAGCCTCCCAAGAGCTGGGGGAGGAAGGAAGGAGGGAAGAAGGAGAGAATCGATAGAAGAGCCAGAATTGAGAGAAAATCTTTTGTCATATACGTTATGATGGATGGATTATTAGTACCGTTTGGATTATTCCAACCAAAAACAAACCGGAGAAGATCCAGAAATGTTTTAGATTTTTAATTATTTATTTTATTTCAAATCTCTTCTCTCCTCTTTTTCTGCTTCTGTCTCTGCTGCACAAAGCTCTTTCTACCAATCCAGAATCCAATCTTCATTTTCTGACCCCAAAAAAATATTTTCTATCTTCTTCAACCTCCTCCAACCCCCTAGTCCTCCTCCCCCCTCCTCCCTTCTTCCAGAAGACTTTGTCAACTACTTTACCAAGAAAATAGCTGACATACGCTCCTCTTTCTCAAACACGCTGGCTTCACCTCTATCGCCCTCACTTCCCTCCTTCACCCCCTGTCTCCTAACCAAGTTCTTACCCTAGTAACCTCTGCCCGTCCACCTGCCCTCTTGACCCCATTCCATCACATCTTCTACAATCTATCGCTCCTGACCTTCTTCCTTTCCTCACCTGTCTCATCAACAACGCTCTGTTATCTGGCTGTTTACCCAATTCTCTGAAGGAGAAGAGTCAACCCTCTCCTGAAGAAACCCGATCTTTAACCAACTCTCCTCCTATCTCCACCGTAACAACCTCCTTGACCCCCACCAGTCAGGCTTCAAGGCCGTTCCACAGAGACTGCTCTCCTTGCTGTCTCAGAGCAACTCCACACTGCTAGAGCTCCTCTCTCTCCTCTGTCCTCGTCCTTCTGGACCTCTCTGCTGCATTTGACACAGTCAACCACCAGATCCTTATTTCCTCCCTTCAGGAACTTGGTGCCTCAGGCTCTGCTCTCTCCCTTCTCTCGTCCTACCTCGACGGACGCACCTACCGGGTAACCTGGAGAGGATCTGTGTGGGGACCTTGTCCTCTTACTACTGGTGTTCCTCAGGGTTCCGTCCTGGGTCCCCTCCTCTTCTCGCTCTACACCAACTCTCTCTGCGCTGTCATTCGCTCGCATGGCTTCTCCTACCACAGCGATGCCGATGACACCCAACTAATTCTCTCCTTCCCTCACTCGGATCTCTGCCTGTCTGACTGACATCTCTCAGTGGATCCGCCCACCATCTGAAAATAAACCCCGACAAGACTGAACTACTTCTCTTTCCAGGGAGATTCTCCTTCACAGGATGTTAACGCCCACTTTGACTGCAGGAACCTCGGCATGACACTTGACAGCCGACTCTCCCTGACTCCCAACATCACTGACAACACCATCCTGTAGATACTCGCTCTACAACATCAGGAGAACACGTCCTCTTCTCACTCAGAAGGCAGCGCAGGTACTGATTCAGGCTCTTGTCGTCTCCCTCCTGGACTACTGTAACTGTCTCCTGCAGGTCTCCTGCTACCACCATTCCACCTCTGCAGCTCATCCAGAATGCAGCAGCTCCACTGGTCTTTAACCTTCCTAAGTTCTCCCACACTCCTCCACTCCTCCACTCTCTTGACTGGTACCGGTGGCTCATCCAGTTCTAAACATGGTGCTCACGTACCATGCTGTGAATGGATGGGGTCCAGCTTCCATCCAGGACCTGGTCCAACCCGACATCCCGACCCGCACTCTCCGCTCTGCATGTGATAAACTGCTTGTTCCTCCTCACTGAGAGCAAAACACTCCACTAGATCTCCACTCTTTGCTGTCCTGCTCCTAAATGGTGGAAGGAGGTCTCTGAAGACATCAGGACCACAGAGAGCCTTCACATCTTCAGACTAAAGACACACATCTTCAGACTCTACCTCCACTAACACACTAACTAACTGCAGCACTTACATTGGACTTATAATGGTTCTTATCTACAGCAAGTTGTACATCGGCTTATTTGATGAAATCGCACTTTCTTGTTTCTTGTTCTTCTGAGTTTGTGTCCTTATGGTTGAAATGTTCTTATTGTAAGTCGCTTTGGATAAAAGCGTCAGATAAATGACATGAGTGACGTGATGTGATGATTAAACCAGAAATAATCAAGAAGTCCTTCAGAAATGGTTCATTAGTAATAATAATCCACAGGAAGAAACTAGTTATTCATCAGTGAAAACTGTAAAGCAGTTTAAACATAACTACGTCACCATGGTACCCCCCCCCCCACCCACCCACCCACCCACCCACCCACCCACCCACCCACACCGACCTGATGGTGAGGGGCTGCTGGTTCAACTGGGAGCTCTTCTCCTGCTCTGGGAGGTCTGAGGAGGAGCTGCTGCAACATATAAATTATATATAAAATGAGAAAAGGAGTCTCAAAAATAATAATAATTTGAAAAAAACGCATTAATGTGAGAAAAAATAATTGTTGCCGTTTAAATGCCATTAAATGCGTTAACGAGCACTAGAGTGTGTGTGTATTACACACACACACACACACACACACACACACACAATGTCCTTATTTAAGCACTGATTGATATTCAAATCAAGATAACAAACAATTAATTACAAATACTCTAATTAATTAACGTTAATGTGGTGAATTACTATTCTAGGTGGAACTGTCTGTTTTTTAATGAAATATCTACATTAGGTGTGTAAAGGCCCATTTCCAGAAACCCCGGGGGACAACGCAGCAAGAAGACAAGTACAGAGTCTCTAGTCGGAGAAACAGACGTCTCACAGGTCCTCAACTGGCAGCTTCTTTAAATGGTCCCGCAAAACGCCAACGTCTACAGTGAAGAGGCTCCGGGATGCTGAGTGGCAAAGAAAACGCCATATCGGAGACGATATGCGCAAAAAAACACTGACATTGGACAGATGAAGATTGGACAGATGTTTGGATCACACAGAACAGGTGAAAAGATGCTGGAAGAGTCCTGACGCTGTCTGTGAAGCATGCTGGAGGTGATGGAGCTGCATTGTGCTGGTAAAGTGGGAGGTTTTAAATAAGGAAGGCCATCCCTCGCCATGCTGTACCCTGTGGACAGCGCTTGATCGGAGCCAATTTCCTCCTGGAACAGGACAATGCAGGCAGAAGAAGCAGCAGACGGCTGGTGTGCTGTGATGGAGCGACCAGCGCAGCCACCACATCTCAACCCCCGTGAGCCGGGAGCAGCTTGGCAGTGCGCTACGCAGTGTTTCCCCCAGGCTTACAACTTCTGTACGGTAGTAATTATATATATATATATATATATATATATGTTTCTATCCCAGCAAGTCTCAGGTCAGTCTCTCTCTTACAGACCTGCAGGGGGCCGAAGGCTCCTCACTGACGGAGCTGGTTTTGGAGAAGAGCCTGGACCTTCTGCTCAGCCCCAGAGAGGACATGTGGTGGCTGAGGAAGGAGCGACTCCTAGTCGGGGAGCCCCACAGAGGGAGGGGAAGGTATGGAGGGGAGGAAAGGAAAGGAGAAAGCAAGAAGGGAGTGAGAGAGAGAAAAGAAGGAGAAAGGGAAGGGGGGGACAAAAGACAAAGTCACCAAATGAAAAGGAAAACCAGAGTAGAACCAGAAGAGAACCGCAGGAGAACCAGATGAAGAGAGAAAAACCTTAAACTGTTTCATATGTCAATCCTTTCTATTATTGATTCCTACATTTTGTGATCTATAAAACATCTGCATAATTGTTACGCTTGTCAATAACGGTACACGTGATTCTGCTTAACAAGGAGGAGGACATTTGTCCAATGTGGAGACACGAGGAGACATATGAGACACACAAGGCAGATGAGGAGACGCGAAGACACCCAAGACATGTTGTCCTTAAATAGCAATGATCTGCTATTAGCATCTAAATGTATGCAGATGACTGATTCATCTCCATGGTCCATGGGCAGAGCTTCTGGAAAGTATCCATAGCGCTTCACTTCTTATGTTAACGCCTTATTCCAAAATGGATTCATTTCAACACACAACAGCCCTTAATTACAAAGTGAAAAAAAGCTTGATCAAAATGTTTTAAAATATATTAAAAATAAAGAATGTACAAACGTATTCACAGCCTTTGCTCAACACTTTGTTGAAGCACCTTTGGCAGCAGTCACAGCCTCAAGTCTTCTCGAGCCTGATGTTACACGCTTGGAACACCTGTTTCTGGGCAATTTCTCCCATTATTCTTCGCAGAACCTCTCAGGTTGGATGGGGAGCGTCGGTGCAGACATTTTCACATCTTTCCAGAGATGTTCAATCGGGTTCAAGTCCGGGCTCCTGCTGGGCCACTCAAGTTGTCTCCAAGCCACTCCTTTGTTATCTTGGCTGTGTGCTTCGGGTCGTTGTCCTGTTGGAAGCTGAACCGTCGCCCCATTCTGAGGTCCAGAGCGCTTTGGAGCAGGTTTTCGTCCAGGATGTCTCTGTACATTGCTGCATTAATCTTTCACTCAATCCTGACTGGTCTCCCAGTTCCTCTCCACAGTAATACATAAAACATTCCACAGCATGATGCTGCAGATGATGAGGCCTTAATCAGGAAGGTAACCTCTCTGACTAAGGCCCTCCTCCCCCGATCGCTCAGTCTGGCTGGGCGGCCAACCCAGGAAGAGTCCTGGTGGTTCCAAACCTCTTCCATTTCCAGATGATGGAGGCCACTTCAAGGAGCGTTGGGACCTTCAATGCTGCAGAAAAACGTTTCTGTGCCTCGTCAGATCTGTGCCTGGACGACTCTGAGGTCTACGGATAGTCCTTGGACTTCATGGCTTGGTTTGTGCTCTATGGGACTTGATAGAAGGTGTGTGCCTTTCTACATCATGTCCAATCAACTGAATATAGCAGGACGGACTCCAATCGGGTTGTAGAAACATCTCAAGGATGATCAGTGGAAACAGGAGACCCCTGAGCTCAATGTGTCATGGCAAAGGTTGTCAATACATTAAATCGTGTTATATGTTGAATTTTGAGGAACAAAATGAATTGAATCCATTTTGGAATGAGGCTGTAATATAACAAGTGGAAAAAGTAAAGCGCTTTCCAGGTGCACTGTACCTGCAGGGTGTACCTACCTGCAGGGTGTACCTACCTGCAGGGTGTACCTACCTGCACCGTGTATCTACCTGCACCGTGTATCTACCTGCACCGTGTACCTACCTGCACCGTGTACCACCGTGTATCTACCTGCACCGTGTACCACCGTGTATCTACCTGCACCGTGTATCTACCTGCACCGTGTATCTACCTGCACCGTGTATCTACCTGCAGGGTTATGACGCAGGGACGCGTGAGGAGACACAAGCTCAGCCAATGGTTGAGGGAACTTACGCGCTGGTCGGGGATCCGGATTCCTGCCCCACGGTCACAGCGCCGTTGGGGGGCGTGCGGGGGGGCAGCGGAGACCCTCTGTGGGATCCGGACGGACTTGAGGCGGGGCTTCCAGGGTCAGAGGTGAGCGGGGACGATGACCTGCTGCCTTCTAACGCCCCCGTGGGGCTGGGGGAGGAGACGGCAGGGGATGGGGTTGGGAGGAAGGCGGGGGGAGTGGGGGAGGTGGAGGGGGAAGAGCCAGCCGAGGACGACAAGCGGTCCGGGAGGTTCTGACCGGACAGGCCACGGTTCCTCTGTCCCTCCTGCTCGCCGGCGGCCATCTTTCTCCTCTCCTTACGGAGGTGAGGGGAGGAGTCATCCTGCTCCTCGTCCTCATGCTTCAGAGAGGTCTGCAACAGAAAGACAGGGACAGACAGGTAGAGACGTGCACGTAAACATAAACAAACATGTGCAAAGATGTAAACCATTTAAATTGCCTCATAGGTGGTGAACTGGGCCCTGAGGTCTGGTTGTGTGTCTTCGCTGCTCATGTGTCGGTGGATGATGGTCTCCAGACCCAACTGCTCCAGACTGTCCGTCACATCGTAGAAAGAGTCCTGGTCAGGGAGCACGGAGAGGGTCTGACCCACAACGCACACACACACACACAACACAGACAAACACACACACAAATGCAGATTAAACGTTTTATACCGACTGCTTGTTTACCTGTTGGACTGTTTGTTTACCTTGTTGATGAGCGTCATGGTGAACATGAGGAGCTCGGTGTCAGACCCGTTTCTCTCCTCCAGCACCTCCATCAGGTAAGTCCACGGCTTCATTCCTACACGCACACACGCACACACACACACACACACGCACACGCACACACGCACACGCACAAAACGCCACAGGTCATTTAGCTGACGCTTTTATCCAAAGCGACTTACATTTTTAAGCCGTGGTTTTACATTTTGACCGGGGAGCAATTAGGGGTCAGGTGTCCTGCTCAGGGAGCAGCCGGGGTTCGAACCGCCAACCTTGCTGCACCCTCTCTACTCCATGCGCCACCGTGACCCCTACATGTACATATTTATAAGTGCACCTCTGTGTGTGTCCACGGCGTTCACAGCCTCGATGAGCCGGGGAGCATTTGTCTCAGAATACTCAACGAAGACAATGAGGAGCTTTAGGGACGTCTTCACCACCAGACGAGACTGAGGAGAGCAAAGAGGGAGAGTGGACAAGGAGACATGGAGAAGAGAATGTGTAGGCCGGTCTTTGTATGTCTCCCTGCACATGTGTCTCTCTGCGCGTCCACCGGGTGCGTCTCTGCTCTGATGAACTGACTCTTTGCTTCATTTCTCCACTTTCTGTCCTCTGAACTGGGTCATGTGACCGTTCTGATGAGGACTAAAGCCGAGTTTATGCTTCTGCGTTTTGAGTCCCTCGCGTGTTCCTTGCGTGTCCCCCGCGTGTTCCTTGCGTGTCCCCCGCGTGTCTTTTCACACCTCCTTGCGTCCAAAGCTTTGCAGCGTCCTGCAGCAGCAGGCTGTGATTGGTCTCTGACTACGTCCTTTACAGAGTCTCACGTCTCCGTTTTCACAGCACAATACGGCCGTTATTAAAAGGAAGAACGTTTACGAGAGAACGGATCAGATTGAAGAGCTTTTAAATATGAGCGCTTGTACAAGCCGTCATTTATTTTTAAACTAACCCATAGCCTTATACTTAGTTTTTATTCCTCATTCACTGTTGTCTATAATAAATCAACCAGCGACTTCCACACACAAAGACGTGACTCTCCAGGTCGTCTTCAACAAAACACGTGACTCCACCTGTTGTTCTGGAGGTGAATCGCTCTGCAACACACGCGAGACTTTACAACCAGGAAGTGAAACCAGCGCGTCGACGCGTAAAGACGCAGAAACACGCGGCGGCCTTCAGTGTCTCTGAAGTTCTTCCTTTAAATCTTATGAACTAAAGAACCAGAAAGGAATAAACTAGAGACCAATAACTGATCTCAGTTGACACATTGTGTCAGAACTTGTGTTTTGAGGATAAGTGAATAAAGAAGCTTCTAGAACCTCTTCCTGTTCTTCATGTGTGACTCTGAGGTGTCACATGACTGTTTGACTAAATCAATCCATCAATCGATCAGAGAGACTCACCAGACTTCCTGTCAGAGTGTAGAGCCAGCGGAGCGTCTCACCGTGGTTTATCACTCCATTCATACCATCCACAAACAGCATGATCTGACTGAGGGCTGAGGGACAGACGGGGAGAGAGAGACAGGTCATAGGGACAGACGGGGGGAGACATCACTTTTCAGCTCCAGATGAAGCTTTGGACCGACTCGACTGAGTTTGTTTCCATCGTCTGTGTCTTCTGAAGGCGGATCTCAGAGCTGAGCTTCTCAGGAGAAGAGCATTATGCTGAAGTTTCAGACTCAGTGTCTCAGCCCGACCCCCCCTCACCAGGACAGTCTCACCTCTTAGGATGTAGTTCTGGTAGTTGTGGTCGGCCTCCGCTCCAACTTTGACAAAACAAGTCAAACCTTCAGAGGCCACAAACTCTGGAACCAGGTCTTTATCATCCTGAAGGTGGGAGCAGAGCAGAAGGTCACAGCAGGTCCACCAAGGGTACCGAAAGCTTCTACCAGAGGACAGTTACTTGGAATAGCTGCTTGAGGGAGAACAGGGCCCGTCGGAGTTCTGGACCCTGGGAGTTATACAACCTCTCTGAAACAAAGAAGAGAAAGAGGAAGTCACCTCACACGTCTCCTCAAGAAGGTCGTCTTCTTCTCTGAGCCAAAAGAAAGATTCCATCTCAGAGGCCCGAGTGAAACTTTATTTCCGTACAAGTCATATCATAAGAACCAAAGGCCATTAGCCTTCTTCAGTAAGTGATCCAGTCACATCCGGAGCTTTGAATGAGATCGGATCCGGTCCTCCAGTAGACCACCAGAGGCTCCAGGAGCTGAAGAAAGGGGGGAGGAGGTTCTCCAGAAAGGAATGAAACAGTTTCCTGTTTGTTTCTTATCAGAGGTCGTGACCCCTGATTCATTCTGCTCCTCAGAGGAAACACACAGTTTACTCGCCGAGGACCTGAAGGAGAAACGAATGCTTCACGTTTGGAGTTCTTCTTCATGTCGCATGAACGAAACGAAAGGTGAAGCAGAAATGAGTGAAACTCCTGAAGCTGCTCCTTCAACAGGCATGAGAAGAAAGATCATTAAACACAGAGCGGTGAAATAAGGGCAGCGACTATAGTAACACATCAGCTAAAACTACACAAACAACACAAACGCAAATAGGATTGAAGCATGCTAGCACGCTAACGCTAACAGCGTCGCTTCGTCTTCCTTAGAAAAAAGGAATGTGAGTCCAGACGTTTTTCTCTGCTGGTTCTGACAGGAAACATCGTAAAACATGTAAATAGTTCATAAGAAAATAATTTAGATATAAATCAAAGCAAAAAAAGAGGAAACATAAATAAACAAAAACACACACAAACAAAACCGACAGCCTCCAACTTCTGTTGAATTAGACTTTTACTCTTGTACAGAACTTAATACTGACGTTCTGCTACTTTTACTTCTTTACATTTATCTGACGGAATTAGTTACTTTAAATATTACAGATTATTAAACTCTATATATATATATATTTTTTTTGGTGCTTAGTTACTGTGGCCTTTGTACTTGTTTATTTTATTTTTTAATTTCTTTATCTTATTCTTGTCATTTTTTATTATCATGATACTGCTGCTCCTGATCTTGTGTCCACTTTGCTGCCGCGTCCACTGTGGGACTAATAAGGGAATATCTTTTCTTATCTATCGTTGATGTATTACTACAGCAGTATATATCAATACTGTAGGTACAATTATGAGGTACATTCACGTTATACTTCTACTCCACTGCAATTTATCTAATTACGTATCTTTACCTAGAGTCAAATTATTAATCAACACACAAATTCCATGTTAGGCTAAACTACCAGCAGTATAAAAAGTCCTGACTGGTGCCATTTATGTTTTATACATGTATTTTTTTTGAGTAAATTGCTGAATACAGTACTTCTACTTGCAACACTAAAGCTATTAATATTTCTACGGCAGAGACATATTGCAGTACTTCTTCCACTGGTTTTAGGGCAGATCAGGCAGACGTGAGTTATTTAAAGAGGAAACTCATTTCAGTGGATCATTTAAACACACTGACAGCTGGACCCCCAACGTCCGTCCGTCCGTCCGTAGGGAGGCGTCATTAAGATACTGTGTCAATATGATATATGGGAGATATGAGGGAGAAATGACATGTGGGTGTTGGTTCAGATTCTCAACACTACCAGTCGACAAAGCTTCTCCTCAGCGCTCAGCTGTCCTCAGACACAAACAATTATGATGAGCTTGTGAAGAACCTGCTCCCAGGAGCACAAGGACGGACTGTCCAAAGAGCTCACAGGAGGACGAGACATGTCTCACCTGAGTCAGAGAGCTGAGACAGAGGACTGCAGCATGAAACTGATCTGGACTTCTAGAGAAGTTCAGACTTAAATGATGAAAGTTTGTTTGGTGACTCATTTCCTAGTTCAGATCAGCTTTTTTTTTTTTACTTCACCAGGGAACTACAGGAGGACCACAAAACTACAGCAGGTCTGGGGAACTACAGGAGGACCACAAAACTACAGCAGGTCTGGGGAACTACAGGAGGACCACAAAACTACAGCAGGTCTGGGGAACTACAGGAGGACCACAAAATTAACAGCAGGTCTGGGGAACTATAGGAGGTCCGGACCAGGGAACCATAGGAGGACCGGGGAACTATATGAGGACAGGACCGGGGAACCATAGGAGAACCGAAGAACTACAGCAGGACCGGGGAACCATAGGAGGACCGGGGAACTACAGCAGGATTGGGTAACCAAAGGAGGACCGGGGAGCTACAGCAGGACCAGGGAACTATAGGAGGACCGGACTGGGGAACTACAGCAGGACCGAGGAACTATGCCAGGACCGGGGAACTACAGCAGGACCGGACCAGGGAACTACGACAGGACCGGGGAACCATAGGAGGACCGGGGAACTACAGCAGGACCGGGGAACTATAGGAGGACCGGACTGGGGAACTACAGCAGGACCGAGGAACTATGCCAGGACCGAGGAACTACGGCAGGACCGAGGAACTACAGCAGGATTGGGTAACCAAAGGAGGACCGGGGAGCTACAGCAGGACCAGGGAACTATAGGAGGACCGGACTGGGGAACTACAGCAGGACCGGGGAACTACGGCAGGTCCGGGGAACTACGGCAGGACCGGACTGGGGAACTACAGCAGGACCGGGGAACTACAGCAGGTCCGGGGAACTACAGAAGGACCGGGCAACCATAGGAGGACCGGGGAACTACAGCAGGACTGGGTAACCAAAGGAGGACCGGGGAACTACAGCAGGACCAGGGAACTATAGGAGGAACGGACCGGGGAACTACGGCAGGACCGGGGAACTACGGCAAGACCGGATAACCAAAGGAGGACCGGGTAACCATAGGTGGACCGGGGAACTATAGGAGGACCGGACTGGGAAACTACAGCAGGTCCGGACCGGGGAACTACGGCAGGGCCGGGGAACCATAGGACGACCGGGGAACTACAGGAAGACCGGGGAACCGTAGGGGGACCGGGGAACCGTAGGGGGACCGGGGAACCATAGGAGGACCGAGGAACTACAGGAAGACCGGGGAACCGTAGGAGGACCGGGGAACTACAGCAAGTCGCCAATGAGTGAGTGAGTAGGAGACTTCTGTGACTAGCCAAGGTTTCATCTTCCTCTGTGGTCCAGGGAGTCTGTGGTGAAGGTTTCACTTCACGTCCAAACCAGAGAGAAACATTTAGTGAGGCGTCGCTGGGATTCTCCTCAGGTTTCATGCACACATTGAAAATCCATATAAAAACACAAAGACAATGGACGTGTGGCTTTGTTTGTCTTCAGCATTTGAACTCAATTAATTACATAAATGTGATGTATTCAAACCACAGAGTTTCTTTGAATGGAAATGTATCTGATCCATCATCTGAGACACGTCTACACATTTGGGATCTTCGGAAACATTGACATCACAATGTGTGAAACAAACTTTTGATTCATTTGAATGGTTCTGTGGGACAAACGGAGCAGACGTGATTTATTGACTAAATAACAACCATTATATTTGATTAAATGTTTTCTATCCAGAACAAACAGATAAGACATTAAAGAGGACGTGATCCATGCAGACCTCTGTCCTCCAAACGCTGTCTGTCAGTCCCAGAGAGAGGACACACACTGGCTGTCTGTCTGTCCCAGAGAGAAGACACAAACTGGCTGTCTGTCTGTCCCAGAGAGAAGACACACACTGGCTGTCTGTCTGTCCCAGAGAGAAGACACACACTAGCTGTCTGTCTGTCCCAGAGAGAAGACACACACTGGCTGTCTGTCTGTCCCAGAGAGAGGACACACAGTGGCTGGCTGTCTGTCCCAGAGAGAGGACACACAGTGGCTGGCTGTCTGTCCCAGAGAGAGGACACACAGTGGCTGGCTGTCTGTCCCAGAGAGAAGACACACACTGGCTGTCTGTCCCAGAGAGAAGACACACACTGGCTGTCTGTCCCAGAGAGAAGATACACATTGGCTGTCTATCTGTCCCAGAGAGAAGACACACACTGGCTGTCTATCTGTCCCAGAGAGAAGACACACACTGGCTGTCTATCTGTCCCAGAGAGAAGACACACACTGGCTGTCTATCTGTCCCAGAGAGAAGACACACACTGGCTGTCTATCTGTCCCAGAGAGAAGACACACCCTGGCTGTCTGTCCCAGAGAGAAGACACACACTGGCTGTCTATCTGTCCCAGAGAGAGGACACACCGGCTGTTGGTCTGTCCAAAAATACTTGACCGGAGTTCAGAAGTTGAATCAGTGATTCATATCTAAAAATAAAATGTGACAGGAGAAAGTTCCCTTGACATTCTTGTGATGATTTGGATCAGATAAATACAACGTAGACTCTCAATCTCTTCAGATACATTAATATGAATGAGAGAATTATATTTATGGACACCTTTAATGTAAAATGTAGTCTTTAGTTTCATGTTCACTGAGAATACAAATGTTTTAAACCCTTTTAAGTCAACAATGGCGGTTATATAATAACTACAGTCAACACAGATGTGTTTATTATATCATAAACTGTCCTTAACGTCTTAACTTTGACAGTGCCAATTCTAACTGATTTTGACTTAATATATTTGGACTTATTTTATCCAAACAAAATTTGACCTAACGTATTTGGACTTTTTCTTTCTTTCTTTTGATATAGGAATTTTAGACTTTTTTTCCAAGGTTATATTTCCCTAAACATTTTTGTGAATGTAAATGTATATATATGTTATATATGATATTTTGGGATATTATTTACCTAAAATAAAAAAAATATTTTGAAAAAACATTACATTAGAAAAAACAAACGACGTTTTTGTCTATACCATTTTCCACCTAATATTTGTATTTTTTTCCCCAATGGCTTTTTTAAATATTTTGACTTTTACATGTTTTTAGATTAAAATGACTTTTTTCCCCCATAATATTTTTTCACTTAACATTTTCCAAAAAGAAAAGATGTTTTGCTACACTATTTTTTGAACCTTTGTTTGACCTAATATTTTTAGTGACTTGTTTTAACTTAAAAAAAAAAAGATTTGATCATTCTTTAACGTGTTTTTCAAAATCTTTTTGATCCAATATTTGACTTTCTTCAAAAGCAATTTGACAAAAAATCTTTTTTGAAATGTTTCATCCTAACATTTAAATAAATTATTAAATGACAATAATAAATATGCATAATACAATCAAATATAATGAATGAATATAATAAGTTAATCAAATGAATTAATAAATATCCTACATCGACATTGATTGACATTTGGCCCTTCAACAGGTTCCGGAGTTGTGTTTTTAACTTCCTGCAGGATTTCATTCATAAGCAGCTGTTGTTTTAGTTGAGAAGGATCCCCTGAACGCACCGTGAGACAAGGACATGACCCAACATGACTCCTCACAGAAAGGAAACCGTTCTTCTGCTGTTCAGCTGGAGTATTTAGCTTGTGACCTTCACCACAGCAGAAGAACCAGCAGAAGGGAGGACAGAAGAGTCGGCCTCTCGACTCGTCACTAAAAATGGCTTTAAAGAGGAAGCGGCTGGAAAATCCCCTCTGGTGACGGAAAGGCGAGGTCATGCCAGCGGGAGGAGGGGGGAGGGGGGCTCAACAAGGCAGGACACGGCGGGAGGATAAGAGAAGGAGGGAGGCAGAGGGGAAGGTAGGAAGGAGGGAGGAGACCAGCACACTCCTACGGAATCTCCTCCTTCTTCTCACCTCCCTCCTCCTCCTGCTGCTCCTGTGCTGCTAACGTTACTAGCTCCTCCTCCTGTGGATCTCAGCACCGATTGGTTGTTTACAATTTCACATGATCAGAGACTAGAGAAACATTGATGATGTCATCATCAAGGTTTGTAGAACCAGTGAAGATCACATGAACATTATACTAAGAGAGGAGGACGCAATTACCCAGAATGCAGTGGACCCGTACGGAGAGCTGAGTCCTCAGGATCATAATGGGCTTCTTCCCTTTCCTGTGGACAAAGAACACTGATAAAAAGCATACAACACCAGGAAATACTAGAGAGAACCTCCTTTCGTTATTATAGCCAAACCCTACGGCGTATGAGAAGATGTATCTATAGATACATACATGCATTAAGGCCGCGCACGTTAACGGGTTACAAATCATTCCTGTATGTTGCGCCAAGTGTGCCTCTTATGTTTTTCTGATATCACTAAAAGTGAGCAAAACACTAGTTTTTAACAGATAATCAAGTTACATCAAAAACTTTGATCTTGGCCCAGCACTAATATATATATATATATATATATATATATATATATGAGAGCTGTAGAGGGCCGTCCACACGGTTTAGGGTTAGTTAGGGAGTTTTGACCTCAGGAGACAGGCTGTCTTGGACATGAGAGCGAGACATCTCAAAGTTCACAAGAAAATGTACCTAAAGTGTCCCAGGTCCTTCCCACTTTATGTTTAATATTTTTTAAATACTTTAAATTTTTTACTTTATTCTCTTGTTTTATACTAACCCATAGCCTTATTCTACTAACCCATTGCATTAGCATTTCATTTTACTGTATTACTTGTGCACTGCTGTCTTGTTGTCTATTGTTACACTGTCTACTGTCACGCACCAACCGCCAAGACAAATTCCTTGTATGTTTGACATATTTTGGCAATAAATGATTCCTGATTCCTAATCGTCCGGGGTCCCCCTTAAAGTTCCCCAGGTTCATCTTAAAGTGTGTGAAGTCCCTCCTGAAAAAGTCCCAATCACTTCTTGCATCCCACTGGCTTCACCTCTATCGCCCTCACTTCCCTCCTTCACCCCCTGTCTCCTAACCAAGTTCTTACCCTAGTAACCTCTGCCCGAACTACTTCTCTTTCTGGGGAAAGACTCTCCGACCCAGGACCTGACTGTTAACTTTGAGACTCTGTGTTAACGTCCACTTTGACTTTGGGGTCCAGCTTACATCCAGGACCTGGTCCAACCCGACACCCCGACCTCTGACCTCTCCGCTCTGCATGTGATAAACTGCTCGTTCCTCCTCACTGAGAGCAAAACACTGGACTAGATCTCCACTCTTTGCTTCCTGCTCCTAAATGGTGGAAGGAGGTCTCTGAAGACATCAGGACCACAGAGAGCCTTCACATCTTCAGACTAAAGACACACCTCTTCAGACTCTACCTCCACTAACACACTAACTAACTGGAGCACTTACATTGGACTTATAATGGTTCTTATCTACAGCAAGTTGTACATCGGCTTATTTGATGAAATTGCACTTTCTTGTTTCTTGTTCTTCTGAGTTTGTGTCCTTATGGTTGAAATGTTCTTATTGTAAGTCGCTTTGGATAAAAGCGTCAGATAAATGACATGTGATGTAATCTAAGAGTCTCAGGTTCCTCTTAAAATGTCCCAGGTCCCCCCCCAAGGAGTCCCAGGTCCCCCTCAAGGAGTCCCTGGCCCTATTCATAGAGTCTGAGTGACAGGTGAGTCTTCTTACGTCACGTCTTGGTAGAAGCTCTCCAGCTCATCTCTCTGCTCGTCCAGAGACAAGTCAAGGTCCAGATAGTTTCCAAGTGGAGACAACTGAAGGGTGCAGTCCTCTAACTGAAGGACAGAAGGACAGGAAACACCATCATGACATCAGCGTGACATCATACATCCTGTTAAACTGTCCCAGGCCACTGAATAGTGTGCTCCTATTTCAAATAAAGGCCTCAGTGGGGACTCATGGGATCTGATCATGTGGTTGCAAGCCTCCCAGCATGCACTGGGGCAACTGGGTTATGTACATACTGGTGTTACATTCTGGTCTAGATTAAATGTCTAATTCATCTCCAGTTTATAAACAACACAATTTCATTCCACTTCAATATACAAATCAATAACATTTTGGTGATAAATCGTCCTGAATAAATCAAGAGGAAGGCGATCAAAGAATGAAATGGAGTCGTTGCAATGACAACTGATCAACAAATGATCCTGGATCAGCTGCTGCAGTGATGAATACCAGCTACAGCTGATATTAATACATCACTCTATAAACCATAGAGACCAATGGTTCCATGTTCAGATCGGGATGGAGGTGCATTCAGTATTATTAACAGTAGTACTGTAGACACCAGCACCTTCTCAGGGCACCACCCTGAGATACTCCATGAAGTCCTCCTTTGTTCAGAGGATCAATATTAACGGCAGTTATATGAAGACAATGGAGACAGAGGTCGATACACAAACAATACAATACAACAAAAACACACAAAGATCCATCTCTCATCTCACTGTCACCAAAGAATTGAAAAAGAAAAACAAGTCAAATTTACTTCTAAGAATATCTTTGTATATTTTGTACCTGATGTAGTACTTCAGCAACTACACACCTGCAGTACTTCAGGGACACACCTGACATTGACAATGTCCTGAGTCAAAACTTCTTAAATGAAATGAAGGTGAAATAATCCTTTAGGAGTCCAGCAGCAGGTAAATCCACAGGATTACAGCAGCAACGGTAAAGTGCACAGACGTTATAGATGTAGATGTACACACATGATCAATAACTAATCAAAAGGGGGTTTGAGGAACTTCCATTGATCGGGTTTATGGATCTACATGCTGCACATGATCAGTAAGCAATCAGCAGCACAGGGACCTGATTGGGACTATTGATCATGTGATCACTCTGAGACAGACCTACACACAGCTGGTGAAAGGACAAAGCGTCTCTGCAGCTGGTTGAGCTCATATCAACATGCTGCTGACTACATCCGTCCTGCTTATCTGGTGTTTACAGCTCCACCCTCCTCCACCCTCCTCCACCCTCCTCAACAAGAAGCAGAACATTTGGGTCTCCACCGTTCCACCTAAAGTCTCAAGAAACAAACGTTCCAGAGGAGAAGGAGACAGACTGCTGACTCAGTCAGTGAACTTCAGCCTCCACCATGATAAGTGACTGATGTACACAGACTCCCCACTGCTCCACTTAACAACACAAACAGGAAGTAAACAAAAACATTATCAAAGTACACCAGCAGAGTAGCTGCAGTCTCACCAGCGTGACCTTTAGCCCTTTAGCCCTTTAGCCTTTCACAACCTGACCCTTACAGATGAGTCAGTCTTCACGGCGTCACGTGACCCAGCAGGAAGTAGTTCTTCTCCATGTCTACCTCGTCTTCCTGTGACCGGTCAGAGACCCACTGGACACTTGTTGGTCCTTTACTTCACATGACGGCGGAGTGAAGCTCATCTCATCCAGGAAGACAAAGCTCTCATGTGCTTTAATGTGGAGACACGTTGTAAGACGCTAAATGACATGTGATGCAACAATAGGAAAGCTGAATGACACACACACACACACACACACACACACAGTGTCTCACACACACACACACACACACACACACACACACAGTGTCTCACACACACACACACACACACACACACAGTGTCACACACACACACACAGTGTCACACACACACCTTCAGAGGCGCCTCCAGCAGCTTGTGGATCCCCGCGATCTGCTCCCCGAGCGGCAGGTTCTCCTCCACGTTCACCGTCGGAGGTCGGCGCGGTTCGGGAAAGTTCGTGCAGACGAACGGATCCGAGTCCTCCAGGTACTGGACCCGACAAACCACGGAGGCCATGGCCGAGCAACCGCGACTGAGCTGCGGCTAAACGCGTGCGTGTGGGTCGCTGCGTCCAACAACTGGAGGAGGACCGAGTCCCAGCTGCGACACACTTCCGGTTACACCTTTCAAGATAAACGCAGCTTTGGGCCGAAACGTTTAAAAAAAAGAACTCGATCTGATTATTAGTATGATTACATGACGTCTGATGGCATGACGTCAATAAACTGATAAACAACATAAAGTATCAGAACGCAGAAGCTTGTACAAAGTGTCCACGTCATTGTGTACTGGACTGAGCACAAGCTAATTCAATTCAATTCATTTCATTTTATCTCAAAATCTCAAATGACAAATTATCCTCAGAGTCCTCGCATGTGTATCCTCTGTACACATGCGACATCCTCTGTCCCCAAACCCACACATCTGCACAGCAAGAACCTCAGTGAGGACGATCGTCTCCTGATGGACAGACTACAATGATGTCATGTGGACACAATGAACAATACATTCAACTCATAAAACAGAAATGATCAAATAATTGAGAGTAGTAAGCAGGTGTACGACAGGACCACTGCAGGGACACCACCATCAGATAGATCCACCATCAGATAGAACCACTACCAGATAGAACCACCATCAGATAGATCCACCACCAGATAGAACCACCATCAGATAGAACCACCATCAGATAGATCCACCACCAGATAGAACCACCACCAGATAGATCCACCACCAGATAGAACCACCATCAGATAGAACCACCATCAGATAGAACCACCATCACATAGAACCACCACCAGATAGATCCACCAACAGATAGAACCACCACCAGATAGAACCACCATCAGATAGAACCACCATCACATAGAACCACCACCAGATAGAACCACCACCAGATAGAACCACCATCAGATAGAACTACTACCAGATAGAACCACCATCACATAGAACCACCATCAGATAGATCCACCACCAGATAGAACCACCATCAGATAGAACCACTACCAGATAGAACCACCATCAGATAGAACCACTACCAGATAGAACCACCAACAGATAGAACCACTACCAGATGGAACCACCATCACATAGAACCACCATCAGATAGAACCACCATCAGATAGATCCACCACCAGATAGAACCACCACCAGATAGAACCACCATCAGATAGAACCACCATCAGATAGATCCACCACCAGATAGAACCACCATCAGATAGAACCACCATCAGATAGAACCACCATCAGATAGAACCATCATCAGATAGATCCACCACCAGATAGATCCACCATCAGATAGATCCACCACCAGATAGAACCACCATCCACAGAAGCCCGTGGGGAGGGAAAGCACATAGAAGAAGGTAATGCTGGTTTATAATGACAGCAACAGTAATATGAGTCATGTTTAAAATATGAATAATGATGATGATGATGATGATGATGATGATGGCAGCAGCAGGTATCAGCAGGGCCACGGCAGGACCAGGATCCAGAAGCTCTTTAAGATACGATGTCTCACCAGCAAGTGCCTTGTAGGTGAGGAGAAGTACCTTAACATCTATTATTGATTTAACAGGGAGCTAGTGCAGAGAAGTTAATACAGGAGTGATATGATCCCTTTTCTTAGTTCCTGTTAATACACCTGCTGCAGCATTCTGAATCAACTGGAGAGGCTGAAGAGATTTACAAGAGCAGCCTGATGACAAAGGTTGAATCCACTGATTCTCCAGAGGAGTTTGGTGAGTCCGTGTGAGCATTAAAGCTCTACATCTGCAGCTCACTTTCCTCCTCTGGGTCCGGAGGAGTATTTATTGATGCGTATGATGATGTATTTTAGTTCCATCAGGTCCTTTCTTCATCTGTACTTTGACTCATGTTTGCTGCTATAATGTTTACACATGGAATCCATAAAGTAAACTCTTATTTTTTAGGAAGCCTCACTGAACATCCGGTTGTCGCGCATGGAAACAACTTGAGAAGCAGGAGAATGACGTCAGAGGGGAAAGTTTCAGCTGCAGCTGCTAACAATTAAAAAAACAAGAAAGAAAAAGAAGGACAGCGCCCTCTGATGGCTCAAGGACAGCAGCACAAGGAGACAGAGACACAAGAAAAGAAAGGGACACATACATAGAGACAGGAGACAGGAAGACAAGGAGACAGCGACAAAGCGAGACAAAGAGACAATAAAACAATGAAACAAGGGGACAAGGAGACAGAGAAGCAAGAAGATTGAGAGGGAGATAAAGATAAACAGACAAGAAGACAACGAGAATGAGACACCAGGAGACAGGAACAAGATGAAGAGACAAAGGGGACAGACAAAAAGGCAAAGGGACAGAAGACAAGGTGACAGAGAGACACATAGACAGATAGAAGGCAATAGAGAGATAAGGCAATGGAGACAAAGAGACAGAGACACATTGAAACAAGGAAACAAAAGGATATGGAAACAAGAAGACAAGGAACAAGGAGACAGAAAGACAAAGGGACAAGGAGAAAGAGAGATACTCAGAGATAAGGAAGCAAGTGGACAAAGAGACGTGGCCCACCTTCGACCCCAGGGGACACCATGACTGGACTCTCGCCTCGTCCACCTGCTGCAGACACATTTCCCCCTGTTGATTAATATATAAAAGAGGAGAAAGAGTACAGAGAAACCAGGAGATGAGGACCAGGAGACAGAGAGACACGGCTACAGTTGTTGTATGTGTCCCTTTGTTCTTGTGTCTGTCTCTTTGTAGTTGTTTTTCTCAGTTACTTTGGTACATTTCTTGAATCATTCTTGACATTTACAAAACAGCACGTGTATTTCTCCAAACACTTCATACAACTAGCAAAACACCTCGGACTCAGCAACATTTATTACCAAAATTGGATTACCTGCAAAAGCCAGTCTCTTGCTCAAATCCTTCCGTTCATCTCTCAAGAGTAAATACGTGTGTCGCTGAACATGCAAATTGTAAGTTACACTTTAGTGTGTGTGGGAGATTGATTGCAAGAGACTGGACAAGAAGGAATTTGTCATAGTGTTGAATCCAGCCTCTGCTGTGATGTCATCATATGCTGCATCCTCTGTGCACGTGGCTGATACACTTTCCATCTCCAGGAGAGAACAATTCCTCCATGGAGTTTAGGAATGGGGAGGAGAGTGAGAGGAACTTCATCAGCATCCTGTTGTGAGTCACAAACCATCGCCTGATGATGTTGGTCTTTTTTTCCCTTTTCTTTTTGCTAGTTTATCTGTCTCTCGTTGGTCGACATACATCAGATCTGACATGAGATCATGAAGCTTAACTCGGCCCATTTCTGACAGAATAAATAAATGGCTCAAAAGGTGGATAAATATATATTTTACCAAAGCAACAAACGTATATTCTAATTGCATGATACTAACCAACGTAACTAATCTATTTATATTTATTAGAATATTACTGTAATTTCTTAATTGTTTGATTCCGGCTAAAACAAAGTTCATCTGTTCTTGATCCTCCAGCAGGAGGAGATGTTTCTCTACATTCTGGAGTCTAGTTACCAGGGTTTTGCCTAAGAAACATGATGAAACTCACGGACACACACACAATTGTTGAGACACACAAAGACCCCGAAAAACCCACTTGAGCGCACACACACAAACACACACACATGTGCATGCACAGAAAGGCCAAACTTTACTGATTTTTAGTTTATTCCTTCAGGGGCCGTCACCGACAGGTGAACCATCAGGTGTCCCATCAGTTATCCCACCACGTATCCCATTAGGTGAACCATCAGGTGTCCCATCAGTTATCCCACCATGTATCCCATGAGGTGAACCATCAGGTGTTCCATCAGTTATCCCACCACGTATCCCATGAGGTGAACCATCAGGTGTCCCATCAGTTATTCCACCACGTATCCCATCAGGTGAACCATCTGTGTCCCATCAGTTATCCCACCACATATCCCATTAGGTGAACCATCTGTGTCCCATCAGTTATCCCACCACATATCCCATTAGGTGAACCATCAGGTGTCCCATCAGTTATCCCACCATGTATCCCATTAGGTGAACCATCAGTTATCCCACCACTTATCCCATCAGGTGTCCCATCAGTAATCCCACCACGTATCCCATTAGGTGAACAATCAGGGGTCCCATCAGTTATCCCACCACGTATCCCATTAGCTGAACCATCAGGTGTCCCATCAGTTGTCCCACCACGTATACCATGAGGTGAACCATCAGGTGTCCCATCAGTTATCCCACCACGTATCCCATTAGGGTGAACCATCAGGTGTCCCATCAGTTATCCCACCACGTATCCCATTAGCTGAACCATCAGGTGTCCCATCAGTTATCCCACCACAAAATCGCCATTAGGTGAACCATGTGTGTCCCATCAGTTAT